AATACAGACTTCCTTTTGTGCTCCCTAAGGAGGCGAAGAATGAGCTCTTAGTTAAGGCAATCTGAAGAAGCATGCTTAACCTTGTTATATTAATAATAATCAAGCTCCTTTCTGCTATCAGCTAATAAAGAAGAAGATAATAAATAATTTAATAAGTAATAATAAGGGCAGCGGCTATGCTCAGGGCTCTTGATGACCTATTAACAAGGAAAGCGGCTACTAGATTTCGGAGAAGGACGCCTGTCAGCCCTGGAGTAGTAGGCTTTTTCTCGTCTTCTGCTTAATACAGAATCGAGCGCCTTCTCCGTCTCCTCTAGCTACGTAAGTCCTTCTTTGATTTCGACCTCTTAGGCCTGCAAAATACGACTTAAGGCCACGAGCTCTCTCAGTAGCACGGATACCAGATAGTTAAAGATATGCCTAGGCGTTATTATAGCACCTAGAGTTACATTATATTCTCTGACTTTTCAAGCCAGATTCTTCACAATATAAGTTATACGTACGCTTTGTTCCTTAATCTTGTATCTATAGAATTCGCTAATGTAGTTCTCTAGGTTATAGACTCTAAGGCCTTCTTATATTTGTATTTTAAATACTGAACAAAAAGAGCTACTTCTTAATATCTATATGCTATTTAATAATTATTATCTTTAAGTCCTTAAAAAATTAAGGATAATATTATAATGTTTTAGGCTTTAAATAATAACTTTTTGTTTTCTTTTTCTTATTATTAAATATTAGATAGATTATTACTAATTATATATTTTATATACTATTCTTAAGTACTTATAACTTAAGATTATATAGCTAGTCATCTTAATTATTATATATAAGTTTTTCGCTACTTAGAATCTTGCCTTTTATAATATATATTAGCTAATACTCTTATTTATTATATATTTTATAATTATTAGAATCTTAATTAATTATAACTTATTATAGTTATTTCTCCTTCCTTATTCTTTCTTTAATTATTATAGCATAAAATGCCCTATAGCCTAGAGAGGCGTTAGGGCAGGGCATAATATTAGTCAAGTATTAGCTGCGCACTAAATGCTCTATTAGTGTTATGCTGTATTCGGTCTTAGGGCTGAGAGCTAGAGCAGGCTTAGCGCCCTATGCGTTATACCTTTATCCTCACCTTTATAGCACTTAAATAGTCATTTATCTTTATATATACCTACTTAACATAGTTATATAGTTGCCTTCTATAGCTTCTTTGTAACTCTCTGCTATCTCTATAATACTCTTATACCCTATTATATAGCTTTCTGCGTAATAATTAGTAGACATGCCAGTGAATACTTAATTATAGGCGCTATAGCTACTCTGCCTATCCTTGATTTTTGTTAAAGCCTATCCTTCGAAATTTAACCTCCTTAAGCTTGTAAGGTATCCCTGTAGCTTACTAATAATCTGTTAGGCCAGCTCCTTGTCTTAAGCAGCTCCTTTGCCCTTCTTAATCTTCGAAATCGCGAGCACAGATTTCGAGCCCTTTAAGCCCTCCTTGAGCAAATTAACGCTCGCCTCTTTGAGCAACTTAATGCTCGCCTCCCTAAGCAAGTTTGACGCTCTCCTCCCTGAGCAACTCGATCTCCTGCTCTCTCTCTACCGTCAAGTCCAAGGCTTTCACTACAGAGCCTCCTGCCTCCTGCCCCTCTCTACAAGCCGACTCCTCTGTTAACGCCTACACGCAAGATTAGACTTGCTTGGCATCCAGAAGTCGTGTAAATCCTTAAAACAGGCTAGTCCGGTTTGTCCCTACTAGTTGTTTGTTAGACAGCGCAAATATAAGTCTTATAAAGCGCTTATATATATAGTATAATCTCTCTATGCCTACAACTCTACTATTAGTCGAGCCTTATCTACAAAGAATAAGGGTAAAACTAAGGAAGCAGATATAGATAATAAACCTGAGGAAGTAGATAAGAAGAAAGAAGTAAAAGAAATAAGCAAGACTATATATTTTATATTTATAGTTATAGACTTACAACTCTTTCAAGGGCCATGAGTCGTTTGATATCCATTGGTCGATTTCGACGCGTTTTAAGCTCGCCAGAGGACCTGACCTACTACCCTATCACGAACTTCAAGGACTCTGAGGACCTGCTCAGAGACTATTTCGAAAGGCACCCAGCGAAAAGAGCGCCTGATTGGTTGAACTTAAGCTGAATACAGGAAAATCCAACAGAAACGTCACGTGACAAATTTGGCTGTACATGTACAGCCAAATTTCAGACTAACCTAATTAGGAAGTTGCTAGACTTAGTAATAGAATTTAAGAGAAATAAGCTTACTTTCTTATACTCTTAATTAAGGGCAATTAATTTTTCAGAAGGGGGAGTAGTATAATAGATGGAGTATCTCCTCTGCTATAGCGCAGGAAATACACAGGACCAGCCACGCACTCAGACGGCAGCGCTGATAATGTATCTATAACGGCACGCGGAACTCTTGCTGTTAAGCTATTATGCCGCCGATAGAGGCATCCGTACGGCACGTGGCTCCCCGTACGAGTACTATGGAACAGGAGATTGATACGACCCCTTTAGGGAAGTATAATCTCCTCTAGAGGGAAGCTACCGCTTCTGGCCCTGCAGATACTCCGTCGGATCCTTTGTGTAGGTTTACTAGTAGCACCCCTTGTGTTCGATGGAGGAGTATATAGAGTAGAGCGCTGGCCGCACTGTAGATAGACTCCTCAGCTTACGTTTTAGCAATCTATAGACTATTGACTTGTTCTAGTTTCAAGCCATTGCATAATTAATATACACAGGGCGTCTTGATCTATAAGAGAGGCTTTATCTAGGCTCTATCTTTAATTACTTAAGGAAGAATAATGAACTTTGCTGCTCTCTCTTCTCTCTATTTAATCATGAATCATCTTGATTTAATAGTTCCTAAACCTTTATATAATACAGGGTATTTATATCAAATAGACCTTGCGTTACTCCTAGAGTAACGACTTTCTTACACAGTGTTACGCGGATGGCCGTGCTACAGGGTATGGGGGTGCTATAGAGATAGCGGAGAGTCACGAAGAAGCTATAGAAGGCAACTGTATGACTGATTGGTATGAAGGTGGATACTCTCTAAGTGCTATTGAGGCGAGGATAGAGATATGACGCGCAGGGCGCCAAGCCTGCCCTAGCCCTCAGCCCTAATGCCCCTTTGGGCCATGGCGCAGCTCATGCCGTAACACACAGTCAAATAATCCCAGATGGGTTCTCTAATAGCTGTGCTACAGATAAGAGAGTTTTGTATCGTCTCTTAGGATAGCAAGTGAGTGTTGAGCTTTTGTTTACTGTAATGGCTCAAAACTAGAATAAGTCAATAGTCTATAGATTGCTAAAACGAAAGCTGGAGAATCTATCTACAATGTGGCTATGCACAGATACATATACTCCAACGCCAGCGGGTGAGGCCTGTGTATGCGTGGGCCACGCCATAGGCCACAGAGCATTCATAGTTCCTAATCCGGCCTCCTGCTGTATAGTGAAGTTTAGGCTTCCCTAATCAGGTAAGGCGAACCTCTCTATTCGTAATCCGTCCGGATAGCTCACACGCTTTGACAAGCGCCCTACGGCAGGAGTTTGCTTGCTGTCGCAAGTCAGTTATAGGCGTTGCCTCCTGAGTATTTGGCTGGCACATGCATTTCCTGTGCCATGGCAGAGGAGATGCACCATCCATCACAATATCCTTTAATAATTCTATATTAAAGCTCTTTTATTAATGTATCTAAAGCTCTTTAATTAGCTACCTCTTTTTCATCTTCTGTATAAAGATGTCGCTTTAGTCCTAGTTCTTCTCGAATCTATATAAGAGAATATTTCTTAACTTAATAACCTTCTTCTTATAGGATTTAAAGTAATTTTGTATCATCAAATCCATCAAAGAATAAGTCCTGAATTCGAGTTTGTAAGAGCGAAGTATCTTGTGTTCAAGGTCGTACAGTGACTTGCCAAGTCTGTATACGTTGTTGTAACGTACGTAAAACCAGTTGAACTTCGTACGTTTCTCTTAGATATTGTATAACATCTGAGATAGTCTTTCCTTGAAACAAGAGATCAACTATTTCATCTTTATACAGTTCTAAATTCACAGATGGAAGAGCCATTATACAAAGTGTGAATAAGAGAAATCAAAAGAACAAGATAGACAAAATTTAGAAAAAAGCGGTAAGTAAAATTTTTCCCTAAATTTTTCCTACTCAGAATCTTTAACTTTCAACCTTCGTACGATTAATCAAGATGGGAAAAAGATATACTATAATAAACCAAGTTCTGCGGAGAAAATGCAATACTATATAAAATATATAATCGTCTTGAAGAATGTCCTATTTGTGGTGCTCAAAATCCAAAATTTCAGATCTCAACTATTATTAAGATACCTAATAATTCTCCTTAACCAAAAGCTCTTCGTACAGAATCCTCCCTGTACGAGGTGTCAAAGGGGACTTAGCGTGTTTTCAGAGTGTCATCGGGTATTAGGACACTTCGGCGGCTGCTGTAGCAATTGCAAGTGGCCTGAGGCTGCTGCTCATTATCAGTTCCCGATAGTGATTGATTTGCATGCGGGGAAGTCTGACGACGACCCTGATGACGATGAAGATGTAGAGCCTGCTGTACGACGGTAAGATCTCTCACGGGCTATCAAGGGGCCTGGGGTGGCGGCAGATCATCCTATTGTGATAGGATAGGGTACGTACGAAGCTTTCTTGTTCTTCTTGCATGCATTCAGCGTTCAGCACCAGCACTGCCTAGTCGTACGGGATGTGTACGACACTCAGACGATGAGCTTGCACTTCTACGCAGTGTCTGAGACTAGTAGCCGCAAGGTGAAGCAAAGTGAGCTCGTACATAGCAATCAGATAGCATCTCGTACGAAATGTATTATTATGGAGTTCTGGATTCTGGATTTTGAATTCTGATTTTTGATTTCCGAAAAATTTGATTTGGGCTCTAGCACGTAATAGTCCTCCGTACGTTTTTTCTATGAGGTTAATTACTTCCTTGGATTGAAGGAGTCTTGCTTGCACAAGCTGTTTGGGGGTATATTTTTCTCTTCTCTTTGCCATGTTCAGACTGAAGACGAGAGTCCGACAGTCCTTTTCCTACGATTGGGGGGTTCGAGCGGGTGAGAATGAGGACGAGAACTTTTTGCTGGTAAGCATGCCATATGGTATGGTATCCTGGCTGGAGCTTTGCGTGAGGGCTGCGTGGTGGTGGTGCTGTTTGGGTTTGGGACATGGATTCTGTGCTGCTTTGGATGGGGCCTTCTTGCGACGTTGCCAGCATTTTTGTCGTCTGTTCCATCTGATGCCACTGGCTGACCTTTAGGCAGTTATAGGGAATGGATCTTGTGGGGAACAGAAACGTGACTTTCCGTGGACTTGGATGATGGCGAATTAGTGAGATATGTCGCGGCGTCGGTGGATATGTCCGGCACTTTTCCCTGGCTTGCTTGTTTTCACGACCGAGATCGTGAGTTCTGCCTTTTTGATTGACATGATTTTTTCGCGGTTATGGGAATTTTCAGACGTCAAAAGCCTCCGGGCATTTGCGGTTGGGAGTCATCCTCCTCTGAATCTTGCTCTGAACCTTGCTTTGATTCCCTTGCTAAATCCATTTCGCAGGAGTCGCAAATGGTTTGCCAACGTGGGTCTTTTACAAAGGGATCGGTCTCGCTATCCTCATATTCCTCGTCATACTCATCTTCCTCGTTAGTGGAAGCTGAGAGGCAGTCCTCCTGCTCTGTGCAGGGAGGTCTTGAGTCGATTGAGCCTGCCGCATTTGGGGGCCGTGTAGCATGTTCAGGGCACCTAGTCGACTTGTAGGCATCCTCTATAGAATACGTTTCATTTTTCCTTCGTCGATAGCCCGGATATTGCACTTCCGATATTCTGCCTTGTTTGATCATCTCCAACGACCCTTCCCATAGTCTGTCCCTGAGGCCAATTATCCATTTGTCGCATAGTCGACACGGTGCATATGGTCCCTCAGGCTCCCAAGGCTGCCTAACGGGCTGAAACTCATGCATGAACAGAGCCAGGAGTGTATCCTCGGTCCAGCCCTGATTGACCAATGGCGAATATCGTAGTTCCTGTATCACGAAGCAATGCAAACAATGTCCATGCTCAAGTAACATCTTACGCCAGCAAAAGAATTTCCCTGATCCACGCATTGCTATTGTAGTCGGCGATTGAAGTCCACTGATCGAAAACAATATTTTACTATGATTCATATGATGTCCTATACGGTGGAGATCCGAGCCCTGCTCCACACAGTAGGTTATACAGTCGTACTCTTTTGATAACCAGGAATCTGTTAGCCCGACCGAAAGATGTAAAGGTGAAAGACCCCCGGGTTCAACAGCGGCGTTGATGTCAATATCTAATACGGTCAAAATGTGGTGTAGTGTTGAGATAGAGCAGTTAAATAAAGCTGTTTCGCAAGCGTTTATAATAATCGGTCTGAATGCATCTTCTTTCAATTCGGAACGGCAAGCTTCCAAGGCCCACTTAAGAGCTACTTCGGATTTTTCCACAGGATTGCACACTAAATCGTCAAGGAAGCAATAGTCATCCTCAAGTCCATTTTCGAGCTCTAGATATGGAAATAACAAGCGAAGCGTGGGAAGCCGACGAGGTGTGCCAGGTGGACGGCCACTGCCAAAATAAATGAACGGACCACGGCATGCACTCTCAAAAGCGGAGCTGGATTGAATCGCATCATAGTCAGCGGTCGGTCGATGTGTATACTCAGGTATAAGACATGTCTTACCGTGGAAAATCTCCTGAACCTAGACGGTATGTCTTGGCACTCGGGTCAGCACCTTCAGTCAAGAGCAGCTCACAGACTTCAACATGGCAGCTGAAGGCAGCCATCTGGTGAGGCATATCTGGTTAGCTATTGGTAAGACCTGGTGACGATCCGAATGCATAGGCATGACGAAGAGAACTGCTCTTACAGAGAAGAAGTCCATCCGGGCTGAACCAATAACAATGGACGTGACAGAGCTATAACGCAACAACTCAAGAGCGAAAAGATCGAAACGCATGACTCACATGTAATGGGGTCCACCCATTGGGGTTTACATCCCATGGTGAGGCTTCCCGCCTGGCAAGCAAGGTTCTGACCCCGTCTAGGTTTCCGTTTATACAGAAGTCAAAGATCAACGAATCTCTAGGGACAGCTTGAAAGGTTTGTATTTTCCATTGCCATCCCTGGGCTGCCTTCGCAATAAGCACATTAATGCCAAAATTGAAACACATCCGTAAATACCATAGAGCAGGATGATAAATAAAGGACGTCTCGTGCTCCAGAACATAATTGTTATGAAGTGTGTCACTCTTGGAGCATAATCCTGTTGTGACTTGATACACGTCTGTTTGCATGTAGATCCGGCCGCCGAAAAAATCCTTAATAGACGTTGTGCTCCGCGCAGGACACCGCACGCGCGCCCTCTATCGACTAGACTCTTTAGCGGTTGGGCTCACAGATCTTTTCCTAGCCCATTTGTTGCTAGTGTTGTTATTGATACTCGAATGACCAGCAACCTCTGAAGGTGCTGAAAAGGCACCTCTTCGAGGCGACCATGCCGCCTGCTGTAATACAGGTTCCTCGTCTATTATCGTGACCAGGTGGGACTCGAGGGCTGCTTTGGCAGCTGCTTCGAACCTCCGGCGAATTACCGGGTTCGGTATTTTGGTCATCATCCGGGCTAACTCTTCTGAAAGATCCGCCGCATGTTCTGAGAGGCTAGAGGAAAGCGATGTAGTAGAAACAAGCCGCGATCTGTGCTTGACAGATAAATCAGCGAGTTGGTCAGCTACTTGTTGCACAACTCCTGATAGCTTGTCTCGGTGATTATCAATAAGTTCAAGCATATGCTGTTGGCTTTTAGCCAGGTCATCGCGTATCCGCCGTTCTATAGATACCATGTGAGAAGCATTCCTTCGACTAAAAATAACAAGGGTGCGTTAGTATTATAGCAAATGAGGAGCCGAACCTTGAACAAACGATACATAGCTCAAAGCGCCCATCCGGACTACGACCTCATTTGACTTACCTCAACAAGAGATTCCTCGCCTGTAGCGCTAATACTAAAGTAATCTTCGTCTCCCCCAAAGTGGCTTGAAATTTACTTATGACGCTGCTCTTACGTGCCGCTGTAAATGCAGTCCAGCTTCGGGTTTTCCGACTTGCAGATCGAAATCCAGGTTCCAGTTCATTAGTGAGAGCGTTCAGATCATTGACTTTATCTATGCACGTGGCCAAGACGTCGTTTTTGATGGATCCGTCGACCTTTATGTCTTCTAAGATTGAGGCAAGCTGCGAAAGATCCTTCGTGATGGTCGCAACCACTGCTGGGGCCGTTTTGATGGACTCAAAGAATTCACGCAATTTGGAGATGCTTTCCACAATCTGAAAAGTCAGAGAGACAACGGCTATACCGCTGGCGGCGCCTGAAAGACCGTCCATGCTGTCGGGAATGTTTCGGGAGAGCGATTTCAAAAGCGATTTCAGCTCGGCTCGATTTTGGCTAATACGGCGGACTGTTATTGCTGCGTGGAATTGACAGAATCTGAGGAGTTGGTGCGGAGTTCAAAATTTTGATGTGTCCTCAACCCAATAACAGTCCGCCGTATACGAGTTCATACTAAATAAGAACTAAATTAGTACTAAATTAGTAGTCATGAACATCACGCTTACTACGTAAGTACTTACTGTATCGTGAGTCACGTTGTGAAAGCGGACACAAGTGCTGCTGAAGCCTGTCAAATGACACCACTAATCCTACATGCTGCAGAGGGTACTACCTACTCAATTGTCATGGCCGTGAGTGGCCCAATCTGCCCTCTATGCCACGTCCATAAGCTGGCCAGGGATCATTTATCCCGCTACAATCCGTGTTGTCAGACTTCTGCAAGGTTGAACTGTCTCTGAGATTTGGCGTAGAAGCTGACCTTGTGGCCTTGAACCCATATACTTACTTAGCCTGAGCTCCGAGTACAGTACCTGCGTCTGCGGTGCTGCCCTAATTCTTCTCTTGCGATATTTAAGTACTCCATCCTCGTCAATTATTTTGTATCTACTTTTTAACGAATCAACATTCAAGAAATGCTTGTCCCCCCTCCCCTCCCCTGCCGTTTCCTAGCCTTGTCTTTTGTGACGCTGCCTTCCTTTCCCTCCTTATTTGTCCAATTATCTACCTCTTCGCTCCACTACATACTCTTTGCAAGACGTTCTGCCTCTCGAGGTTTAGTTCTGCTATGACTTTGGAAGTGGTCCGTTACATGATGAGGCTGATTGCGCGGGGCCGAATTACATATTATCCCCCTGGTACATCTTGTACTGCACCTTTTTGGAATTTCAGCAATTTGATATAACTAACTCCCTAGGAGAGGCCCCGGGAGGACGCCCTGGAAGAATGCCCCAAAGGCGTGTCCTGGGAGGCTGCCTTAGGACAGTGATCCAGGAGGGTGCCCTAACAGAATCTCCAAAATGATACCTCAGGAGAAGGTGGCCTAGAAGAATGCCCTAAGAGGGTACCCTAGGAGAATGCGTGGTTGCCCCGTTTAGTCCGAGTCGACTATCCCCAGGAGCTTTGTATTTCTTGGAGCGTAGGACGCTCCACAGCACCTCAGTAGCGTACCACGCGTAGCTGGTGACCCCCAGCTCAGCAAAAAGGGTGCTTAATGAAACGGGAAGGGATGACATACAAATCTGCATTGAGGGTTGCATATCGTTTGTCCAACTCACAGTAGACATTGTCAAGCCCATACCCACTAGTTAGTTAGCTTTATCAGGGCCGTGTATGTCGACAACCTCGCCGCCAGTGATGTGGGTCAGGAGCCAATCCCAATGACTAGACGCTTCAGCCTATACGCTAATATCCATAGGTGTCGATCAGCAACCCACGTATATTCGTGGAGAACAAGATGGCCCAAGATGATCATCTCGTCGCTGAGAGTGTCACCAATCTCGTTGCATGTCAAATCGTCCCTGTCAGGGGTGACCCTACGGTTCGGTGGTTTAGTCCGGCACATGCCACTTGACTCTCTTGATCAGATACCAACCTACCACGCATCCTCACAGACAACTACTACGGGACCACCTGTTTCGTAGTAGTCCGTGTACATATTTGTCCCGGGTTTCTCACAGCCGGGATCATCATCGCCAGCATCGGGAGTGTCTATTCCTTGGAAGGTGATCTGGCCCAACTCGGTAGCGCCTTCGGGGATGAGCTCATGTTGGTTTGCCGGATTGCCAGCGAGCTTAAGGAAAAAAAACGGCCTTGAATTTGGCGCGATCTCCCTCGTGGAAGTAATGGCTAAAGACTGGGCTGTCGCTGTCTATACCCGACGCTAAATGAGATAAATGTTAAAAGAAATGTTCGGCACATCGTTTAGAAAAGATAGCACACCTTGTTCAAACAATGCGTAAGTCAGCAACTGCTGCGCATTACTGAAAGCCCCGGTTGTTGGGAGCCCCTGACGGGCTACTAGCTTGCCTCCTCTGGCGGCGTCATTAACGTCGATGGCTTTGCCGAGAATGGGGTTCGTACGTTTCGCAAGCCTGCTGGGATTGGATGTTTCAGATGTGACACGCAAGCTATGAAATGGAATGGCATTGGTGAAAGTGAAGAAGGCGAGAAGGGCAAAGTGGAGATTGTGCAGGCAAGCCATCTTCAAATGGATGTTGCTCTGACTGGGATGCAGAGAAAGCAATGCATGATGAGAGATCGCAGAAGAGTTCGATAATTTTCAGGAAAGGAGTGTTGAACCCACGATTTAAGAAGAGACTCCACACCCTCGAGGCCCTCGAACGCACTGGGTCAAACGTTTGGTGATAAGCTGACCGCCCTGTCCTGCCATAGCAACCAAGGACACATTGTGCGCATTTCACGCTGCCTGTGTGGATCGGGCCATGGCAGCTTGTTCATTTAGGATTTACTGAGAGGAACGTAGGAGACTGAGGCATTCAACCGAGAGTACGGTGTCATGTGCTGTGCAGCAATGATCATTCAACATCTCACAACCTTCGTGATTCCTAATCATGGAATCCAAACAGGTAAGCGTAAAGTCATCTCTCGGGTTGTACGGAGTACCTGAGGCCGTTTTATTACTCCTATTCTGTCCGGCTTACTTTCTCCGTCCCTCTCCTGTACACAATATCCAGCATTTCCTACCCGTTCCAGTTTACCCCCCCAATCCGGTGCTTGTATCCATCATGTGCGACCCCCCGGCCCCGAAACCCCCTTTCACAGTGACAAACTCGGCGCCAGCACCGTTGCCGCTCGCTTGTCTGAGGGGGTCCTCTGTGGATAGCTCAACACCTCGGTTTGTGCAAGTGTAGCGTCGCATTCTCAAGTAGAGGAGGCCATCATCTTGTTAGAGGAAACGAGATATATGGATCGGGAAATGGTGCTGTTGGCTGTCATTACTATAATTGGTAAGTCGACCCGATTCTAGCGACGATGCGTGTATGGTAGCCATATGGCCTATCATTGTCTGTAGTGCGTTTGTGAGAGCCTGTAGGAAGATCTGCGGACGCATGTGTGGCGAGAGAGACACCCAGCGGTAGCCGCCTGTTCAGACTGGGTAGTAGGGGAACTGTGTATTGGTTGGAAGCCACTGCAGTGGAAGAGGCGAACTGCCCCTACTGCAAGTAAGGTATGAGAATTGCATGGTGTGAAGGCGTGGTGGTAACCAGAATCCGACAGGCATTGGCATGTTCAGGGGTCTTCTGTAGCAACAATTGCAATCACCGAGATGCAATTTAGGAAGGCTGTTCTGCTTAGACAACTCAAGACTCGTGTTGTCTCGCTTCGCAAAGAGTTATTACAATCGTGTCCGTGATTGTTTCCGTTCAGAGGGTCTTGCTCTTTAGTGGTCCTCCACATGATATCACTAAGGGAATAAGTGTCTGGCGGCCTACGAAGAATACGCTCAAGGTTTTTCTTGTTCGCCGTCGACATGAGTAGTTCTGTCAGTAGTCTCCTTTGCGGGTATGTCTTCCTTCTCTGATGAGACTGGTTCAGGTTGTTTCGAATCTGCAGTAACCGTCTTGCTTCTCACTATCTCAACAATATGCGAGCCCAAGTCGCCAGCGCCTTCGAGCTTGCTGATACGATTATTGAAGTATTGTGCATCGGCCAGCATTCTGTCAGAGGTCAGCTACCAGAACTCACATGTAGGAGACATATCTTCTTACCTTTCTTTAGCGACCGTCGACTTCAATGGAACATCTCTATATGCTAACGACCACTGGTCCCTATAATTCGCATATACTGGCTTCATAATCGATGAGACAGCGGACTCGGGGAGATGCTTTGAAAGCACTTTCTGCAGGGTGGCAGTCTCCTTCGTGAGCGTCTCCACGTACGGACTGATAGCTGCTGAGTCTGAACGAGAAGCTTCTTCCCAGTCGATCTTCTTCATTGCATTCGCATGCAATGACGCTCTGGAGCTCATAATCTCTATCAACTTCTCGTGGATAGCGTTTTGATGATCTTGATACAACCGTTTCACTTTGTCAAAATCTGCAATCAGATTCGACGCGGTGGACGACATGTATCGTCTGAAAAATTCTCTGATATATGGTATCTGCGCGATAATGAAGCTGAGTGCTTGCGAAGCCAGAGCGAGATGCTTCGTAGTGATATTCTTAAGCCCAGCGCTTCGAGTAGCACCAGCACCAAGGATGAGCTGCGACAATCTTGAATTGAAGAGCTTGAGGCAATCGAGAAGATTGCTCGCAATTTCTTGCCCCATACTTGGGATGCCGGTCATCAAGTGTTCGAGGCTTTCGACAGCGCGAAGAATCGCTGCAGCAGACTCTGGAAGGAGAAACTTCTGCTCATCAATGACTGCGCTACGAATTTTGTCCCTTGGATTTGAGTGTATCTGACCGTTAGGAACTACTCCGTTGGCACCATGTGCGACCCCTTCGTCTTCACTGAGCCAGATCATCGAAGTCTGGTACCATGCGGGTGCATCTCGAGTGCCACCTTCGAGCACTCTCGTCAGTAATGTAGACTGATGTTCTCCAAAGTCTTTAGCATCCCACTTATCGGCATCCATTACTTCGATGAGAATCCGCTTCTGTAGATTTCCGAACTGTGAGACAAATTCCTTGATCTGGTTGTCGACAGTGCTTTTGAGAGACGTTCCACTCCTACCGGAAATAGCTTCACACTCATCAGCAAAGAGTCGATTCAGGGTGAAGAATCTAAGGAACGCTGCCAACGGGAGGTGAGAGGTCTGCTCAGAGCGAACTTTGATCACCTTGGTGATTTGTCCCTGAACTATGTCGACTGCCTCTCCTAGAAGGCTCGACATGTCCAAGACTTGTTGGATATCTTCCTGAAGCGTAATAAGTGGCACCTGTTTGTTTGCTGATTGCGGAGAGAATGCATCACCTCGAGATTGAGGGTTTGGGCTACTCGCTAATGATCTTGAACCCGGTTCAGGTGGCTTTGAAAGTCCACTAGTGATGTCTAACAGGATCTTCACCTGCACACTCAGCCTCCGAAGCGATTCACTGACACCAGTGTATATCTTCGTCAGCATCACCTGAGCATCTTCGGCATCGAGCTCCCTTAGGTTTCGGGCCAATACCGAGGACTTTTCTTGTGAGCTGAGTTGGCGGCCTCCATGCGTAGAAGCGGACGTCACCGACTCGCTATCATCATCATTGGAGCTGGGCAGATTTTGGCGAATGACGCTCTTCATCTCCCGCAATATCGAGGCTCTGAAAGCCGCGGCTGCCGGCATTGTGTGTTGTGCTCTCGCTAATCCTCGAAGCTCAGTCTGTAATTCGGATCTTAAACCATCGTCGACGTTCATATATGTAGGAAAGGTGGACGGCTGCCTATCCCTTGACCTTGAGCGACTGAAGGCAGCAGCCCAGCGTCGCAAAGTGACATCTGCTGGTACGCTAGTAACGTGGTGTCGCACATCGTCCAGCAAACTGGTAAGGAAGCGAACTTCATAAGCCTTGCCTATTCGCAGTCGAAGCTGTGCGAGGTCATCCATAGCTCCATCTAAGGCTCGAAGGCGCCGAAGATCGTATAGAGAAGAAGGATTCCTAAGATTTTCGGTGCGCGCCGTTGGCCTGCCTGCCATCAGTCTCTCGACATGGTCAAGCTGATCCAATGCCTTATCCACATGGCCATTTTCAACCATGTCCTCACACTCGATGACAGACTCGACGATGCCCCTGAGCTGAGACACTGCCTGGCCAAGCTGATGGACGTTCTGCCTCCTCTGCTTCAGATTGACCACTTTCAAGCCACCCATAGCCATGTCTTTGTCCAGTCTTGCGAGATCTTTGCGCAAAGTCCGGATTTTGTCTACCGAATCAGCTGCTTCGGCATGCAGCTCTCGCAGTGAACCAAGGGCAGAGAAGAATGATTTGGAAGCAGTCGAGATTGAAGATATGAGATGGATCTCTACCGTGTCCATGTACCATGACAGCTTTTCTTGAAGGATAGCGTTCGTGGCAAGGGCCTTCCTACCGCTTCCCGTGGTGTCTGAGCTACGATTGGGATCTCTCACAAGCTCTGATCGTTCTGACACGACATCAAATGTTCGCGGATTCTCGATATGAAAATCCTCGTCGAAGTAGACGGGAGGAATTGAAGACAATGGCGCTACAGCATGCGAACGTCTCTGGCCGGTCGACTTTCTTCTTGGCTGCGGCTGTTCCAATGGTGAAGCAGCAGAGTAGGCAGAGCCTGCACGCGAATGAGCCGGCCGGACGGGAGACGACGCAAGGAGTTTTTCTAAGTTCTCGTCCTTGCTCTCTTTGGAGTCTCTATGAAACAGTTGTGAGTCGCTTTCAACTTCCTCCTTTGCCTTCCTGAAAGCGTCGTAGAGGGATCCAACTTGTGTAAGGTAAGGCTGAAATGCCTTCGATTCGACGTGAGGAATGTTCGTCAGGGTCACCGGAGGGATATCGCGAGGAGTTGGGGCTTTGAAGCCGCTCGTCGAAACACTTGAATGTGGTAACAGACCTGTTCGTACGACAGGAGGCTGTAAAAGTGTAGATATTGCATTTTGGCCTGACTCCGCTACCGAATGTTGACCGCTGCGGCTGAGGTCCAACACTCCTCCGATGCTGGTGATTGAGCTAGTATTTGATCCCTTGCGCAATTGCTTGCTGTCCGAGGAGACCAAAGTTTGTGCAGACTCCCGCCGAGGGAACGGGAACTGAGAGTGAGATGCATTTGGGGAAGGAGACGCAAAGGTTTGCTCAAGTCCTTGTCGATCCGGGGAGGACATCCTGACAACCGTGTGTCTGAATGAAAGGTAGGCATGAGGACGAGGACAAGGAAAAGGATGCTATCGACCGGACGTCATCTCTCGCGCAGAAAGGCCCATCAAAGTGTGCCTATTGTCGCCGGCGCAATAGACTCGTCCATGATAGTTGATGTCGACTGCTAACCTTAGCTCCCACATGGAGGACTAGCTAGCTCACCATAGGCATAAATACTTAAACTGTAAGGGCCGAAGGGCCTCTGGGCTTTCGCCCTCGGGGTCGGGGAACTCTTCGGCCGACCGCGCGCTAACTAATGCAACCACTCTCCAACGCGTCTTTCGTCGCGTCTTCTAACTAGATCCAAGGAGTATTGATCACGATTACCACGTACCAGAGTACCGTTTCAATCCTTTAATCCAGAAACCACAAGCCTTATGGATACACGAAGCACATACTCGCTCAGCGTGCTTGCGCCTCTGCATGATGGCACAGAAGAGCCAAAAACAGAGATCCAAGCGAAACTGCGAGAATTCATCCTTGCTTTCCAAATCGATGGCACATTCATCTACAGAGACCAGATCCGTGAGAACGCTCTAGTCAGACAGTACTACTGCGACATCGATATCGCGCATCTTATATCCTATAACGAAGAACTTGCGAACAAATTGACGACTGATCCTTCAGTGACGATACCACTATTTGAAGCCGCACTACGCCAATGCACGCAACGCATTGTCTATCCACAGAAGCCGAATGAAGACCTACCTCAGCATCAGTTGCTACTACACTCCTCCGTTTCACATCTGAATATTCGCGACCTCAACGCAACAAATGTCTCGCAACTCGTCCGCATACCAGGCATTGTCATTGGTGCCTCTACCCTATCCTCGAAAGCAACAGTCCTAAGCCTGCAATGTCGAAGCTGTGCAGGCACATATCAGATGATTGTCGAAGGTGGGTTTTCCGGGATAACACTACCAAGAGTATGCAATCGACAACGTCCAGAACACGAAGCATCGGAGAAATGCCCGCTGGACCCCTACTTTGTGGTCCATGAGCGCTGCCAATTCATTGACCAACAAGTTATCAAGTTACAAGAAGCTCCAGACCAGGTGCCAGTTGGCGAGCTGCCTCGTCACATCCTCATCTCAGCAGACCGATACTTGACCAACCGAGTGGTGCCTGGCTCTCGTTGCACCGTGATGGGCGTATTCAGTATCTACCAATCCAAAGGCGCAAAGGCCAAAGACAGTGCCATTGCAATCCGGAACCCATATCTGCGAGCGGTCGGAATCACTACCGACGTGGACCACACAGCTAAAGGGAACTCTGTTTTCTCAGAAGAAGAGGAGCAAGAATTTCAAGAGATAAGCAAGACGAAAAATCTATATGAGAAGTTTGCCGATTGCATCGCTCCGTCCATCTATGGAAATAAAGACATCAAAAAGGCAATTGCATGCCTCCTTATGGGCGGATCGAAGAAGATCCTACCAGATGGGATGAAATTGCGTGGTGATATCAATGTTTTGTTGTTGGGTGACCCTGGAACGGCAAAGTCACAGCTGCTCAAATTTGTTGAAAAAGTATCTCCAATTGCCATATACACCTCTGGCAAAGGTTCATCCGCCGCTGGACTGACAGCTTCTGTCCAACGTGACACTGCAACACGAGAATTTTACCTTGAAGGTGGAGCCATGGTGCTCGCCGATGGTGGTGTCGTGTGCATTGATGAGTTCGACAAGATGCGCGATGAAGACCGTGTTGCCATACATGAAGCGATGGAACAACAAACCATCTCTATTGCCAAAGCTGGAATCACCACTATTCTCAACGCCCGGACCTCTGTGCTAGCAGCGGCCAATCCAATCTTTGGACGTTATGACGATCTGAAAAGTCCAGGTGAGAACATCGACTTCCAGACCACAATCCTTTCGAGGTTCGATATGATTTTCATTGTGCGGGACGAGCACGAGAAAGGTCGAGATGAGCGAATTGCGAAACACGTCATGGGTATCCATATGGGTAGATCCGGCGTTGAGGAACAGCGCGAATCGGAAATACCAGTAGAGAAGATGAAGCGATATATCAGTTACTGCAAGTCGTGAGTCTCCACCAGCCCCATGGTTGATGTAGGTAGCTGACGTCCAAACAGGAGATGCGCACCACGTCTGTCCCCTGAAGCAGCGGAAAAACTCTCGTCCCATTTCGTTTCCATCAGGCGACGTGTCCACGAATCTGAGCGCGCAGCGAACCTTCGTTCCTCCATTCCTATCACTGTCCGACAACTCGAAGCCATCATCCGTATTAGCGAATCTCTTGCCAAACTCACATTATCCAATGTTGCGACAGAAGAACATGTCGATGAAGCCATCCGGCTGTTCCTGGCATCGACAATGGATGCAGTGACGCAGGGTGAAGGACAAGGAAGCAGAGAGCTGATGGAGGAGGTTGGAAAGGTGGAGGAAGAATTGAGAAGGAGATTGCCAATTGGTTGGAGCACTAGCCTGGCAACTTTGAGAAAGGAGTTTGTGGAAGGAAGGGGATATAGTGAGGAGGGGTTGAGGAGAGCGCTTGTGGTGTTGGGAAGGAGGGAAACTGTACAGATCAGGAGTGGAGGGAGCCAGGTATATCGGTGTGGTGCTTGAGGTGGGGAATGTTATTGGCTGTGTTGCAGTGGACTGGTCCGGCGTATGGTGTGATGGCATATCATGATGGATGGTCTACTTGGGGATACACGTAGTAGTAGTGCATGGTTGCTGTAAGAGTCATGGACGAATCTCAAACAACGAAGAAGTCTCTGTTTCGCGGTCAGAACGAGTTGCAAGATCTTCATGATGCCGGAAAACTAGACTGACTCGATACCTGGTTATCGTTCTGGATGTACAGACATTCCCAACAAAGCTATGCCTCTTAACTGTTCCCCTTGATAAGTAAGCATGAGGCTTGGCATTTCCGTCTGACGTCGTGCCTCGCAGTGTCTCTCACTTTCTCATTTTCTCAAAACACATTGACATCGTCGCCGTCTCGATCAATCCACGGGCAATTCGTGTGGAAGTAGGGCTCTGCCTACCCCCAAGTTACAGAATCTTCAAGAGATTTTTCCAATGGTGTCGCCCCATATCCGCGTGATTGGATCGTTAAACATTGATTACACCACTACTACGCCGCGGTTTCCAGGACCAGGTGAAACCCTGACTGCAAAATCTCTATCTATCAGTGCTGGAGGCAAGGGAGCAAATCAAGCCGTGGCATGTGGTCGAGCTTCGTACACTAGTACAACAGAACACGATGTGCAGATCGAGATGGTCGGCGCAGTGGGTGCAGAGGATCCTCAGTATGCCGCTTTACTCAAGCCAGTTTTGGAGAAGACAGGAATTGATTGCAGCGGTATCCGAGAAGTAGAAAGGTCACAGACTGGCACTGCAACGATTATTGTGGATGCATCGAAGGATGGGGAGAACAGAATCCTGGTTGTGCCGGGGGCGAACTACGATGGCATGAACGATGTGGAGGACGTGCTGGAACGAGCCTTGAAGGAACCATTACCTGAAGTTTTCGTCTTGCAGGGGGAAATACCGGCAGAAACCACGTTTGCATTGCTAAAGGCTATTTCTGACACAGCAGAGAAGACTGGAAAGTTGGTCGAAATCGTGTTCAACCCGGCGCCGGTTTATCCAGAGGGCATACCCCTGGACTGCATGAAATGTGTCACACATCTGATTGTCAACGAGACAGAGATGGGCCAATTGGCTGTTGATGCAGGCGACCAATATGTGGCAGCGAACACGGAAGAAGAGAAGAGAGCTGCTCTGGTCATGGCGGCAGAGGTCTTTCATCGAAGAATGGTCCGCAACGTCATAGTCACAAGAGGAGCCGAGGGTGTTTTTGGCAGCACGCCTGCTGGTCCATTCCACCTTGAGGCCGCCAAAGTCACCAAGGTGACTGATACAACAGCTGCTGGAGATACGTTCGTGGGCTACTACGCTGTCGTACTGGCAAGACAAAAGAAGGAGGGGGGAAAGGGAGCCTCACAAGATGCTCTAAACGAGGCGTGTCGCCAGGCCACATTGGCCGCGGCAAAGTGTGTGGTAAGAGAAGGGGCTATTGAGAGCATTCCCTGGGGATATGAGATGGAGGAACGTAGCAAGACGTGATCCGGGAACCACATAATCATGCGGGTAGGATTCCTTACTGTCCAGGGTGGCGACAAATCATCCAGCCTGAAAGACGAACATGTCGTCTTCCGTGGCGACAGACGTCCCGGCAATAAGATCTGAATTATGGCAATGCTTCTGGCAATGCTTCTGGAATGCTTCTGGCAAGGGGATCTCAAAATTCATGATGCTAGCAAGGGTTTCTACGCTATGCTACTAATATATCTGCGGCAGCCGATGCAGCGACTGTTTCCTTGGATGTGGCCTCAGTGTGAGCAGCGAACATGATAGGAGAGCTTGATGCCTGAGGCAGAAACGCGCTCGGCTAGAACACTGAGCGGTAGGCACAATCTTATACACTGGCAGTTGGGACCATCATGCAACAGATGATACCTGGATGGAACCAAGGTCTGATAGGGATCGGGGATGAAGGGAAGGGAGGGAAGATGATTGGTGGTGTGGTGGTCGTTATTGAGGTCACTCGTTTTCGATTGGCCTAGATTGGCCTGGATTGATTGGTGAACCGCTGGCGCTGAAACAATACTAGGTAAAGCCGAACAACCTCGCAAGGTTATGCTCCGTACTCGAGTATGATGATGTAGACATTTGCAAGATAGGGAAATGGTACCATAGTGACTACATGCTTATACTTGTCTGGACTTGTACCCTTTTCAGTCAACGCATATTCAGTTACTTCCCAAAGTGGATGCCTACCACCAGTACCACTACCACTGCCACTACCACTAGTGAGGGCGCGAGATCCTGGCGTGATACCGTGACACCGTGGAGCGCGTCGGGCACCTAGCCTTGCATCCTCGCCCTGGTTTCGCCCCTCTCTTGCTACGTAGCATTGCAACTAACCCAAGCCACCTCCTCACTCGGACAAGGTCCATACCCAATTGACTGCCTCAGGCGCCAGGGCATGAACGCTCACCTGCATTGGATCGTCACGCTAGAACAGGCAGCACGTCTCTATCTGGTTTTCCCCCTTCTGTCCACTGGTTCTCACTCTAGGCTTAACACAATCCCTTGCCAGAGAGGACTACCACGACTTTTTGCGGTACAGCGTTGACCCCATCTCAGCCAGAATAAGGTTGGCTTCTCGTCACGCTTCAGAAACCTAGCGCGCAATTGCTCGCGAGTCCTTGCTTACTACGTACGGAGTATTCTTGCTGGATATACACCCACCACTCCCCTCAGTCAGCCTTCTCGCCATATTTCCGTCACCAGTCCTAGAGAGCTCTTTGTGTTCCACTATCACTATCATACAGCTGTTTGTTCTCGAACACTTTATATCATTACCGACAGCAACTATTTCATATTTTTGATTGTGATCCACCAGTCGCTTAGCACAACAGTGAAGTTTGGACGCTGAACACTTACGGGTGTTGGGGATCAACCTGAGGCAACAACAACATCTATAAAGGGCGTTGAACCACAACATCCACTTCTCAAACCTTACATTACCTTCCAACGATTCATAACTTGGTTCTCGAAGCTACAAACCTCTACCTTTCTTGCCAGCCGTTGTGATACCAAGATCCGAAATATCCACGAGCTTCTTCCTACAAGGTGCTGCAACAACAGATCAAGACACCAAAAGCAATTCGAATACAGTCTCCTCGCTCGTTCTGATGGCATCAGTCCAGACTCCTGTGAGGCAGCCATTTGGCGTGCTTGACAGTTCCAAGCTACGCAATCTCCAAAGTATCAAGAACTGCCAAAATGGTATGCTCATATAGTTCAAACTGCCGTATTTGTGTTAACATCAAGCTTAGCAATAGCTCCATCTTCAGCACCCTTGCTCAAGCGTCGCCATGTTGCTCTGGACTTGTCAGACTCTGAGAATGTTGATCCCATAGACTTCAAGGCAGCAGGATCTAAACGAATGAAGACTGATACCTCCGACGACCTTTGCAAACCTTCAGCATTCACACTGAAGACCTTTCCTAAACCCAAGTCTCGGATCTCAAGCTCCTCAATCTTGACACCTCGTCCAGAGACTCCAACCATCAACACTGCCATCAAGCCAACCATTACCTCTTCCGCCCCTGCAGCAGCCGGCCGCTCTCCCATCAAATCAAAGCGGTCCGGTATCCTCTCCAACCGCCGCACGCGTCTTAATGCTCCAGTACTTGGTGGTCGTAGCCGTGCTCCTCTTTCACTAGCAGCAGCTCTCAATGGCACTATAGCTAACAAGAAGCACAAAAAACACGTCGATACTGCCACCCTGGAGGATTCTAAGCCCAAGTCGTGGTTCTTCGACATCTACGAGGAGACAGAGGCACAGCAGGACTTTGTGGTCAATGAATGGACCATGACCCAGTCTGCCTGCTCTCTTGACATCTCTGATGACGAAAGTAAGGCTGTCACCCAGGATGATAGGGGTAAAGAGAACGTTCCACCCAACGAGGTCCATTCCCTTGCCATCACTCCTTCCGGCAATGCTCCTTCAACCCAGGCAGCCACTTCAAGGAAAGACATGATGACCGATGAGCCTCGAACTCCTCTGGGGGACCTCAACCCGTCCGACTACTACGCTGACGGTCATGATGCCACTTCCATCGTCCTCGTCGCTGAAGATGAGCCAGAGCCTGAGAAGCCAACCGCCTCCGACGCTGCCCAAGACCTCACACCGGAAGCCCCGTCAACAGACTTCAACTTCAGTGCTGGATTACCAGCCACCGAAGGAGAACAAGACAAGCTGATGACCAAGGCCGAGCTCAGCAGCCTCCTCCTCGGCGCTGCATCGTCCCTCCCCTCGGAGCAAGACGACGTCGAAGCAGGTCTCTTCGATAGGTGCCACGGAGGTGCGGATGCCGAGACTGTCGAGCCGGCTGATATCGAGATCTGGGAGAGCGGAAGCGCAAAGGATGAGAGTGGCGACATGGAGGCCCGTGACAGTATCTTTGCTGTGTTGTGATAGACCCCTCTTTCTCTCTCTCTCTCTCATGAAATGAAAGTTGACTGTCTGTGTGTGACCGATGGACTCGCTGTCCGAGATGAGATGAGCTGTGACGTGGTGTGATGTGGGTACGATCAGTTCCGGGCTTTGAGATTTTCCCCTGTCAAGAGTATGACGGCGTTAGGTATCTGCTTGCTTGCTTGCTTGCTTGCTTTCTGGCCTTGCTTGCCTGCCTTGTTTGATTTTATTGTTGTTGGGAGTCTTCACGTCGGTCGGTGGATGCTTGCCTCGGCGTTCGTTTTTGTTCGCTCGCTCGGTAGTATGACTCTGCACCCAAGTTTCTGCTAGTTAGCAACCTAGTTTTATGTTCAACTTGAGTTCAATCATCTTCCCATCTCCTTCCTGTGCATATCAATCTCTGCTGTATGGATGGAGGAAGGAAGGGTGGAGATGGTTTCGGTGGGAGAAGGTACGACTTACATAGTCTACGCGAGAACTCCTTTGCACGTGATTGCTGCTTTACTTGATCCTTTGATCTCGCCGACTTCATATGGCATGTAACGTAAGTAAGGTGCGTGTGTCCGTGTAGACAGACGTATGTATTGTCTACCCCATGTGGGTGGGAGAGGGGAATCGATTCAGGGGGAGGATCATCCCTCTCCCTCTCCCTCTCTCCCATGTCAGTCTTCCTTCACCCTCAAAGTCTGGACGCTTCACTCTTGTATGACATGACATGGCCTGCACAACTCCCAACTCCAAACAGACTCTAACTTAGACTCTAGACTCTACGGATATTACAGCTACTACAGCAGCTGCTGATAAGAAAGTGACAAGGCATATCATATGTTCATTCTACCAACTAACCTGACTAACTTGGTCAAGCCAGTCAGTTTCTAGACGGCGCATGCATCTCTCCTGATATCCAAGCCTCGCCGCTCAGTGGAATTTTCTCTCTCCCTCTCTCTCTCTCTCTGTCTCTCTCTCTCTCTGAAGTCGCGGAAGAAAGCCAGCGTAGAATGCGCCTCTCGACCTGCTGTGATGGACAGCCCCAATACAAGTTGGCCAAGTAGTAAAGCATGCTGATTGCAAGCCGACCCGACTCCAACTCCGACCAACTCCGACCAAACCAGACCAAACCAAGGCAAGGCAAGCTAACGCCTGTGTAAAACATGCCCGTGCCTTGCTACCATGCCATCTCGTGACGCGTACCCGCTGATTCTTAATCTTTCTTAGCCTCCTGCTCCAACCTCACCACTGCCGGATCAACCGCCACAAAGGGGTCGGCCTCTGCCTCCGCCTGCCCGCCCTGCCCAACTCTGCTGTTGGCCTTCACCGCCCCGATATTCGCATGCCCAGCTTTGTGCTCGACTTCCTTCCTCTCCGCCTCCGCAGCTTCACTGGGGCCCACAAAGAGCATGTTGCCGATCCTGGGCATCTTAGGACTTGGCTCCCCCATATCCGCGTCAGTAGCACCACTTCCTCCACCACCACCATCCCAATTGCCATCTGCGTCTGTCGTGAGGCCACTCCCCACGACTTTGCGCCGAGGAGGCGAGTACATCTCCACATACGCCTCCCTCAGCACCTCGTAGAGAAAGCTATACTGCACATCATTCATCACCATCATCATGCGCTGTTCACGAAGCGTATTCACCGTCTCGAAGATGAGATCTTCCTTCGCTTCTGGCGTTGATTCCTTACCCATCATCATCGCAAAACTATTGCCATCGACGGACGCAGTGTCGGATTCCTCTTGTGAGGTCTGGGTGCGCTGGCCTGAGGAGCTGGGCCGGGATGAGGTGGACGGGTTGATTTCGAGGTTGCCTTGGGCGAGCTCTCGGAGGAGGAAGTCGAGGGCGATGAATGTCCCTGTGCGGCCGACTCCGGCGGAGCAGTGGACGAAGCGCGGGTTCAGGCTTGGGTCTCCAGCTTGCAGGGCGGATTGCTTGATTAGTTCGAGGAGGGCCCGCCGGTCCTCGCCTTCGGGTTTGGCGTAGTCGGGCCAGCCGTTGAAAAGGTAGTGCCATATCGTTTTGGTTTCTGCGCCAATTTGGAGTTTAAGCTTGCGCACCTCAGATCGCGATATCGTGTCATGGTGAAATTCGAGTAGAGTAACACTAGCTTCTAGACTTCTTTGGACTTTGGGTTCTGGAGTGTTTCGATCGGAGCCGGGGTCTTCTGCAGGGTTACTATCAGCATCGGCGCTTAAGGGGTCCGAATCCAAGAAGGGATCACCAATAGGGTTTGAAGGGTGATCATCTCCTTCGCTAGATCCCAGATCAAACGTAGGTATATCCATGCTGGTGGGAAAATACTGTCCGCATTTCTCTTTATTGCCCTCCCAGCATTGGGTCAGCATTACAATCACACCTATTTCGCCGACGGTCTCTTGCATGACCATATTCCAGAAGTGGGAGAATTGCCCCTCCTTGGGACCTTGTGTGGCGATGTATTTGTATTCCGGGGGGTCAACATTGGTAGAGGCGCTTTGATGATGGACAGACACAGAAGATCGTGCATTTGGGCTAGATGAAGGAGACCTGCTCTTGAGCCTAATTGGAGAGGCATTGACGTAGTCTGAACCAGCGATCGGAACCTCCAACTTTATTCGCGACGAGTCCCAAGGCTGAACATTGTTATAGCGATTTCTGGAGAAGACCATAGGAGACCTCTCGATGCGGAATGGGGAGCTCGTAGGATTGTTCATAGCATGCTGAAGACGAAAGCGTTGGCGCCATTCAAGCTCTTGAAACAGCTTTGATATGTCTTGTAGATAGGTCAGCATGATAGAAGAACAGTTCGCGGATGATTGTGCCAGAATTGCCCCGTCAAGGGGTCACGACCCACCTGCTTTGGAATGATTTAAGAAGGCAGGTATGCGGAGACCTGGACTTGGTGGAGGACCATCATCTACCTCACGATGCGTAGAGCTTGCTCGACCCAAGAAGGGGCGACCATCTCGCGAACGCTGTCTCTTTGATGGTGGAGCGGGAGGAGTAACCGTGAGGGAAGAAGGAATCATATCGCCGAAGGATTCTGGTGGAGCGGAGACATTAGGACTTCCTGTGACGTCTTCATCGGCTGGATGAGGAGATCCAGCGGGTGAAGGTGACGGCGACGCCTTCGCTGACAATCTTGTCTTTGACTTTGACCTTGATCTTGATCTGTGCAGGAGTAGAGTTGGACGGATACTCAGTCTCCGAAACAGTGATGGACGGATTGCGTTCAAAGATTCCTCGGCTGGAGACTGAGGAGCGGCGCCGAGGTGATGCGTGTAACGAGGAGAAATGGTCGTTTTGAAGGAGTGACGGGATGATAAGAAGCAAATCTGGTGCAGTGGAACAAGCAAAGGGGCAAAGGCTGACGGGAACTGGAAGTTTCTTTGGCAGTCAACACCTTTCGCATCTAACAGGAATCAGAAACACAAGTTGAAGCTGGGCAGGCACAGCGGTAAGAGTGTAAGAGTGTTAGACTGTAGGATGTCAAGTCAAAGGTGCCTTCCCGAAGCACAGTTTGAAGAATATTCTTTTCTTTTCCAAAAGGCAGAAGGAAAAGGAATCTATTCAATGCAGGGATCAACTTTGGATCAATTTTGGTTGTGACTGATTTGGTCCGAAATCAAGGGCAGGATGGAGGGTACGACACCAGAAGGGAAGGGCGCATAGAATGATATTCGTAATGAAGGAGGTCTTCAAGGAGTGAAGCAACATCAACCAGAGCAGAATTGTAGTGGTAAGTATTGAGTATGTGTTTCAAGATGCTGACTTGAAGCAACAGCCAGTGAGAAGCGCTGCTCGAGCGTCTGAAGTCTCCACAACCCGCTGTCAACTACAGACTCGTATGTATGAATCACTCTCGCCACCACCACCACCCATAATCCAACCATCTGCTTAACTTCTCCATTTGTTATCCCAACCTTCATATTCGATCCTATGGCATTATTGATACACCGACTGGGGGATTGGACGTGTTTCACGAGATGAAGTTGCCATGGCCAGTCATTTGGCAGTTGGAGGTGCGTCCATTTAGTTCGCTCACCTAGATGGCTCGCGGGTTAACATGCGCTTTCCAGCAATTACTCGTCCTGAGAGTAGGCTCTTGTCTGTCCATCACCATACGAGGATGTGCGACCTGACCATCTCCGCAGCTCCTTCGCAGTCCATCTTTCCACCGAGGAGTGCAAGGTATCCATAAAACCTTACATCGACTGCGACATGGCACACCTCCCGAAGAACTAGGAGGGATCAAATCAGACGGTATACGTCTTGATCTGCAGATGCGCTCGCTTTTGTTGACAGTAATCCGTTCCAGGAGACCGTGGACCTCGACGCTTTTTGCAACTGTTTTGGGAGGAGCTTAAGAACGGGACCCAGACCCGGCCGAACAACAAAAAATAGTTCATTTGCATGGCGATAGTTTGGGGCTACTATCCTGGGTATCTGACGATCGGACGGAAGCAAGGCGAGTAGAAATAGACAATGAGTCTACAATTCATAATATTTGGTCGAATGGCAATGGGTGCGCATCCCCCCCTATTTTAAGTCCTCTTGACCACATACCTCATATCAATTCACCGGATCAGATTGGGTCAGCATCATGTTCAGTTGGAGACTGTCCCTCACTCAATCCGAAGACAAAACTATGCTCAGAACCCACGATCACACCGACCTGTTACACGGTAGAAGCTCGTATTCATTCAAGCGCATACAGACCTCGAACGTTGTGGCGCAATCATGTAGGAAGCTCCTAGGGGCTATAATACCCTATATTTGTGGTTGGATGGCCTTTAAGCTGGTATTCTCACTTCCCACACCTCAACCCTGGCTGCTGTTCTTCTACGTGCTAAAGCTCTTCCCTAAACATATCAACGCTCGCGTTCGCAATTTCACAGCTCTCGTGTAGTCGACCTTACCTTACTTAACCCTACCCCTGGACAACATGAACTCACACCTTTCTGCATCTTTACAAGACGTTCACAAATGTCATCCAAACAGGGATCCATCGCTTCCATTTCAAGGATGGCGCTTTCGAAAGACAAAATAGCTCAGAAGCAGGAGCCCCGAGACCCATCAGAGATCGTCAGCACGTTGGAACTACTCATAGCTTCATCCTAGACAATCATTTCGGAGAAGACGGAATTTCGGAAGATGGTCGACACGATGGGCATGACGGGTCAGATGCACGGCATCACAACTTGGTACTCCGCCGAGGAGGCGAAAACCTTCAACATCGCGACCGACAGCCTCATGGAAGCATTTGTGGAAGATCATCGAAAGCGCAGTTGGTGTCCCCATCCACTCTGATTTACAGGTGACTAATGCAAACAACGAAGGCATCGAGCAACATCTGGCCGATGATCGAGAGATATATGACAAGGCGTATGGTCCAGAGTCCAATTTAGATCATGCCGTTCGAGGTTGACGATGGTTTCATGGGCTACTGCAAACTAATCAAGTCTACGCTTACCCTCCCATTGAATTCGGCTGGCATGGAGCTGCTACCCGTCTATCTATCTCTAAGGCAAATGCTCCAAGCGCACAGAATCAGTGATAGGTAAGATAGAACAACTGCTAAGAAACATTTTGCATCGGAGTAATAGAACGGGAGACGTTTACCGGCCTGTAAAATCCAATTCCCCTTATTCCAATAGTCCATTGCGGCCATATACCGTTTCGCAGTCAAGTATGACGCGTTTTGACACGAAAGAGAATCCTGCGACAGTCCGGGCTCACTTTCGAAGCGCAGGCGAATTTCTCCAGCCTTCCGCGATTTGCCTATCTCGGCATCCCTGTCTCTGGCAAGATGTACCCTCCATCTGGTATCCGTTGGGGTCAATCCTGCACCCAGGTCCAGCCATTTCGTAATAACTAACGCTGTTCCTTCGTTACCAACCTCTTTGATCTCCATTTGGAAGTCTATGTTGCAATAGCGACATTTGAGAACTTCCGAATCTGGCCGGCACACAGATTCTGTGTGGTGACGCTTTAATTTGGACTCGATAAGTCGAGATACCTCCGAAGACCTGGTTGTTACATGGTCACATATCATCACGAATTTGGTCTTGAGAAGCATCGAATCACGTTTCGTAGAGCCAATCAACGCCCATTGCTGAATGCGTAGAGATAAACTCGTCGGCTCGAGGCAGATCCGCGCTTCCACTGATAGCAGCGTCGTAACCTGCTCTGGCTTGTCTTCGTCAATGGGTACTTGAACTTCTGTGAATGACAACGACTCGGTAGGAATCCCATATCCTGGGCCGTAGTAGTGCCTTCTCATAGCCAGCTGCAAATGTGGAAAAACAAACCGGTATCGGGACAGCGACCGGTGCGCTCGTACACATCGCCAAAGTTCGAGCTGGTGTCCAACGCAGGGCAACTGGTTCTTGGGCTGCAACGCCGGGCCAGGCGGGCCTACGTTGTGCCATAGATGGAGACGAGAACAATGGTGGCAGAAGAAATGGCCAGGGAGATCTCGTGCGAGGGTAGTCAGGAACGATTCTCGATAGTCCTCGTCTTCTTTGCCGGATCGTAGTGAATACCAGTATTTGTTTCCAAGGGCCCACGGCAAGTCGTGATTGCAAAGAGTCAAGCTAGCTCTGTCAACCGGCGAAAGATATTCTATGATGATCTGCAAGATTTCTGATGGTAGATTCATGAGGTTGGCACCCCCTTTTTCGTGCTTGGTCTCGTTTGGGGAGTGCTGAGGTCGGAGCATACGCCATCTAGACGGCATTTCTTTTCACCGCAATACTGTAACACAATTGAAGTATCTCGTAGAGCTTAGCCCGATCTGTACGAAGTAGAACGAGGTTCATAATTAAATTAGCGTTACAGAGTACATGAGATGGGAATACAAAGCAGCGTCACGCTAAGCTACAAACAAGTATCAATTCATGGTCAAATCCACAAACCTCAACCTCAACCTACTACGTATGGTTTCGTACACACCCAGCAGCAACTTTATCTACATTATGCGCTTCTGGTGGTCTGACATCTTGCACAAATTTCATGTCAACTACTAGTGGCCCCACATCGACTCTCTCCTTCAACTGACCTGGCCTCTGCCAACACCTGGAACAGATATCCACGTCATACCCACCTCTCTTCTTCACTCCTCTAACATTCAATATGGGTTTAATCCCAGCTGCATCTACTATTTCGATGTCTGATAACTCAATCCTTTTGCTTTAAAACATCTCTCAGTTGTAAGGAGCGGTCTTCTCCCAATTCTCTTGTCTTCGTTGCCTTAACCTCATGCTTACTGCTATCGTGATTGGCGCCATAGGTGTAGATGGCCCCGAGATTATCTCAGCGCTGTCGAAAGATCCTAAGACATGAACAAATGTCTACAGCATGTCGCAGCGGCAGCAACTTTCAACAGGGCCTCAGACATCTAACATTCCGCAGTCAACGCTCTATTTGCAGTCGTCGTCAATGGATACTACGGAGCAGTTGACAGACGTTGAGGCTGACTATCTGTTCTTCTGTGCCTACGATGCTAAAGGTTGGGAGCAGGAGAACGTAGACGTCAATGTTCCCATGTTTTCAAATCTACTTGAAGTTCTCGGCAATACAGGCGCAGAGAAAAAGACTCAACGGCGTTATCCTTACAGCAGGATAAAGCAAGTCGGCGTCCAGTGGCAGAGGCCTCAGAACTCAATGGATAAGAGTGACCCGGGTCCAGTGATCGGCCCTTGAACTTCTATTACGACCAGCAAGACGTGCCAAGAAAGATGCCCAAAGACAAAGGTTGGGACTACGTTGTGACTTATCCTCAGGATGTTATTGGTGTGTCGTGTGATAACCCTATAAATCTAACTACAGGCCCCGGTCCCTTTGTCGCGGTGGGTAAGGATGTCTTTCCGGACTCAGAGTTGCCATTTCCGAGTAGAATGGAATGCTTCTTGGGGTACAGCTGCTGGCTGAGCAGCAAGATACACGCCAAGCTTGTCCTTGGGCAGCTCCTATGGACTGTATGGATGGAAAAGGCTTCAACCCGATGTCGGCAGCATAGGAGAAGCTTCAAATAATCTGGATGAAGATGCCTGGAAACAAGCAACTTGGACCTTTATGGCCTTCATGCTTATGAACAACGCCAGAAGCTATGGCTTCATGGTTACCAAGACACTCCAGCAAGTTTCGAGGATGCCATCGACGAACTGAGAAAAGAGGGTATCCTACCGCCAACGAAGTGATCAGATTCGATTGTGAATTATAACGGTGTATGATGCTAACGAGCTCTCTTGGAGGCTACCGGCGTGGGCTTACATGCGAGTAATCTAATTGTCATTTGTAGTATGCAAATCAAAAGTCCTTCGAAAGCTATAACTTCCTGCTGAAGACCTTGTATGATGTTCCGCTGTCCCAAAATGAAACTCCTGACTTATCTCCTAAGTAACATGAACTCCCCGCTGGATATTACAGGATTTGGATGCTGTATCTTCAATCTCTTCTTTTTCTTAGCTCTCTGTTGCCGACATACCAAAGCTTCAAGCCCCAAATGGCAATGCCGTGGCACTGCTTGGCTCACACGGAAGAATAGTTAGGCTGAAATGAGCGTTTATGGGATGGTTGTTGGCTTTGCATTGAAGAATGCACATTGTTTAGCTTTTATGAATAATATAACCTGGGAACGCCGACTCAATCAACCGCGACCTTCTTCGGCGCGTCGTCATCGCCAGCAGAGCTGCTTGCGGGAGTAATCTTGGTCCCGGCAGTACTTGTGCCTGTAGCATCGTCATCCCCGTCCCAAGCGTCATCCTCTGCATTTTCATCCCAATTGTCCAGCTCCTCTTCCACTGTCCTCGATGCTATAGGTACCACTCCTGTTTGTTGACCCTCATCTCTGTTTCGATTACTGGGTCCCGACCCAATGCCAGCCTCGCCAAGCTCCAGATCCTGCTCCCCTCCTGGGCCCTCACCAGTCAAAGCGCTATATTTGGCCTTCCGCCTCCTTTCTAGCGATCGCCTGTGATATGCGCTAGCCAGCCCAAGCGCGGCGAGACTACCGACAACATTGGCGAGAACATCCAACGGATCGAAATCTCGGTCGTTAGGTAGAAGGCCCTGAATCACCTCACTGCCTACACCTAATGCAAAAGTGCAAACAAACAAAGTAATGTGGAGCACGCGCCGGCGAGTGGTATCCAGTATAAAGTAAAAGGTCGCGGTCAGAGCAAAGAAGGTGAGCAAGTGGAGGAACTTGTCTGTCTGAGGAACAGGGGAGGTAGGTGTATTTGGGAGGGCGGAGTGCGGAAGAAGACCACCAGCGGAAGCAAGGAAGAGGAGGACCAAAAAGGCAGCTGTAGAGATGATTAATTAAGACTAATCTCCTCCATGAAAGTCTCAGAAAATCAGAATCTCGTAAGCTTACCTGCGAAAGGGAATCGTATTCGCATGGTGGTTATGTCCGCTGGACGGCCGAGCTGAAGGCGTCAGGTATGGTAGAGCTGCAATTGCGCCCTCGTTCTGCGCAAGTGCACAGCCAACACCTATACCATCTTCTCGATGATCTCAAAACCCATCAAGATCATTCAGGGGCACAGAAACAGTCAGGTCTTTGAAAGAGTGGATGGGTTTAGTGACGGATCTACTAGCTGGCTTCGATGGTTTGCGGACTGACTTTCTTAGCCAGTGCAGACAGATAGTGACCGAGTACTATACTACAGTAGTTACACTGGGTGACTTCAGGCCTCTGGGCTGGGCGGTCGGAGTCTCTTCTGACCTCAACCCCCCAGCTGTACTGGCTACCAGCGACGAACCACCGCAATCAAATCCATCGACATAGCACCACCATTCATCGAATTATTCTCTAAATTTATCATCATTCGAATCAGCGATCTGCAAAATACCATCTACCTCCATTTTCCAACCCACAAAGCCTTCGATGTGATCACAGTAGCGACTCCTAATTACCGTGGAGGCCGCACCCCTCGCCCGCCGTACAGGCGAAATCGGCGGCCATGTCGCTGGGTCACCACGCAACATGGCTGCCACCAAATCACCTGCGCCCACCCGACGATGATCACCATCCCCCAGCCCATTTCCTCCATAGCCAATTCAAGGGCCCATCGCGACCAAGCACTCCCCGGATGAGGTTGCGCAGTTTGGGAGATGGGTCGCAATCCGGTACAGCTGCGGAGGGTGACACTAGTGTGGACGATGACCCTCAAACCGCCAAATTCAGAGAACTGTACAATGCCTGTGAAGACAAGATTGCCCATCTCTTCAGTGAGGAATATCAGGCTGCATTGGCAGAAAAACAGGCAGAACAAGACCTCGAGGCGCAAAACACCCAGGTTGCGACACAGGGGCAAACCCAAGCTTCGGCCACTGTATCGAAGAAGCGCAAATTGGATGATGACGATTACGACGACTTTGACGACGATGACGAAGATGATAGCACCGAGATCAATGCATCTCCGCTTAAGGGTAAAAGCCATAAGGTACAGATCGTCGCCGATGCAACCCAATCGCCCATGCCAAGGCCAGTTGTGCAATCGAGGCTCTCGTCGGACATACTCAGGACAACGGTGAAGACTGTCCCACCGAAGTCGCAGAAGGAAGAGGCAGAGGCTGCTCGCAGGAAGCTAGAGGAGGCGAAGCGGGCAGAGGTCGAAAGCGTCCAGCGCGCATCGCGGATGATGTTCTTCACCCTCGAAAATGATAGGGATGCTATGCTCGACCAGCAACGACTTGACGAGGCCGAGAGACGAGCGGAAGCCGAAGCCGATGGTAGCAGTAGGACACATCCTGCCGACCAACAGGGCAGCCTTGCCAGTGCCAACCTTGGTGCATCCAATCTCACGCTGAAAAACTTGATCGCACGCATCGACCAGCATCGCTCAAAGGTGCATGCCACAGAATCTGAGCTGCGAGCTTTGATGACCGAGGTCCGAAAGAATCGAAGCAAGTGGGCAAGTACAGAGAGGGTAGGACAAGAAGAGCTTTACGAGGCAGCCGAGAAAGTACTCAATGAGTTGAAAGCCATGACAGAGCATTCCGGGCCATTCCTGAACAAGGTGGCCAAGCGAGAAGCGCCTGACTACCATATCAGTAAGGATCTCTTCAGCTGTGTTGCAAAGATACTAATACTCAACAGAGGTTCCCAATCCAATGGATTTGGGCACCATGACCAAAAAGCTCAAGCAGTTGGCTTATGGCTCCAAGGCCGACTTCATCAAAGATCTGGCTCTAATATGGCAGAATTGTCTTGACTACAACGAAAGAGCAGATCATCCTGTTCGCAAGCATGCGCTGTTCATGAGAAAGGAAACGGACAAATTAGTCCCCTTGATCCCAGATATCACCATTCGCGACCGGGAGGAGGTGGAGGCCGAAGAGAGACGCCAACAGTTGGCAAATGGTGAGATCGATGACGGGGCCGAAGAAAGTGACGACGAGCCTATCATGTCATCACGAGGACGTAAGGCACCGGGCAAATCGGCCAAGAAAGGTGCACCAGCGCCTCGAAAGACAGCACCAACTGTTGACAGCGCGCCGACTGCAGACACCAAACCGCCACTGCAGGCGTTCGGATCATATGCAAGCGGCAGTATTGCTGCAGACTCGGAAAACAACGAAGGCCGTTTGACTCCTCCACCACCTGGCTCGTTGACGCCGTCGGGTCCGCATGGCCTTAGTAGCGGGATACCTGGAAGTACCGCAGATCCGCTGGAGCTCGAAGGTCTTATCGGTGGCTCTCTCCCTCCACCAGCCGTCATCGAGCAAGAAGATGAAGAGTACAGATTGTGGAAGCAGAAAACCAAGAAAGACCGCGCACTGATGGCAGCGGAGAGACATCGACTTTTCCGCGGCGATCGATTGAATGCCGATGAGAATGCTTTGCTTCGAAGCAAATCTAGGATGCGAAGGTGGCTCAAGATCCAGAAACAAGCGATAGCCGATCACACTCCCAATGCAGAGAAGGCCAATACCGAAGAGCCGAAGCAGTCCACGAATGGACAGACCCTTGCGGAAGGCATGGAGGGCGAGGACGATAGTATGCTTCCTGACTACTATGATTCTCTGGCTGGTGTTCCCGACCTTGATCGTCACTTAGCATGGGAAGAGGACTCCGAGGGGCAGGTTATCGACCAGACCGAAGCTTTCTTACGACTGTACCCCAAGAACCGATTCGTCTCGAGCGGAAGCAAGCTTGCTCAGAAGCTACAATCCAACATGCGTCAACTACAGGAAACAAGAAAGGTGTGCACCAAGATCGGCGTTGTCAAGCAGATGCAATTGCAGTCACAAATGTACCAAAATCAATTCCAAAAGTACCAACCCGAACCATTCGTCGAACGCGACATCGAAGACCATGTCATGTCGGATTCTGGACCTCTCGTGGCACCTTATGTTGCTAAAGCTGCACTGCAACGTTCGGTTGGGGAGTTGTTCTATCATGCTGGTTTTGAGGAGTTTCAGCCATCAGCCCTGGACGCTGTCACCGACATGGCCGCTGAATACTTCCAACGCCTTGCCACCACACTTGTAAATTATCAGGAAGCACCGAAAATTGCCGTCACCACTACCGTCGCCAACTCAGCCGGCCAACCAGAAACCACAGTCACTTGGAAACCCGCGTGTACACCAGAAGAATCCATCCTTCACACCCTACACGAATCTGGACTTTCCCTATCAGAACTAGAAACCTATTGTCGCGACGACGTTGATCGCCTCACCTCCAAGCTCACCACCATGCACGATCGGATGCGAAAGCACCTTGCCGATCTCCTTCGACCTGCCCTGAATGATGGATCCGCCGACGGATCCTCGAACTTCAACGACGGAAGCGAACAGTTCGTTGGAGGCGACTTCGCGGAGGACATCGACGAAGACTTCTTCGGCTTTAAAGAGTTAGGGCTGGACAGAGAGTTGGGCTTAGCCAGCTTAAGCGTGCCACTGCATCTGCTACAAAACAGGTTGAGCACGGTGGGGAGATTGGCGGATCCTAAGTATGTACTTCCTCTTTCCCTTGCCGTGGCCTATCTTCTCCATCTACCGCTGTATCCTACATACATCACTTACTAACCATCTCCGAACAATAGCGCAACCACGACAACCGAACATCTCTTTCCTCCACCCCCTCCCTACCCCCGCGTCATGCTCTCCCCCATCCAATCCCAGCCAACGCTCATCCGTGAATTCTTCCTCCGTAAACTCCACGCCAATAACGACGAGCCTCTCGCCGAAGACCTCGAGTTACCGCCCAAACAACGCCCGAATCATGGACGGCCGCGTCTGCCTGCCACCGGGAAGATTGGGGAAGGCAAGACGGCGAATCCCAGCCCCGCTAAGAAGAAAGACGGTGTTGGGAAGGGAATGTCGAAGGGTTTGGGCAGTGTGAAGAAAAAGAGCGGACCGGCGACCGAGCTGAATGGTATCAACACCTCCGCGGCTAGTGCCGGTGTGGGAGCTGGGATGGAAGGTGAATCTCCCAAAGTCAACGGTGTGCTCAATGATAAGAAATCGCTATCTTCGGCTTCCATGGGGAAGACCGGCGTGGGAAAGCTCAAGCTCAACGTTCCGAGCGCTACCGGATTGGAAAGTCCGAACAAGAAAGACGGCTCTAGTGCCGGTGGAGTCAACGGTCTGACGCACAGGGGTGGTAGTGCCGCTCTGACAGATGGCGATCCCATCATGATGAGCCCGGATAGCCTTTGAGCGCTCATTCTCCATTGCTGCCTTTGTCATCCTACTCGGGGAAATGGGGAAGAATTGAGAGCAGTCGTGCTAGACGCAGGAAGAGAGCAATGACGACGCTTATCTCGTCCGTGATGTGATCACTCTTCAGTTCTGCCGAGCAGGGAGAAGCACGACGGCCGAAAGATTAGTATCTAGCGAAATGTATATCACTTTTGGAAGCAGTGCCCCCTTATCCCCACATCTGTCCTGTCAATGCTGCCCGACCTTCAAGGAAACTGAAACCGAAACCAAAACTCCAGCGAGCGGAGGGAGCGCCTCGGGCTAACTTAGTATGAGCTCTCGATGAAACCCCGAGTTACGTATCTGTTCGATTCAACCGAGGCTGGCCCAGAGCAAGTAAATATTGTGTGACACACACGCCCCCTCTCCCGTTCCAACTGACGAGAAAGACGCCCTCCCATCCATCCATCCATCCACTGTACTCCTTAATCCCACCAGATCTCCATCCCCACCTTCCCCTTTCCCCCAAGAGAGATCCATACAACATAACATACCCACCCAGCACCAATACCCACCAAAAACGGACATACGCGCTCGCTACGCTGTTGCAGCAGGCAGGCGGTACCGGATGATTAATCATAATGAAGACACCAGCGCCGCTCGTTGTTGATGGTCCGCCGCTCTGAGCAAGCTGGCTGGCTGGCTGGCTATGTACGAGTATTCATGTAGCTAAGCATCTTGTGTACAGCGACTCCGATTACTTTCACTCTATGCACTACTATATAGCTTGGGGGTATGGTGAGCGTGGGGTCTATAAAAGTCAATTGAATGTCATGGTACATATATTCTGTCGATAAGCCCTGCTGTCCTCTTCGGTGAGAAGGTTAAGAGGGAGAGGAGGACCGGGCTACGGTGCTCGGTGGGAGGGATGAGCTGTCACGTTATATCAACACATGAAAAGACGAGAGTTTTTTTTTCAAATCTCGTTTCAGGATTGCTAAGTACAGAGAAGGAATGAGACCGATTGTATACTCAGCGTGGCCCTATGAAGGCAGTATGTAGATACTGCCTGCCGGTTTCCCAGGGGGCATTGCTTGTCAGCGTCTGCGTATTGAACCGAACGGAGAGCATGGATCTATCAACTCACAACTCATTTTACATCCAGATTACCACTTGGCCGTTTGCTGGCTATGTATTGCTTTCCATAGTTCAAGTGAGTGATCTGATGAGAGGCACATGTGCTCGGGCCCTTCTGGATGTAATGCTATGAAAAACGGATTGGGAGCGAGTTCCTACTTTATATAGTTCGCCAGCTGAGACGATTTGATGTCTTGCAAGCGACTTGCTTTCATTGCGGTGGTCTCTTTGTCCCCCCCCCCCCCTCGGTTGAATGCTTGAGTATTTTCCAGATAGACGTCTGTCGTTTGGAATCATCGGCCTTGCACATCCCTCCGGTCACGAGACCCCCCATGCTGGCTCTCGGGTTGTGTGACAGAGGAACAAGGTCGCGGCGTGCCTTTGAATGCACCATCCGTCCTACTTCGAAGTATCAGTGTTCGCGAGTCCCTGTCCACCATCTAGAGAACGCCGATGTTTGCTGAGTTGGTGGGAGGTAGCTCTCCTAGGTGGTAATGGCATGATATGCTGATCCGAGATCGTCACTTCGTCCAAATTCTCCCCCCTTGCCGCTAATTTGCCTTGCACCAGCCTTGTATGCAGCCATGAAAAAACTCACATCAACTCTCGCGCTGATCTGCGCGGCTTTGTAGCTCTCCACGAGGCACCTATCTCGCTACGCGATTCGGTAATTCCAACTCCATCATTGAAAATACGTCCTCACTGTCACCTGTCCCTCCGGCGTAAGAGTCTGCAATATCTGTTCCGCATTAATACCTGTCTGGGCCACAAGTTGCTTCGCCGACGAGGTGACTTTGGTAGCAATTTGTCCTTGGATCATTTCCGCCTCGAGGGCTTGGACGATGTGTTGAAAAACCTGGGCTGCTTTTTGGATCACCGCTGGATTTGACCTGTGTTGCGTGTCAGTTTCTCATGCTAAAGATCTGTAGGAGTAAAATTTCTTACTGATCGATCAGTTGCGCCAAAAATGAATAACCGTACGGCGCAGTCTCCTCGTCGTTGAGGATGGGTAGGGTGTCAATCCACGATTCGACCACTTGTTGAGGATTCTCCACCTTCGAATTGTTGTAATGTAATATCTTTGCAATGGCAGCACATGCGTTTTCTGTGGCGAATACTTCCTCTTCACTCCTTGCATTCGGTACCTTGGTGGCTCGAAACAAAAAATCCAGGCTGACGGCGGAGAAATCGGCCCAGGCTTCACCTCCCTTCTGCGCTGCGATACCAACACCGTATATGGCTGCCTGCCGATTGGCGGAATTCTGATCCTGCATACCATTGACCATTGGTTGTATGATGTGGTCTTTAAATTCCCACGATTGAGGGCCACAGAATTCGAGAACGTCGTCGAAGATGCAGATACCCCACTGCCGTTGAGATGGGTCATGTGATGCAGCAAAGGAGTCGTAAAAAGGCATTAGTTGTTGCCATGCCGGTATAAATGCGACGCCCATGTTCTTGAAGATCGTGTGGAAAGCCTTGTTCATGTCGGAGAGCAAGCTTTCGTCGTCTTCGATTGCGTATTGCACACTCTCGGAGTCGTCTTCATCTTCTGCTCCAGCATTTGCAGCGTCTTGCTTATCCTCAATGCGACCTTTAACCCGTTCTTGGTAATCAACAAGCGTGCTTTTGGCAGCTTGAATGAAAGCGTGCATGTGTTCATCTGACAGGCAATTCTTACCTACCACCTCGACGCATTCGTAGAAACACTGGTACATCTCTGCTAGAGTGTCGATAGCTGGTTCGGCTGATAGAATCTCAATCACTTTCTTGGCTGATTGGCTCCATAAGTGCTGGAATTGGTGGTGTTGTTCGCCATGCGCCTTTTTGTATGAATTTAGAAGTTGGGGAATCAGTTTGGCTGACGACACTCGGACAGGGTCGTGGAAGAAGAATGCGAGGCCTGTGAAGGCAATCTTTTCCGCAATTTCAAGGACATATGACTCGAAACTGGCCTCTAAGATTTGCGCATAGATCGTGATCAATTCAATGGCGGTATTTTTTTCTTCAAGCGAGGAGGTCTTGATACCAATGACTTTGCCCTTGAGCGGCACCAGTTCCCACCCCTCATCCTCTATTGCTTGGACTTGATCCTGGTCTTCGAGAAGCTGTATATCAGCTTTGGCCGATGCTTGCTCAAGCAGAGGAGGCATCACGCCACGAAGATAGGGCACGAAATCCATCCCTAGTACACGACACATCCTTCCCCAACAATGTAGTAGATAGTTTGCTTGTGGATCATCAGCATCAACAACGCTTTCTTGTATATTGCCCAAGATTTGGACCAGCTCGAGAGCTTGAGCGCCCATTTTCTCTTTCCCAACTGCCAAAGCAATCAATGTGGCACATTCCATAGCTTTGGCTCGGAGAAGTCTGTATTCTTTGGATTGTTCTTGTCGCAGAACGTTGAACAACAGGGGCATCAGAGTGTCGTAGTACTTGCCAAATGCGGTTTCAGCGGAATCCGCAATGGTAGCAATCGTGGAAAGAGCTTGTTCTTGGACAAAGCGCTTGGGAGATTGTAAAAGCCGGAGAAGGTGGGTAAGTAGCTCGTCTAGGTACGGCTCGAGGATTGACTTCTCTGCTTCTTCGCAGAAATTGACCAGGGCGGCTGCTGCATGAGACTGTACACGAGGTTCTGGCGCATCGAGGACGGGGATGATATTGGTGAGAATCACTTGGTGATACTTTTCTTGCACCGTATTGGCAAAATCTGTGCTCATTTGACCAAGAGCGTTACAGCCGGCATATCGTACACGAGGATGGGGGTCTCTTAGAGCTGGCACGACCAGCTCGAGGACCTTGTCCAATTCAGCAATCATCAGGTCTCGACAACCTTCTGAGATTGCTGAGATGGCCATCAGTGCTGCATGTCGGTCTCGCCAAGACGAGGAAACCATCATTCGGGGTAGCCATGTGAAGGTAGCTGGGAGCACAGCAGCACCGCCCAGCTTATTGGCAAGACGATCCATGCATTGTTCACCAGCAACATGGTTCAGATCGCTCTCTTCCAGGTCGAGCTAGACTTGGTCAGTAAGGATTGACAACAACAACAGAGAAAACCCACATCTTCTGACGAATTCCATTCGGATGCGTCATCATCGTCAATTCCGACATCAGTCATCAGACTGAGGCATTGAGTAACCATGTCTTGAGTATATGATGGATCCTTCTTGCACATAGCAGGGGCGCAATCTGCAAATGTGCCCATCAACTCCAGAGCTTGTTGCCTCGTCTGGTCACCAAGTTCTTTATCTTGGATTATGCCAATACTGAATTTGACCACATTATTGAAGAGGGGTTTGAACATCCTCGGCGCAGCTTCTGCAAGTTCAGTGAGAGCAACAAATGCAGCCTGCAGATGCTCCGAATCCCCAGAGTCTTTGAGAGGCGGGAGAATATTGAGAATGTCGGGTAGGAGGTTGAAGTATTTAGTCTGCGCTTTCTTGGTAATCGAATGGAAGAAAGACGCATAGGCTTCCAGAGCAGCAAGTTTGACCTATATGGTGGTCAGTCTGATATTGATGAGATGGCAATGCGCACCAACCTCGACGCTCTCATCTTTAAAACCTTTCGAGAATGCTTCCTGTACGGTGCTTTCATGCTGTTTCTCAATTATTCCAGGCGTGGTGGAGAATATTTTAAAAGCTCCCTCTCGCATGGTGGGATCATTCGATTGGCTGGCCTGAAAAAGGGCACCGAGAAGCTCTGGCCAACTTTCATCTGAAACAAAATGTCAGACTGAGCAGTGCGCCTGAGCCAATGCGTGAAACGTACTGTTGTCTGTATACTGTCTTGCCAGCTCAGCAATGGCATCTCCGATCTTGTTCCTAACATGAGGTAGTTGTTCATCTGGAAAGCAAGCCAATAATTTCTGCCGGATCGCAGCTCTTTGATCCTGACCAAGAGATAGGAACAGCTCCGTCATCTCACTACTCGCAGGGCTCTTGCGGTTCTTCGACGCAATTCGACGAAATAACACCGCGGCGAAAGATCTTGTCTAAGAATATCGTCAGTCTCAATTGTCCTTGTAGCATCGAGCCTTGCTCACCGCAGCATCTTGAGCACCTTGTATTTGCTCCACCAGTCCCATGAGCAGGATATCTGGTCTGCCCGCAGTCCAGTCGGTGTGGAGTTGTTCTTCCGCCAGCGTTCGCACATTGTTGTCGGGAGATTGTAATGCTTGTAGAATTTGCGCCAAAGCCGTATGAACTTCAGCTGGTAACACCGACATGTTGTTGGCTACTCGATGGGCGCCACATGCAGAACGGGCGTCCGCGATCGTGGCAGGGATGGAAAGACGCGAGGAGTTCGGGATGGGCTGGAGCTCGGAAAAACGAAGGGCAGGCGTCGAAGGAAAGGCTGGGTTCAATTCAGGCGATATTTTGCTTCGAAGGCTGTATATCTAGAAAGATTCTTGGTCAGGAGGACGGGAATGTAAAGTCAGATACAAATCAAGAGCCATGTACGAAACCGATTCGCGCGAGGACACAAAGTCCACAAAACTTTTTGAGTTTAGCCCCACCAATGGAGCGCTACATCGAGTGGCCTTGCCTATTGCTACATGGTAGATACATATACGAAGTACAGTTGAAGCATATTAGGTATCGCCCTCCAGCCTCGAACTTGCTGCACTCTTCTGCACCTAATATTCAACGTTAGTTGAATGTGTCCAGCAGCTGAAATACGAAAGTGCCCCGAGGAATGGAGAAACATATTTGTTGGTCTCATCGACCTCCCTCCCACAGTGACTGGTTGTAATATTAGCGATTTCGCTCAGCCATCATTCCAATTGGGTGTGACAAATGCCCAATGTCTTGGTCTTCGTCGAAGATTATCGATCCATCAGCGGGCTCGAGAACTATATGCAAATGACATTTCTCAGCCACTTTCTAAATGCGATACTCTCTTTAGGCACAACCTTCCTCCAGGATATGCGTCAATCTTCTGTATATATTCTACAGACGGTGTAGCAGGCTCCTTTCAACTAGACTAGAGTGGGAATGCCATACTCGGATAGGAGCCAGACCATCGCCCTCCAACTCTCCATGTCCTCTATCATGATGTCGCCAAGAAACCCGGAAAGGGAGCGACGCTATTTGCCAAGGCTGACCCCTTTATGATAGCTATATCCGCAGCACGTTCTAGCAAGGCTGATTTGTAATAAAAAGGCTTTACAAGCCAGAGAATTGAACCAGAGTCAGGAAAGGTCAGAAGTAATCACAGTTCCAGAATGAAAGTAGCAGGAAAAGGTCGGGGTATGTCTCTGTCATCACTCGCTGAGATACTAAATGAGGGAAAATGAACAAAAAGCAAAACCTTAACCCCAAGCTGTCAATGATAGACAGGTCAGGATCAGGAGAAACCCTCAACGAAGAGGGTTTTTTTCGTATTCGAAGGGAGGGAGGGGTTCGTAGAGGAGGAGGACTGGTATCTGACTTCGGGGGGTATGTGTCAGCGTAACAGTTGTCGAAAGGACCTTTGGGAGGGACTGTTGATTTTGTGGCGAGGTAATGGTATGTTAAACCACTACACCACTGTGCCAAAGGATATTGGTAACCTGCACCAAAACACAAAATTATATGCTTTGTGCTGAGTAAACACCGCGGGTTAGGACAATTGAATTTAAGGGGCAATGCCACAACACAGCGATCCCGTAATATTCTTCACCTCTACTGCAATTTGGACGATAGGGATTGACATGTTGAGCTCAGAGAAATTCGATGTGATGGTACATTTTCAAGGCACAGGTATTGTGGGTAAGGCGGCTTCAAGAGTCCATGGAAGAAGAAAAAACTTCAGAGACCCCAATGGCCCCATTTCGACTAATTCAGATTCCTGAAATCGCTGGGCAGATCAAGAAGCAAAGGAAAGAGCAACAGAGCAAGGCTTCTGATAACGAAACCAGAGCCATCGTCAGGTTGAGGCTAGCGATACACTTCCCTACCGATAGTGCAATTCCTTTGCTAGCAGCTGCAAAACCAGGTCGTCATCATCTGGCTCCCATTAATACTCTAATAGATGCGAAAAGCCGGTTGTTGGTTCTAGTTGACACATTGAAAACGGCCGAGTTCAGTTAAAATCATTCCACAATGCAACAGGCTTTGCACAGTCTTGTTATATCATACATCCGGACACCAGACGGCAGAAGCTCAACCCATCCATATTGTGCGGTCTCGTCGTCTTCGCCTTTCATCCTCAGCCCATCGGCAAACCTAATAGAGCCGATTTCGAGACTTCTCTTCAATATGGTTGACCTTAGGGAACTGCGGGTTTCGACAATTGGGCCATTCGGGGCAGCGAACAAGAGGTCCGTACTCAACTGATCCCGAAAGGACCCGAGGGCATTGGCCGCAAAGTCAGGTGGTCACGGTGCTCGAGCACATTGTGCTAGGACTGTTGTGGCGAACTGTAGTTGAGCGAACCTTGGCTGGGGGTAGAACAGGTCAGCTTAGCGCCAAGAACTCTAGATGTGGGTCATTACTTTTTGCAAAGGGAAGGGGAGTGGCTTAGAGAATGGTATGTTGATTTGAAAGTCAGTCAGCTTCAGCTTCCGCTTCCATGATGGTGGTTGTAACAGAGGCCTGACCACGAAATTTCTTAGACCTGTGACATTATAGTGTAAACCTTGTTTGCACTCATCGCAGTCTCGCGGACGTTGTGACAGTCGGAAGCACCGACTGGGCTTGATTTGGACTCATCGTTGATGTCAAACGGGCTTTCACACTACCCGCGTCTTGTCAAAGCATGCAGCTATATGCTCATGGCCTCGATCATTGTGAAAATGTCTTGGTTTCTGATCGACGTGTAAAGCGGACAAATATAGCCATGGGCTGTTCAGACTATGAAGATGGCCAAACCCATAGCGTGTACTGCGTGCTGACAGACATGGGCTGCTTCCAGCTGATGCAAGCGAAGCAAACGAGGCAGCTTCTCGCGCCGACATTATTCAACTCAGAGCGAAGGGCGGTGAATGGCAAATTATTGACTGCATTCGATGCTAAGGTAATCGCAGCTGACGGGGCAAAATGGCCGCGCCCCGGTATATCATGGCGAAATGACATTGTGCATATCTTGCAGGCATGTTCTTGGACACGAAGATTGCTGCATTCTCCGGCTTAGAGGATGGCCAGGTCATGCAATGTGCAAGGGATGCTCTGTAGGTTCGAGATCACGTCTTTGGCACGTGCATGTTTACTATCGTGGAAAGGCTAGCATTCCGCTTGATATTTGTTCGAATCTATGGGTATATATAGTATTGTACATGAAGGCGTGCGTTTGTTAGCTGTAGTGAGGTTAGTGAGGTGTCCTTTCCCAGGACACTTGTTGATGAGACTCCTGAGAAAGTTCTCTGCCGGGGGGTAGCCATACTTGCGAGGTGAAGATGTAGTTGGCCGTGCTGAGCTTTGCCGTAAGGAGCGCTTCTTTGAGCCGTCGTGAATGCGCTAGGTGCTCAATTTCGTGTTACCGTTTGTTCACGACATCCTTTTGTCGTAAGACTTTTCAGGCGCCAAAGCTATCGGCTCGGGGCAGGCTCACGTTCTTGCTCCCTCTCTTGCAGCCAGCCCTCTTTCCAAAGCCTTAATATCTCGAACCCGACCTCTACCGCGATCAATGTGATGATGGTCCATTCTAAAACCAGGCCATGCTTCTCACTTAACCTCTCTCGCAGCACGCTTGCTATTTCTTGAGCATAATCCATTTTCTCATTCAACACCTTGATCCTAATACCAACATCGAGAGCTCTTCCCACTTGATCATAGTAGCCCTCAAGACCTAGCTCATGGCGAGAGTCCCAGAAGAGGTCCGGTAATGAGTCGGTGAGTTCCGAATAGAGATTCAACTGAGCTCTCAAGGACAGAAGCTGACCGGTCTTGCGCAGAATGAAAGACCTATTGTATGGTAGTCGTGAGCCACGGGAGAGGAATGTAGGGATGTCTCGGGTGGAATTGAAGTAGTCCAGAAGCATTGTTTCAAGAACAGCAAGCTTGGTACTCCTAGCAAACCCAGACGAAAATGCGACTTTGGTGAGCACAGAGTTTATGTTACGACTATCACCTTCGGTTGCTGAGTCCTGCTTTGTACCCAAAATGATAGTGTCTCCCTTAATACTGCTGTGCTCTCGAGACGGATCCTCGACGTAATCCAGATCTTCAAATTCGACTTCGTTGACATGCGGACCTTCTGCGGCAGGTAATAAAGTTCGTGTTGCAAAATACGCAGTGAAAGCTTCGGGCAGCGACCAGCTGACCAGGGTGCCAGATGGAAATATGAACACATCACCAATCTCCTTGGACGATAGTGCTTTGGTTGAGGTCTTCGCGCTACGGTGGATGGACGAGAGGGGAACTTGAATATGTGTGAATTGCGGATATAGACCTGTGTTGAAAGGATCTGGTTCGTATCCCTGAGCTCTAAGGATTTCATCCACTTTCGCCAAATTGAATTGCTCTGCCACAGCATACGCAGTGACCGACCTGGCTGTTTGGGCCTCCTGGCCCACCGACTGTGATTTGGATAGCGAGCTGTCTTTGGATCGTTGGGCTTCCACAGCTACTCGACGCAAGGATGTTTTTGCAGCCGAAGCTCGGGCCCCCTTTCTCTTTGGTATCTGCGCAACTTCGCCATTGTCGGATTGCGTAAGCTGCTTATCCTTCGAACCATCGGGGTTTTGTACTTGCTGCCTCAAGACTGAGTTAGATGAGAAAAAGTCGCGGCGCCGCGGGAGAAGTAGAGCAGGTGCCGCGTGTAATGGTCGAAGATCCTTCTGCCTTGAGAAGTCTCCAGCGGCTTGCCGACAGGATGGACAGATATACGGACCAGACAGGAGAGCAAATGATCGAATTTGTATGCGAGACATGCAGAAATAAAGAGTATAGCCGACCGGAGATGCAACAGGTTCAGACGTCCAGAACAATCACTAGGAAAACGCCTGTAGAACTTCTGTAGTCTGCTTGATGGTTTTCTTCCCGCTCGGTTCGAACTTTGCATCCCAACTTTCTGTTTGAGCTCCGATGCAGGCTTGGCGACGTCATTGGAAGTTCCTCCATCCACCCTCACCACGTCCGGAAATTCTGGGTAAGTTCTGTGTAATTCCGGACACCAGGCATGGCGGAGGGGGAGGGCTCGACGGAGCCTGCTATATCAGACACAACACCCATGAGGAATGGTGGCATTCAAGACGGACCGCCAGCCTCTGCGTCGGTTCAGGACGAGGACGGGGAGGAGGACAGGGAGGAGGATGACGAGGAGGAAGAGCCACGGCTCAAATACGCCACCGTCAGCAAGCGACTGAGTTCCGTGTACAGAAATGGAGATGCCGTCAGCGCGTTTCTTGTCGGAGGTGACAAAATGGTACGCGTTGTTGCCTAAGGAGTGTCGGCGCATGGCAACACACCACTGACGAGCTGGTGTAGATCGTGGGAACCCATAACGGCAACATTGTACCTATCCCCTCCTATCCTATCCATGACCTCTCTAATTCAGTAGCACACTCTATCTCTGCCGTCATTCCAGTCTCTACGAGTCTATCGTGCTCACTCCGCAAGCGTGTCGGCCGTGTCAATATCACCTTTCCCTCCCCCACTTCCGCTCCCAAGAACAGACAATGTCAACAAGTTGGCGTCGGAAATACGACCTCACTCCACTAGAACCTTTTCAGGGGCCTCGGGAAAGCAGCAAAGCCCAAAACCGTTCGCCATTGCGGCAACTCCTTCGAACTCGATTTATATAGGTACAGCTTCGATTGACGGCAATATCTGCATATCATCACTTGTCGATGCAAAGGATGTCCAGCTACGGAATTTTGGCAGACCTGTGCAAGCTGTCGCCTTGTCGCCTGAGTACAAGTACGATCGCAACTACCTCTCGGGAGGTCAGGCCGGAAGCCTGATTCTCACCACAGGGGGGCAAGCAGGGAAGAGCGCAAATGCCAGCCTGGGGGGAGCCGCCGCCGCCGCCCAAGGCTGGCTTGGTGCCGTTGGGTTGGGCTCACATAGTGGGACAGATAAGGTCCTGCATAGTGGCGAAGGTGTCATCAGCATTATCAAATGGTCACTTTCTGGAAAATATGTTCTTTGGGTCAACGAGCATGGTATGAAGTTGATGAGATCAAATCTACATCTGAACAGTGCTGAAGCAGGTTCTGAGTGGAAGCGTCTCAGTCACATCGATAGACCGAGCCGACAAGGCTGGGATGATATGGCTGGAGTGTGGAAGGCTAGAGCTGAGTGGATTAACAGAGGAAATCTGGAAACGGATGATGAGCCAAGGACCGGCACATTGCAGAGCAATGGCAAGCCCTTGACCTCCTCCAAACCAGACTTTGAAGAAGTTGTAGTCGGCTGGGGTGATACGGTCTGGCTCATTCGAGTCCATGCTGGCAGTATTGGAACTGGTACAGAGGCAGGTGAGCGAAAGATTGGACGTGCGGAGGTTACGAATATGTTAGTATTATGTTTTCTCTATTTATATCCTCGAGTATGCTTTCGATTGCTAACTTGGACAGTCTACGTGTGGATTGCACGATTGCTGGCATTTCGCTTTATACCCAAAATCTACTTGTTGTTCTTGCACATACGGAGTCGGCAGAGGATCAACCAGCAAAAGCATCCTCCCTCTCTTCTACGAAGAAAGGCAGGCATCAGCGACATAATGCTCTTGAACCAGAGTTACGATTAATCGATATCAACACAAAGGAAGAGGTCAGTGCTGACACTTTGACTGTCAGCAGGTATGAAAGTCTTTCTGCGTCAGACTATCATCTGGGAGTTCTGCCACCAATGAGGCTCTCTCTTACAATCAATCAGAGAGGAGCATTCGGTGTCATAAGTTCAGGCCTGGAAACAATCGGCCAGGGTGTATGGGATGTTTCAATGTACCCTGGACGCTTGTTCACCTCTGGTGGAAGCATGCTCTCCGGGAGAAATAGTGATGAAAAGGGCAGCAGTACTAAGGTAAGCGATGTTGCCTCCGGACAGGTCGCGAGTCCAGGCCATCAACCCAATCAGGTCAACGAAGTTGCCACATCCTCTGGCATGAAGATCTTTATCATCAGCCCCTACGATTGCATTGTGGCCTTAAAACGGGACCTCGCGGATCGACTGCGCTGGCTCCACGATATGGGCCGCTATCAAGAGGCTTGGGAGCTACTGGATCTACATCCTGAAGCTGTGGATTCTAATACCGAGCCGTCTGAGGTCTCATCACCGACCACTCCTTCGAGGTCGGGCTCATTCATGGCAGGCCCAGGACACAGAACAAACAGTCTTGCGGACTTCTTTACAGACACTAACTCAGTTTCAAGTCCATCGAAAAATGACAATATCAACTCTGCTGCGGAGAAGGAGAAACGTAAGATGGGCGAGCTCTGGCTCCAAAAGCTGATTGCCAACAAGAATTGGGCTGCAGCAGCGGAAGTTGCAAGCAAGGTGTTGAATACGTCTTCCAGATGGGAGCACTGGATATGGTTCTTTGTGCGCAACGACAAATTTGATGAGATTAGTCCTAATGTACCGACGTTCGAGATCACTCCACCACTGCCATCGCTCCTTTATGAGAGGATCCTTGGCCACTATGTCTATTCTGACCGCGCTCGGTTCAAGGAACTTCTCGACCTCTGGCCTCCGACTCTGTTTGATGCTAGTAGTATTACCACGGTCGTGGAAGATCAACTTAGAGATGCTTTCGCAACACCCAAAGAAAGCAGAGATTGGCGTATATTGCAGGAATGCCTTGCGAAGCTTTACCTAGCCAGTGGCCGGCCCTCGGACGCTTTACGCTGCTACATCCGCCTTCAAGATGCCGACACTGCCTTGACTCTAATCAAGGAGCATCATCTTCTTAGTGACGTCTCAGACGACATTCCTGGCCTCATTCTCCTCCGCGTATCTCATTCCCAACTCCAACACGCCTCCGTCTCCGAACTTCAAGACCTGACCTCCGAACCTATCGCACTCCTGGTCGACGAAGCTCACCACGGCACCGTCCAGCCAGACCAAGTTGTTCATCAATTAGATAAGCCCTCCCTCCAGCTCTTCCTCTATCTCTACCTCCGTGCCCTCTGGCTAGGTCAAGGCGCAACAACCTCTACTGATCACCAATCAACTCCCAAAGTCGGCCACTCCGCCTTATCCACAAACCTGATCGCCGACGAAGGCAAACTCCTCATCGAACAATTTGCCGACACCGCCGTCACCCTCTTCGCAAACTACGACCGCATCCTCCTTATGGACTTCCTCCAGACATCCACAGCCTACACCTTCGACGCCGCTGTCCGCGTCTGCGAAAGCAAACACTACATCTCGGAACTCGTCTACCTGCTCGCCAAGACGGGCCAAATGAAGAAAGCGTTATTTCTCATCATCGACGAGCTCAAGGATGTCGTCCAAGCCATCTCCTTTGCAAAGCAACAGGATGATCCGGACCTCTGGGACGATCTACTCGATTACAGCATGTCCCGGCCGAGATTTATCGAGGGCTTGTTGACGGAGGTGGGCACGGCGGTCGACCCGATCAAGTTAGTCAAGCGGATCCCGAGTGGGCTTGAGGTTGAGGGGTTGAGAGACGGGCTGAAGAAGATGGTCAGGGAATACGATTTGCAGGATAGTATCAGTGTGGGGGTGGCGAGGGTGTTGCAAGGAGAAGTAGCGGTGGGGATGGAGAAGTTGAGGAAAGGGAGGAGAAGGGGAATCAAATTCGATGTTGAGGCTGGAGGGAGGAAGACTAGGTCGAGGGATCTGGCAGTGAAGGGGGAGGATGATGTAGCAGTGCGGTCCGGGGACGGGGTGAGTTCGAAACCGGGCCATTGCGCTGGCTGTGATGCTGTGTTTGGCGAGTATGGTAAGTTTTGCATTTCGCTCTTTTTGGTCCGTTTCCTCTGCCTCTCCCACCTTCTTATACCACTGACCCGCTAACTCAAATCCAACACCCAGAATCCAGCCCCCTAATCGGCTTCGCATGCGGCCACGTCTACCACGCCCCTCACCTACTTCACCCTCCTCCCCGTCACCACCGCCTTAGCAAATCAACCTCCTCTCCCAAATCCGCCCGTCGTCCCTCAAGTCCCCCTACTCCGCCACTAGACACTAACGAAGATTTCGATATGGATCTCTTATCGGCGCCGTTCACGCGCAGCATCGGCGCCAAAGTCACCAATGCACGGTTGCTGAAGATGCAGATTGACGAGGTGGGTGGGTGTTGGGTTTGTAAGGACAAGAAGGAGGGGCATGGTTGATGAGCTGGCTTGGCGCAGCTGGTATGGGATTGCGCGCTCTGAGTGCATGGTGCATGGAGGAAGGCAACTAATTGATGGTGTGGGATGGGATGGCGTGGGGTGAGAACTTCGAAGCTGTGTATATATCGAGGGAGAGAGTAGCTAGGGCATAGGCACAGGCAAAGGCATATGGCACAAGACATTGCAGGATCGAAGCAAACCAGAATGAACTGCACTGAAGCAAGCTGAGCGTAGCGAGCAACTTATGAAGAATCAGTCCTCCATCAACCTACGACTGGAAATACCACTGCAATATCTCAACCTCCCCCAAACAGCCGTCCAAAGTTACGTGGTCATTCACCCGCCTTAGATAGTTACCCCCTCCATCCTGGCAGATACTTACCCAAGTATCCAAATATCCCAACCATCACCCCAGCCAACAATGATAATAATAGTAACTTAGTTAGTAGCACACAGCAGCAGCAGCAGCCCCAGCTCCCGCCTCAAATCCTCCAACCATCTCATCCTCCCCTCCCTCCCTTCCGTCCTTCCCTTCCATCTCCTCCTATTCCCCGTATATATACATTACAATGTAGAATCACCTCAACCCCTGTCCTTCATCAAAGCGCCCATCCCTATCCCCATCCCCAGTCCCAGTCCCTGTCCCTGTACCCAATAACTTCTTCCCCAGAAACCCAACCAAACAAACTCCAGGACTCAACAATCTCGCATCTCTTCATCCTTCTAATACCCAGACACCCAAGACTGAAAGTGTTTACATAAGCCCAACAGAAGCCAAACCCGGTGGAGCAGGTCACGACGATAACATACGTATATCTTCATACGGGAAGGGGGGGTTTGTACGCGAAGCTGGGGTTTTGGTTGCTTAGGCGGTTTGTCGAGCAACATTAAAAGTCATGGCTCAGAGTTTGTTGCAGATATTTGGGGATATGAGATGTGAAGACGATAAGGGGGACGAGGTTGAGAGATCTCGGGAATGGTGTGCATGTTGTTGTCTGAGAGTGGTATTCGGTGCGAAGAGGATAATCATATTGCTGGAAGGGAGAAGGATTGGTGGATTACGGTATTCTCGCAAAGGAAAAAGGCTGTGGTGTAGATTGCGTACGTTGCAAAAATTGTGGTTCTGGGGAGGTGTGGTGAGGGAGTCAAGGGAGTGCTGCGGTGAGGTGCTCAGCGTCAGCAAATATTGCTAAGCCAGCACGTCACATATTGATGTCACGATCACGATAGATGGGAAGCAAAGTATTATTGAGCGGTTGATCTATCTCTCGCCTGTACCACTACCAGGCGTGTCTCTATCTACGTCCCCAGAGACAAAAGATCAACACTTGCTCATCCTTTTCTCTCTCTCTCGATGAGCCGCAATGACAAAATCCTCAAGCAATTTTGTCGAAGAACATGAATTAGTGCGGCATATTCGCAATGGCAAAAGCAAAATAGAGAGGATCAGTGCCCCAAAATGTCTGTCCAACCTTCCTAACATATTGGCCAAACCTGATGGAAATTACCGTATGTTGAGGACAGGTAAAAGACGCCATATTGAAGGGGATGATCAGATCACTGCAATAGCAGCGAATATCATTCCTGCCATGATAGCAGTCTTGTCGTAGTTAATTTGACCACCAGCGTTGGGCGCAGGAGGAGGGGCGCTCGAGCTGGCAGGAGGTGCAGTTGAGGTAGTTGCGCGAGTTGATGGTGCACTGCTGGGCGGTATTGAGGAACCACCTGAGGTGCCTGGAATGGAGGTTGACTCAGCTGGCACAGTGATAGTTGTAGACCCAGAAGAAGCTGGTGGAGGTGGATTGCCGGTAGTCTCAGATGCAGGTGGGGCTTCGCTGGCTGGTGGTGTGGCCACAGAAGAAGCTGGGGTTGCTGGCGGTGGGACTGGTGCGGATGTCTCTGGCGTAGCTGGTGGGTTTGCTGAAGAGACAGGAGGGTTTTCAGCTGGAGGTGGGCTGCTAGACGCAGGAGGCGGAACGCCGGTGCCTGGAGGGGTTGATTCGACGGGAGTGGTGCCAGGAACAGGAGGAACAACAGTTGCTGGAGGAGTAGTCTCGCACACAGTGACCGTTACAGTCTCGGTAGTGGTGTGGACGACGTCTGACAAATTCGAGTATTAGCGGCGTCAAAGCGAGGTTTATGTGAGGTGAAGGCGAAATCTTACTACGCGGAAAAACACCAGCAGCGCGGTTCATCTTGACAGCGGCGTCGCCTTCATGACCTGTCGAACGACCTTGTCAGTCTTGTTTCGTAGTCATTGTCTAGTCAGACTCACCTTCATCAAGATCGTGATCACCGAGAGCGGAGACATCGTTGCGGGAGTTGAGAAGAACTATCATCAAGTCAGACATCGGCTTGATTTCCACATAACTTGAAGATCGGGTATATACCAGGTGGACTAGTAGCTTCAGCAAAGCCCTGAAAGATGGACTTGCTCAGGCTCAGAAGGATGAAGCCGATGGCGATGAGTGAGATCGTCATTGTGGATGATTTGGTAGAAGGTACTCGGTAGCAAGTCAAGAGTGAGATATTGAGATAGCTGTAGACTATCCAGAAGCCAGAGGCAGGTTGACGGTGACTTGCAAAGGAGTGTAAGCCTGTAAGAGCGCAGTTGTTGATGCAAGAAATGTAGTTGGGTGATAGTAGATGGTTGGGGATCAACTTTTTGAATGGGTGTGGTGAGAGTGTGCGCAAAAAATGGAGATGGGGCTGCCAGATATTTGTAACCGCAAGGAAGGAGCAAAACCAAACCACGCTAGCGCTTGGCCACAGTGAAGTGGAGCAGATGGAACTCAGTAGCAGTAAGCAGTAAGTAGTGTTTCCTGTGTTCACAGCAGAGTCAATGTCAAGGCCCGCCTGGAGTCCGTTCAGCCAAGTGGACAAGTGAGTTGGCTTGAACACCGCTCTTGATGTATCCACCCGCCCATCTACTCCCCCAATCTCACTGTCTGTCGCAGAACGATGCCACAGAGGTCTCCGCTGCGAACGCTAATCTCCTGATTTAGTTATGTTCTACAAGCAATCTTGTCTGTGGGTGGGGTTTGATGGTGGAGAACAAAGCATATGAAAAACGAAGTTCAAGGAGAGCTGATTCTACCGGCAGGCTGCAGGCTTCAATCTGGTTGCGTGACGACGAGAGTCCCTTGTACAACTAGCAGCACACGCCTGATTTGAGATTGAGCCCAGCGAAGAAGCTCCCGACGTCAATGTCCCTACTTATCATGATGTAGGGGATAGTACCACCCCAGCCATTCAATTGAAGCATGAGGTTGGCTTTTTCTTGAGGCGGAGCGGCTCCACACTTGGCATCCCCTCCGCTTCTGCTTGGCATGAATGCTTAACACGCGATGGCTTGATACATACGTAGTACAGCCAGAGGTACGCAACTAACTAGTAGGTATAATCTTGCCGGAATCCACATGAAGAGCATCTACTAGTACCCGCACTGCAGCGACGTCGACACCGTTTGAGCATGGAGAGATGACATCCCAGATGCCATTCTAGAATCCGCTGGCACAGTTTTGGAATATGTGCATTGTTCGTCTGCCTGGAGAGGAAATTCCACCATAAGGCTATGTATCCTTTCTTCTGCCGCCTCAATTATCCCACCATCCATGTAAATCCCAAACTCCCTCAGATGCGTTTCGTGGAGCCTTAAAACAATCGCTACAACCAGCACCTCAGAAATCCCATATTTTGCTACTGCCTTTTTTCTCTCTCTCAGTCATAATCATCCCTCTGAACCTGCCATGCCAGCACCATCATATAAAGGAAGAATACTGTTCCTACCACCTCGAACGCAAATGCTGCCCTCCAGCAATTGCATATATTTATCTGTGTCAAGTATTGTAATGTCTCCACACTCACCCCGGTAAATGCCTGTCTCTGTACATACGTCTGACAATTTCCGTTGACGTTTGCAGCAGGACCGTAGAGTTGGATTGATGTCTCGATCAGTAGCGTGAGCCAAAGCACGAAAAGTATAAAAGATCCTAGCAGGATGATGCCAGGTATCAGAAGTCGTTGTCCGGCGAGGATAAGAATGATCAGAAGGAAGACGAGGGCAAGTGAAGAGACGGTCACGCCGTACGGGAAAAGCCTGCGATTCATCGGTCAGATACGTTGGCCTCCAGCTGCGGCTTGGAGGGAGATCAAAGCTTACCATGGTATGCCCAACCGCATTTGCGTTTGTACTGTCATGAACCACGCAAAGATACCTAGACAAGTTGACGCCGCAACAAGGACGATGAAAATCCACAGATTGAGCTGCACCTCAGGCCACTGATACCGCCGCCGCCTCTCGCGATATATAATCTCTGTCGTCATGACGGTAAGACGGTGAATGAGGGTGTTGGAGTGAGGATGGTAAGTGCGCTTGTATCGAGGATTTCGGCAGATCCAGCAGAAGACAACGAACGTTGATGGACGAAGTTGTGGGAGGCTGGATACTGATTCGGATGGAGGAGGGTGGATGACAACGTGTGGCTCGGAGGGGCTAACAGGCCGAGTGGAGACTTGGGCAGCGGTATTTCTTGCCGCTGTATCTAGATAGACAATGACACTTGATACTGTCTCGCTCGATCGCTTCGAAAGCGCCCGGCAGCGCCGCTGCTCAAGCGATGTATCTGCTTCGAGTCCAGACAATCACGACAACAAGGACTCGGGCCACGAATCTGCCAACCCGAATGCGCCTAATTTAGCTAGCGCGGTGGGCAGCTGCAGGTAATACAAAGGGTCAAACAGATGATTTTCGGATTGTAAATGTACAGGAATGAAATTCTGAACGACCTTGAGATGTGAACAATGGATTGTGTCTCATTGGCCCAGAATGACATTTCTGGGTCCTGATTACTGTGACGTTGTTGTTCTGGGGGGGCTGGCTTCCAAAAGCATGGTGGCAGGTAGGAAAATGGTCCTATGGAATGGCGCCCTACCAAACATCGAGTAAAACTTCGCAACAATATTTTGGCTAAGAAGCTGCTGGAAGGGCAACGCCTGCTCAGAACTTGAAGCGCTCTTACTAGTATTGCTTGGTAGTCCTTGGAAGGCACCTTCTCGAAGGCCAATCCTTACCTTCAAATGATGCATACCCACTCGGAATCCTGGCAAAGGTATATCATCTAGATCATTCTATAGAATTATCTTACCAAAGCCCAAATCTGAAGAATCTACAACGCAACGTAAGGAGCATGCTAAAGCAAGAATAGTTCACTGGGCAAATAGAGCTACCAAGAACAGCTTACGAAGTACATAGCTATGCAGGTGGTTCACCACTTATCTGTATAGATTGCAAGCTCCATTTTGAGTCAAGATCTGTCCACAGGAGAAGCATCATTGTCGTAGGGACACCAAAAAAACCACAGTGTGATCGTAACGACCATGAGCAGTCAAGAACTCTTCTCATTTAAACCACTTAAGGAAATTGTGGGTTGGTCTATTTGGGTATCATCGTATCAACAGCAAATCCTCCTGCCATCAGAACGCCAACCCTCGTCCTGAGGGCACACCACAGAGCTTCAGCTAGTTGGAGTATTTCGGGTTGACCTTCTTGCTGTGTTGGAAAAGTCTTGTCAGCCTCGAGCTATTTGGCTCCTCTTTGGGGCTGGCTTACCCAGTCGCTTTCTCATATGCGCTTCGAAGTCCATCGGTGATCTTCTCCATCATCTTCTTGTCCTTGACGTGGCCTCCAGTATTCTTGTTGATGAATGCGGCAGCTATTTGCATGGATTAGCATTCGTAGGCAGAAGTTTCTTTGTAGCCAGATGTGATCAAGTACCCTTGTCGCCATAATCCTCCTTCTGACCAGCGGGGGCTTGTCCTTGGTTATTCATTGTTGCGGGGGGAGTTTTGGAAGGTGTGTGAGCGAGTAGACGTCTTATCTCGAAGATTTGGTGTAATGTGTAGTAACTGTAGTTCTCGAAAGCAAAGCGCAGTAGCTACGAGGACGAGTGAGTCTTAAATATAGCTGACATGTGCCGGAAGGAGGCAAGCTTATTGAATTCTTAGCCCCATTGGAGCTTCGTGAATGACTCGAGCAAGGTCCACTGCAGTTCCAGTTTCAGGGGGGAAGTGTGGCTGGGCATTAGCTGTCACAGGACAGCACAGCCCGCGCTCTGGCCATGCATCTCATCCAACCCATCACGCCACCATCTGATGCGGTGCAAAAGTCATCTCCTTCTGATCGTCAGATACCCGACCGGGTTCTAATTGGCATTTGGGCGGAGTTGCTCTCTGAAGGATCTACCACGAGCATCCCAGTTTTTGTGCAGAGCCCTCATGCAGTGGGTGCAAGGCATCCAATGTTTTTTGGATTCTACTGCAGCGGAAATTTCTTCCGTCTCTAAAATTTGCTTGCGCACGATCGCATTCTTACTCGTGAGTGGATCTTTATCGCATGTTAACTGATGCGCCTGACTCGTGGGTGGCAGCCAACGCCAAAGGCCTGACTATGACCAGCAGGTCAAACCAGAGCCCCTGACCTGGAATTTACGAATAGTAGTAGCTCTTGAAGCCCGAATTGACTCGGACTAGGCATTATTGGTGCAGGTGAGGTAGCACAGGTGATTCACATTCCTACAATGCAATTGCTCTCACACCTTTACATCGTCAATGCAATATGCGACGCGTCACAGAAGACTGTCGAGCACTGCGCAGAGCAATTTCGCGATCCCAAAATCGACGATTGAGCCGGATGAGATATTCAAGGCCAAAAGCATGGATGTTGTCTTCATCCTTACCAGCGATGAGTACCACACCCTCTACACGATTGCAGCTATACAAGCTGGAAAACATTTTATGCTAGAGAAAGTCATGACATTGTCACTGCCTTCGGCCAAGAAAACCATAGAAGCCAAAAAGGCTGCAAATGGACTTGAAGTCTTCGTTGCATACATGCGTTGATATGCACCGTCGTTCGCGGAAGCCTTCAAAAGTGAGGTTGCCACTATTTCCAGGATCTGGGCCCGGGACATCGTTGAACCGAATTCTCACTTTGTCAGCCAATCAGGCACCTTTCCGCAGAATTTCACAGACAATCTGCCAAAATCCAACAATACCAGACTTTGCGACTGGCGAGACAGTGGGCTATATACCTCCAGACGAGGCAGCGGTCGATGCTGCCTTCCAGAGATCTGCGGCCGAGGTTGTAAAGTATCCAGGTGTTCAAGCTGGCTACGAGTTGACGGATCCTGTTCCTGAGAATTCACCGCTACCATTTGGTCAATTAATCGAGAAGTACGATCTTGGTGCTCTTGTCACAATGATCTTTGCCCTTGCTGGATATTAGTACTATCTACATCTTCAAATACTTCAACATGGACCTGCTGAACACGTTAGGCGAAGCCTTTCTCATGACAGAGCGAAACAACGTTGGCAAACTTTGCGACAAAGGCTGCCAACGAGCTTGGCTCAGATGCTCTACTGAGTACCACAATCATGACCATGGACAGATCCACCACCCCAGCAAGAGTACTCGTACAGACACTCTTGGGCCGGAAGCTGATCCTTGCGAAGAAAATTATATCTACTGTTCCGCACAACCTCAACAACCTCCCAGGCTTCGATCTCTCCAGCCACGAAGAATTCCACTTCGCCCAATTCGACAATAGCGCCTTTTATACCGGCGTACTGCAAGACACAGGACTCCGCACCAATACCTCAATCCACGCCTTTGGCTCCAATAAGCCCTACGGCATCCCCGGCCTGCCAGGGATCTACTCCCTTAATCCCAATGCCGCAATAGACCTCTTCTAAGTCTATTATGGTAGCCCTTATCTGCTACTAGGGGAGTAAGTCCGAGAAAACATCATGCAACTGTGCAGCGGATACAAAAAAGCCCGCGGTATCTCACCGGAGAAGAGACCTGAACTTGTTACATTCGCAAATCATACACCTTTCAACATGATGGTGTCGAATGATGCTATCAGGGATCGCTTTTACGAGAAGCTATATAAGCTGCAGGGTCAGAAGCATACGTTCTATAATGGAGCCTCGTTCCATACCCAGGATTCCTCAGTGCTTTGGCGATTTACGGAAGAGCTGCTGCCACGAATTCTTGAGGTGTTGAAATGATTGATGATAGTTGAGCTTTGGACTCGCAACAATCGAGCGGGAAATAGTAGTCTTAGAGACTATCAAATAATGGAGATGGGTAGTATCGGCTGCGGAGTAGAGAAGAAAATATTGTAGCACGGTGCCTATATAGCGCTGACAGGAGAAAATAAGAGCCCATGTCTCAGTTAGATTCAAGTCCAAGTTCTTGGTGTTAGTTTCGTATCAAACGCTTGCTTATCTGCTTCAAAGTTTGCTGGACTATCTACAGGTGGGTCTACACGTCTTCTGTAGCCACTGAGATCAACAACCACATACTTGATAGCAAGATTGAAGCCCTCGGTGATGCTTTGGAGTTTGGTCAATGGCGGTCGGCAACAGTCAAATTTGGGATTTGTTCGGAGGTGTTTTTGTATATACTCGGCGGCGAGCTTGCTGGCGTGGCGTGTAGCTCCAGTAAGAACTCAATACCGCTAGAGATGGAGTATTTCTGAATGAAAATGGAACTATTTCTGGCCTTATTGAGATGGCAATCAACTTCTGGTGTGCGATCGTATCTGCGTGCTTGAGTTGACAGGTTGCTTGAGCCTAAGAAGACCTCATCTCGTCTTCCTTTTCGTTCGCAGCTGCTCGAGTATCAAGCTGCGATTATCGTAGTGGAAAGCCCTGCCTCGTTTGCTTTGTTGGCCTCAAATTCCTCCTCACCATCTGCTTCATCTGACGCATCTGTCCAAGCTTCGTCCTCATCAAGTCCATCAGCCGTGTCACCTCCATCTGCTTCTTCCGCTGCCGTCACATCATTTTTTCCAGACGCGTTCTCGTCATAGACAGCCCCCTTCGAAAGCAAGAGCTTAACGATAGCCGCACATCCATCTCTTCTCCAAGCCGCATCAGCATCAGAGACTTCATTTGAAGCCATCTGCAAAGCAGTTCTGCCGTCATTACTGCGAGCATGGATGTCAGCACCTTTAGAGAGTAGCAGATCCACCACTTCCGGCTCTCCTCGTGTAGATGCTTTATGCAACGGAGTCTCGCCATAATTATCGCGAGCATCGACGTTAGCACCCTTGAGAAGTACCAGCTCAACAGATGCTTCGCCACCATCCTCCCACAATCCTATCACCGCCATATGCAAAGCAGTTTGACCGCTATCATTTTGGCCATCAATATCAGCACCTCTATCAAGCAGTAATTCAACGATATCTTTATGACCTCCGTATGAAGCTGCGTGTAAGGCGAAGCCATAGTGTCCACCTTCCGCATGAATGTTGGCACCTCTATCAAGCAGCAGTTCAACAACATCTCGATAACCTCCGTATAAAGCTGCGCGTAAGGCGAAGCCATAGTGTCCACCTTCCGCGTTGATGTTGGCACCTCTATCAAGCAGCAGTTTAACAACATCTTGATAACCTTCGTATGAAGCTGCGTGTAAGGCGAAGCCATGGTGTCCACCTTCCGCGTTGATGTTGGCACCTCTATCAAGCAGCAGTTCAACAACATCTTGATGACCTCCGCATGAAGCTGCGTCTAAGGCAAAGCCATAGTGTCCACCTTCCGCATTAATGTTGGCACCTCTATCAAGCAGCAGTTTAACGATATCTTTATAACCTCCGCATGAAGCTGCGTGTAAGGCGAAGCCATAGTGTCCACCTTCCGCGTTGATGTTGGCACCTCTATTAAGCAGCAGTTCAACAACATCTTGATAACCTCCGTATGAAGCTGCGTGTAAGGCGAAGCTATGGTGTCCACCTTCTAGATTGACGTGAGCGTTATACTTGAGTAGCAATCTGACAATGTTCAGGTGACCCCCAGCTGCAGCTGCCTGTAGTGCGGTACCACAACATCCACAATTTGCATTAACATCAACTTTATCAGAGAAACTGGCGCCCAAACCATTTAAGCCATCATGCAAGGATATTTCTGGATGAACATCACCATGATCTCTACCGTGCATATTGCTATTGACTCTATGATTGAGAAGTTGTTGAACAATATGCTCGTAGCCATTGCAGGAAGCTACCTGTAGTGCTGTGCCATATCTACCACCCTGCACATTGACATCAGCACCGTTGTCCAGTAGCATTGTAAGGATATGTGTATGTCCTCGACTTGCTGCATAATATATCGGGCAGATGCCAACTGCATCTGCTTCGTTCACCTTCTGCCCGTCTGATAGAATTCGTGAAACAACACCACCCAGACCAGCGAAGCAAGCGCGATGCAGGGCAAATGGAGCTGGTCTGAGGTCTCCCAACTGGTATCGCAAGCTTGGTAGATTGTAAAGCTCTGTTTCACATACAAGGGTGTTACCATCTGCTGTGCAATAAGGCTGGGTGAAATCTATGTATGCTGTGGGAATGTGTGAGTAGCCAGGCACGCTCCCAACCGTTCTCAGCTGTAGGACAGCGGATAGAAACCATTGTTCCTGTCCAAGAAATGCCAGTACTCGACGATGAAGCTCATCAGGAAGATCCCCACACTTCGTGATGTGATAGTCGAATGCACATGAAGCGTACCACGCAAACGGGATCGAAACGGTGCGTTCCTCAAGTTGCCTGGCATTTGAGCAAGGGCCCTCCAATATGCAGGACTGAAGATAGGAGAGACAGGTGGAAGCAAGCTGCGCGTTGATATAAGGTACATCACTAAGCTTTCTAAGAGAAAATCTTTGGAGTACACTTTCAGGAGGATTTTGGATAAACTCCTGCACTGAAAAATGCACAGGACGAATGGTATTATAATACACACTCACGGGACAATCGCGTTTTACAAGTAAATTGGCGCATGCCCCAAGTATAGTATCAACTGGGTAAGGTTCCATTTCTTGTGTGTCGTTGTGGAGCTTCTCGGTGTCTGTCGAAAGAGCATGTTGCAACTCCCTTATGGAAAATTCTCGGGTGGCATGCATAACCAACATAAAGCATTTGTAGGCAAGCTCTTTTAGGTTTGAAGGCTGCTTCTCGATTTGTTCCAGGGCGCGAATATAGGTTGCATTCAGACCTAGTGGCAGAGTGTTTAGTTCTTTTTCTAGCTCGCTATCCTTCTGCGACTCGCTGACTCGACATAGGTTAGCAATCTGCAGGCTTGTCCAGAGAAACCTGTTTCACGTTAGCGTACATAAGATTGCCAATCTGAGTGTAGGGAAACGACTACTAACATGCCATCAGCCTTCGTTGTTAGAGTGTCGATGATCTTTTGCTCCAGAGTCTTGCTCTTCACATAGAGCTTCTTCCCGTCGTAACCTTGACGTAATCGCTTGATCTCATCTGTAACGTACTTGGTTATATCTGCTACAACGCTTTTTGCTTCAATTTCAATCTTTGGTGCTCCAAGCTGGTCAAAGGCCCTTACTATATCGCTTTCACGGCGACTTGTGACGAAGATCTTCTGACGCGGTAGGTTCTCTAGAACAAATTTTAGGAAACCCAGAACATGAGATCTCTTGTCTTCAGGGCATTCGTCAAGCCCATCTATCAGCAAAAAGACTTCTGTGAAGTCTTGTGCAACTGTAAGAAAGGAGCTCTGGTTGCCCAAACTAGATGGCGGAAGAGAGTCTTGCTTGGCTCTGAGGAAGGTGGTAGGCACATTGTCTCTTTTCCGACAAAGCTGCTTAACAAGGGCGGAGATGATTTGGCTCAAATCCGCCATCTCGGAAGACTGATAACTGTAGTATGAGAAGCAAATGCCAACTTCACGGTGTGGGCTGTGGTGGCTAGTGATATGCTCGAGCACATTGGATCTATATAATAGACTCAGCGCAAGGAACAAAAGTCACAAGAGTAGAAGACTTACGCTAAAACGGATTTACCAGCTCCAGCTTCATACTATCAGTATACAATGCAAACGCGTCGATCTACCACACTCACGGTTTCCATGACACCATAACAAGGTTGAAGCTGGACTATGAAACCAATCCTGGAATCGTCTTGTTTGTACTAGCCATTCACCGGTCTGTGGATGCTTCTTTGCATGTATATTTTCGTGAACCGTCTCAAATGGGATACTCGAGATCCAATTCAAAAAGCTTTCTCGTTCCGCAACTAAGAATGAGGTGTAAGCCAACAATCTTGCAGAATCATGGAATATAGATAAGGTGAACCTCTGTCTTTCTCGCGTCTTTCCCTTTCTTGATCATTTAGATCCAGCGTAGCGTTTAATGTTACAGCTTGAGCAGCATTGCTGAGTACTTGAATGTGATGTTGCATACGTGATTCGATCTTGCTGAACTCCTCTTCAAATGGCAGCCATTGGATATGCCAGAATGTCCTCCAAGACGTCATTCTTCTTCGCACCCCTTGGTAAGTAAACACAGCATGAGCATGTTTGCAGAACTGGAGGAGGTCTCCATACACATTTGCAAGCGTTTCGACTATGGTGGTGTTCCGTGCAGAAGAGTTGTCGTATTCATGTAGAGTTTCGAGAAAGTCGCTAAACCGACAGAGCATGTCCGACAGTTTATCGAAAAATCCGACGAACTTGACTGCTTGGTCGATCACGACCCGCACGCCGCCAACCACAATTGCAGAGATATCAGGGTTGGCCTGTATGCCAATAGTGACGCCAGCCATGAATCGATCAAGGAGTCCAAGAAATCTTGAGAGAGTTTCTGCTTTAGGTCGGAAACATGACTCTGCCTTATGAGCGTCGTCCCATTCTTTGACCTTCAAGAGAATGTTTTCATCTGTCAGATCCTTGGAAGCTTTGCGAAAGGCTTCTTTCTCAACAGCCGGCAAGCTTTCAAGCTCCCTGCTTATCGCTCGCTCCAGAGCACGGTTGTGTGACACCTGTTTTGAAGATTTTGGGTCCTTCGTTGGCGAGCTTTGGATTGATGGAATTGTGCTAGGTGTTTGCACTTGGGTCACCGCAGCTGAATTCGGGACAACTGTGGGCCTGGGGGTGATACCCAGCAGTGTTCGGAGACGGTCGCGCTTCGACATGCCTTTGGCTGTGCTGGCCATAGCGCGGAATACACCTCTGCTCAACTATCAGTTGCGCTGAGTAGAAAGAGCAAAAATACTTGCCAGCTACTCAGACATGTTGCAAGACTAAGGATAGAGATAAAAATCGCAGTCGATCAAGGCCAGCCTTGCGCATTAGAGTGAGTATTGTGTGTAACGTACGCTGGGGGCTGAGACAATCATGGACGCCAGCTAAACCTTGTCATACCAACGTGACTTGGATTACTCGGTATTTTCCACAAAGGGTAAATAGTGGGAAAGATTAGTATCTTTGCCCGTCTAGGCAACAAAGCATTTCCGGCTGTACTACGTAAACCTTTAGTTCTCCTTGTAACTGTCCCTAGCACTCCGTACCGTCGAGCGACGATCTCAGATTGGGCAAAAATCTGGCAAAGAGTCTGACGGTGCGGTACGGAGCGATTGGCCGAGCGCTCTGACGATAAGCTACGTAGTAGACTTGCCTTTTTGGTCTCATGCGGAGGGTATCGGATACCCTATCCATGTGATTGACAGCAGATTATGTAGCTAACCACCAACTAGCTGAATGCGGGGAGCACTGCCTCGTTCTGACAGTTCTGACACGCGTACCCAAGGACATGTGTACGTAGTAAGTAACTAGTACAGGTAACTTCCTAGTACTTGTCAGCCTCAGCTTAGGGTCAGCACAAGCTTATGCTTCTTGCTAACTTAGAAGTTGATTTGTTGGGGTGGAATAATCAACCGCAAGGCACTAAGCTAGGACATTTTCTGCCGACTACGTAAAACACCTTGCTACTGTGGCGAGAGCTCTGGCTTGGTCAAGCAACCCCGGATCGTCCCATCCAACTGATGTAACTAGTCCTCTTCCCCCCCCCCCCCCCGACACTTTCGCCTTTGCATATCCTTCTACCTGCAGCATAGCAATGGCAGGAATGACGAGAACAGCATCCATATTGCTTGTTTTGGCCGCCCTCCTCTCCGCCGTTATTCCTATCAATGCCTCGCCGAAGGTTGTTGGCTTCCCCTTCCACAAAGAGGTCCGTAGAGATGTCCCTCACCTTCATCGCCGACAGGAGTCTGTCGAAGTAGTTATTGGCAATGCACAGATCCTATATTATGTCAATGTCACGATCGGTACACCACCACAGCCATTCTCGCTACAGCTAGATACCGGTAGCAGCGATATCTGGGTCCCATCGACAGAGTCAGACATCTGTACCCAAAGTAGACGAGCTTGCCAAGTAGGCGCTTTCGATTCCTCCGCATCTCGCACTTTTGTGGATCTGCTACGAAATGCTTTCCAAATCCAATATGTGGATGGCAGCCAAATCCAAGGAGACTACTTTGCCGATACCCTCTCCTTCGGTAACAGCATCACACTGCAGAATATGACAATGGGCTTGGCGACAGAAGCAACAAGAGGTCTGGGTATAATGGGCATTGGGTATGCTGCTGGGGAATCACTTGCCATGGAGAACCCCGAGGCCATTTATCCAAACGTCATCGACGAGCTGGTGCTTCAAGGAGAAATTAGTAGCCGTGCCTATAGCCTCTACCTCAATGACCTTGATGCAGAAAATGGGAACATCCTTTTCGGTGGTGTTGACACAAACAAATATAGCGGCGACCTAATCGCGCTCCCCGTGCAAAATGACTCCAACTCCGGCAGCCTAACCTCCTTCACCGTCGCCTTCACCAGCCTCAGTGTGGTGGACGGCTCCGGAAACAACCAACTGACACGAGACTCCATCGCTGTGCCTGCCATCCTCGACTCCGGTACCACAAACACCTATTTCCCAGATGACCTCGCCAATGCCATCCTCGAAGGTGTAGGCGTCACCACCGACGAAACCTTCGGCAATGTCGTCGCTTGTGAAGTTGGCAACGAAGAAGCAACCTTCGTCTTCGCATTTGGTGGTCAAGGTGGCCCCACAATTAACGTTCCCCTCTCTCAATTCGTCACCCCACTCTTTACGAGCAATGGCAACGTTCCGACCTTCGATGATGGAAGTGAAGCTTGCAGTTTCGGCATCTATGGCGCCGGGAATGACCCAGTGCTATTTGGGGACACCTTTCTCCGCTCCGCGTACGTGGTGTATGACCTGGAAAACAACCAGATCGCTCTCGCGCAGGCTAGATTCGATGTCCAGGACAGCAACATCCAAGAATTCACTGCCGGTGGCGCAATTCCAGGTGTGGAGACCGTGGCGTCGCAGGTCACGGTCACACAGACCTTTTCGGGTCCGCTGCAGACTCAGCAGGCCACCGAGACGGCAACGGCGAGTATTGTGGGCGGCACGCAGAGAAGCGCTACGTTTAGGCTGGGCACCGTGACTGCGAGTGTGGGGACAGAGAGCTCGCCGGCCGGCATGGCGAGTGGGCTGGGCGTGCCAAGTATGGAGCGGACTGCTTTTTTGGCGGGTGCGATGGCGCTGCTGAGTTTTGTGCTGGGCGGTGGAGTGGTGATGTGTCTATAGATTCTTTGGATTTGAGGATTTGAAATATCGAAGGTGTTCTGGACTATAAGAATTGGATGTGGACATAGGTTGGTTGGGCATACATGTACAGAAAATAGGTAAAGTAAAGAGCTCCTGGGTCAGTGAGTTTTGGCACCGGGCTGCGACATGCTCGTTGGTCCTTCTTCATAGAAGATAGTCTAAGCCAGAGGCGAATACATCATTCTCCACCATAAAGATCTAGCTGGCTCAGCAAGGCCATAGTGTAGCATGGGATAGCAGTGTCTAGGGCACTCCGTGAGCATGCAGAAGAAACCCAGTGTGAACAGGGACTTCAATCAGTGTTTGAACGTGCTACATGGTGTACGTAACCAGCCTGATACTGTAATCACAGCGTCAAGAACCTCGTGGCCTTCTACGCAATCAAACCCACCCTAGAACCACTGACAGCTCCGCACCGCGTATGATTCTCTATCGAGCCATTGATACTCGTCGACTCTGGCATATAATTAGATGATATTCCCGCCTCTTGACCCTCTGCAATGTCCCAATCCTCCCATCCCCAAATTCTCTCCCTGACCCTTCGACGAACGAAGGTACTTTTCCACTCCTGTCGCATAGACAGTGCAGTCTGTTGTCTCCCGCATGCGCGGGATGCGGCTTGACAAGAGCGGGTACAGCAGAGGTCAAGATCATACATGTCGGCTTAGAGCTCGAGTCAGTTCGGTGGTAGCTTCAGTCGGAGTGCGCATCCAACGGGCATATCTTGGGATTATGCATAAGGGTGTCAAGGATCGATAGTTCAGCATAGAGCAGTAAGACCAAGATCGTATAGAAAGTGGTTCAAGTAGTAGCGTGTATGCAATCGTTCAGTAAATCACGAGTTCAGTATTTGCTGAGTTGCTTCGCTCTCTTCCCAGTCTTACCAGCAATACTCATGAGCAAAATCTGCTTTGTGTGGCCAGGGCTATCCAAGTCGCTTGCCGTGAATTGTGTCCCTTCGTTGTCGAGCTTCTCCAGGATTCCGAGCAGCATTCCGCCAGCATGAGGGCCTCCACTTAATAGCGTTGGATAATTCATCCTGTGAACCACTACCACGTTCGGGTCCATTTCCAAAGTCCTGCCAGGTTTTCGATTTGGATTAAGACTTAGTTATGGGTCATGGCGATTACATGAACGCAAAAGTCTGTGGCGCAGTATGAATATTGCAGAAGACTTCGACTCTTCCAACCGTGGTGCAGCTGTGATGAAGTCACGTGAGTCCTTCCTTTCATCTCCATGACATATCGCAGTAAACAGCTTGCAATGGCTAGAAGTGACCACGAAACATGGCGGCAATCACAGGCCCGCAGCGCCTGGATCTGCGGGATCAAGCCGATGGAGAAGTCCACCATGATCGCCTCAACGCGCAGAAGCAACAGCGAGCCTCCAACGACCCTGAGCGGCAGCCACAGAGGTGGGCAAAGGAGGAACGAATGGCTGATCGATGCCTCCTAGCTAGACAGCAGTAACGCTCAGGTGATACCAGGCTCGAGGGATGTTCTCCATTTGTAGAATTTGTTACAGGCGCAGCATAGGGGCTGTATCAGTGAGGTCCTCTTTGAGAAGAACAAGGAAATGCTGCCTGGCCAGAGCATCGTTACGAGCACCAGTTGAGCGGTTGACACAAGGGTAAAGAAACTTTTAGATACTAGACATGACGCTGTAACGAGTTCAGGAGGCAAAAAAGCAGTTATGGCTAGCACCATCTCGACCGGTGGTTGTGCGAGGATTGCCGGTTTAACAGCAGGCCAGGATGGTGTGGGAGAGTCCAATTTAAGTACCCGGCTGATACCAAAGGCACCATTTGAAAACATGAGAAAGGGACGGTTTCGATGTGGCAGAAAGCATGACCAACATGATTGAGGTAATGGTCTAAGTGTTTTCAGAACATTGTAGATTGTGCTGCCTGATGCCAAAGACCATTGGGTAATGAAGACTGCGTACTAGAGAAACCGCATTGGGCTGAAGATTAGAAATGCACAAGTATGATCGACCAAAGGGGGGCGCACTGATGGCTATATGGAAGCCTTAAAGAAGTCTGCATTGCGGGGTTCATGCTCTTTCTACACATGTGGACACTGTAAGCAACGTGCCCAGTTCTGCCAGTTAGTCGATTGCTTGGTGATTTTCGTGCATTCGATCTGCGGCTTGGACTAATTGAGTCCAGGTGCATTTCAGAGCAAACTCTGCTTCACGTGTAGCCTATTTCGTATACATATTTAACGTTTCCACATTTCCTTGTTAGACAGCGGATCAATTTGCAGTTTCTATTTCATTGGTGCAGTGTTCGACAAGTTGGTAGTGCTTGGTAGCTAGGATGGTGGTGGTTTCAAGAATTTCTAGCTGGAAGCCTAGGTTCAGAGGCCTGTTTAAATGGTCTAATGGCTCGAAGACGCGGCATAGCATACATACATAGTAAGATGATTATTTGAGCTCACGATTTAGCACGAAAGCATAGAAAGCACAGAAAGACGAGGCAGACACATGAGCTTCCCAAATTGGAAGGTGGATGGGTGATTAGAATGGTATGTCAGCACATGCAGTGTAGCTGGAGCTATTGCGGAGGCCTTCGATAGCCTTCTACCAGCGTCTCTTAATAAGTAAAGGTTTGTAGCAAAGGACTGTCTCCCTTGGGCCAGCTGGGCATAGCTGTACCTTCACTCCATTACCTCTAGGACTTCCACAATCCAGCACTAGAACACCTCATCGTAATCCGGCCTAGTTCACCTGGTTTACCTCCCAAAGCCTGATGATGTTTGCAAATCGATATCCAGCGGGCACAATATTTGGTGCTGTGTATGAGAAACATCTATCCCAACGGACGATTTGGGTGATGACGGCTGGAGGCTGGGTCTGCTCACCGTGTTGATGACCACGCTGATTGTTCAATAGACAGGCCTAGCGGACTTTGTAGAAGGCGGTATCGCTATGATGGCAGCCAGTGAAGGTGGTTCGCTCGACCTTGCACTTTGTGAGGTTGATTATGTTCGGGTTCAAATTTCAACTCGAAGTTTTGAGGTCTGTTTGTAGTGATGGTTGGATACTGGTTAATCGAGATTTTCGTTTTGAGTATGTCTGCTGGGGCTGCTGGGTGATGATCATGCCGAATGATAGAAATCGTTGCATTGTTTCAATCTCAAGATCTTGCTGACACTCGCCTATGAATGAGATGTCTCGGAGGTGCCGAGGACGGCCATTAAAATTCATTGTAAAGAGTTAACGCCGGCACTGTTGATCGGTTCCCGCTCAGAAGTAATGACTCTGGGCGTTGAGGGTAGCCATGCAACTGAATACGGCAGACGTAAGGAACGTGTAGTCGTTGAGGAGACTAGCGGTTTCGGAAATCGTACTATGTACCGCTATAACATTCAGAAGGTTATCCGGAGTCCAGCTGTCTGACACTGCGGTGACAACCCGAGAGAGCCTTCGAGGCTTGTAGAATGATCAGTCGCAAGTGCAGCGATCCACCATCATCCTATTAGTTTGGCTTTAATTAATCTGGCAATAGATGACGGTTCTCTCAGCCTGTTCTTCTCCACTTGGTCTCGTCGGTCGTTCCGTTCTCGTGTGCTGCCTCGTCTTCGTCGTCCTCTCTTGGCCGGACAGATCCAGCTCCAACTCCCAAGGTATCATCTTCCCCTGCTGTATCTTCACCGATCAAATTTCCTTCTTCATCAAAATACTCTCCCATGTTTTCGGCGGTAATCCAGCCACCACTTCCAGGCATAGGAGGCGGGAGATCTCCACTCGCATTGCCAGGTGCGATCATTCCAGCTTGGAATAAAGCACTCTCTTCTAAGCCACCAAGTTCCTGCTCATTATTAACAGGATCCGGGTGAAGATTTGAACAGTTGGACAACGCCGTAAACATTGCTAATGATGGCGGTTGAGGGGTGTGATCTCCACTAGTGCTGTCCGGGTCTGTTGTAGTTGGAGGTGGTGGTGCATCGTTTTGCGGAATAATTGTCAAGGATATCGAATCTTCTTCCTCGTCCTCCACCCCACCCTCAGCATTTGGCGATTGTGAAAGAAGCTGCATATAGAGCCCTTGATGTTCACCAGCGGATGGCGCTGGTACTGACTGGATAGCGTGCAGCGAGATAATCGGATACGGAATTGAGATACCAACCTCAGATGACGGCGAATATAGGAGCAGTTTTCTGGGAACAACAGGTTTAGCAGAAGCGCCTCTTACGTTACCAGTTGACTTACTCGGAAGTGACCCAGACGTCAATGTCGCTGATAACTCTTTGCACTGAGATCTCCTCTACTAAAGACTGGGCTTCCACATCATCTCCGTTGGCACTTTCTCCATTTAGAGTGTTCAATTTTTCGCTAGCTTGGGCGAGCCCCTGAACCGCCGCTGACTTCGACATGTCGCTTTCAAGCACAATGAGTTTGCATCTTTGGCTGTGGTAGTGCAATACTGGGGGACCAGAATAGAACGAAGCCGGGGTTGTAGATTGATGCTCTATTAGCGGAACGAAGGAAGTGACTTCTGGGGCCTCAGCTATGATTTCCATGCCTGCTGGTTTGCTGTTTGCAGGTATCATGAAAGGGAAGCTGTGCAGTCAAGGAATGATTTCAAGGTAGAATTTCAAGGCAGAAGTTTCGTCCGCAACATTCGGCCTTCAATTTTTTGATGATCGTTAACTCAAGAACCAGTCTTAGTCTTGGCATCTTTTGACTTCATGAAGAACCGGAGCCACTGCCCTTTCAAGTGACTTACAGCTTCGCAAGCATTACCAGTTACCAAGCTCATGTCAATCAAAGCTCACCCTGAAAGATTTGCGCTTCAATGTAGAGCTAAGGTTAAGGCTGTCTTAAGCTCGAAGGCGGGGCTTCAAGGCTTTCAGGCTTAAAGATCAACAGTTCAGTGTCTACCAACTATACCCAAGGTCCTTCGGCCCAAACTGCTTTCCTAGCTAGCCCTTTTGGTTGACTACCAGGTCCCTTCTAGGCTCTTCAAAGGATCTCGAACCTTGAAAGAGCTGAAATAAATAGATCTCTGTCCAAGCTATCCCTACTTTCGATCCACACATTCCTAGACCGTTCTGTCTTCCTGACATCTTGCTAATTCTACTCCAGAGACTTACCAGTCTGATCGGAGTCAGTTAGGTGTAAGTACCTTCATCTACTATCCCATTTTTGGGCTTTGATGCCTATCATCCTGCCATAAATGTTTTGATTTCGTCCGATGCCATCCTCAGCTTTGTCCCAGCATGTACTCCTTCGTCGTCACTCAGCGTCGAATACAAGGGGTTCTGGCACCTCCTCAAATCATCTGCCATGACTATCGTCCTCTACATATCCGCAGTGTTTTGGTCAGCTCAACACAAATGGATGATGCTTGAGCAGCATGACTATGAGAGTCTTTGAGGCCCATCTTGGAGCTGTAGATGGGTCATGACGCCAGCGGCGACGGAGGCTTTGATGACCAGCAAGTGTAAGTATTTGGAGACCGACTTGTGCTTCGATGAAGCATGGGATAAGGATTGTGAGGAGCCGGGCAACCCCATTCCCTGGCCTGTGGATGGGTAGTCATTTCTGGGTATGTGCCTGTTTTGTTCAGGGGGTCCTGCACAGATGCGGCTGTTGTGGGCAGCAGCTCTTCCAGCTGGGGAGAAGGCAGTGGCCAAGTAGTAGATGTGCGTGATCGAAAGGGCAAGGCTAGGGACATACTTTGTCCGTGTCCCTGGTACATGTCAAAGAAAGCGATGGCCCATGGTAGCGTTTGCCCTCTGGTTGGATTTCATGGTCCGTATTCTAAATAATGTCAGAATCTGTTCTAGATCTATATTAAAATCACATTGGACTGATCTCACTCGCAGGTAAGTTCCCACAATTCGAACCGGCTATCCTCAAATGCCTAACTCGAAACACAACTCTTCCGGTCTGAAACAGACATGACTACGTCCAACGAACTCACGCAGAATGCTTCTCCACAACCACACGTCTCTTCTTTGCACCCCTGAGGCTCCACGTTGCATTTGCCCACATTCCACCAAACGCCGGTCCAGGATGCAAAGCCGTCAACAACATTACTGCGATCACAATCATAGCCCCTTCCAAGACCATTAACGTTACCTCATCGTTTGCCAATCTCCCATCAAAACCCTCACTCAACTCTGCACATCGGAACACACACCTGACGAAAATGGCCAAAGTTGCACCCGCCAATACCCACAGGAACACTTTGAATCTTGTCGTCCGTCTCAAGTCGACAAACTCCACTTGCTGGTTTAGATCTTCTTCGCGCGCCTTTCGGACCCGCCATGCGAATTCTAGACACACAACAGCGAAGAGTCCAAGGCTGAAGACCTGCCATGAGACGCCAGCAATCATGATGTTGATTCCTATCTGACCTAGCGAGTCGTCCTCAGCGGCAGAGGCGATGCCGCCGCCAGCTGCTTGAAGGAGGAGAGCGAAGAAATCAAAGATTATGAAAACGATGGTGTATGTGCGGGGTTGGAAGCGAGAGAGTGTCGGTGAGTAGACCGTGATTATCCGGGAGAGAGTCAGGTAGATGGAGGCGGCGAGAAAGGCGGGGCCAATGGTGAGGCAAACGATGTACCTGCGCCGTGTGAGAAGATTGCAGTTGGCATCAACAACAACCGGTATAGGAAAATACGATGGTAGGGATATAAAGGACAAGCTCCAACATACATCAAGAACGGATCCTCGCGGAAGGGATTGAAATGAATCTGGATCCGTGCAACGTATCCGAGAATCTCAAGTACCAAACCGCCGATCATCCCGGCAAGGAAGCCCCAGGTCCGATAACGAATGCCAAAGTAGAGCTGGACGAGAAGGCACAGAGCGAAGAGAGAGACATAGAGGGCATTCCCTGGAAGCGTCGGAATGTATTCGATACTGGCTAACTCCAGTGGACAGGTGTCGATGGTGCAGAGCTCCGGATTAGCGAGCAAAGACGGTGATAAGTTTGCGAATGATGAGGTCGGGGTGGCCATCTTGACGTTGGTTCTGAGAAGGGCAAGCTATGGAGTTGGGACTTCTTTTATTGTTCAAGTTGGCCAACAGAGCACGTAAACGGAACAAGACAAGTTGCTAGGAATGCATCGAAGAGTGCAATAACGAGAGAACAGCTGCTCAAAGGGAGGAAACAATCGAGAAGAAGTACAACAGACGAGCGCTGGTGCCTAATGTACATCATATTCCCCATTTTTTCTACTTAATATCTTCGTAGATACGTCGCCTCGCCATTCCAATAGTACCGGTACAACATTGCACCGCCTTTCGCTTTTCTACCCATACTCGTACGAAATGAGAAAGGAAAGGAGAGAGCGAATCATGTTGCTGCGGGACATGGTGCAGAAGAGTGCTGACGCGTAATACGTGGTAGGATGAAACGCTGCATTGAATTTGGACACCAACAGGGGCTTGGCAAGTAGCCGAAGTTAAATTTCCACCATATTTAGAGAAGTCGAGAGAGCAGATTCAGGCTGCTTACGTAGTGCGTGACCGGCTGATAGATAGGGTTGTGTAGATTGACGTCTTGTCTGAGTCAGAATAGAAATGCGTGATGCAGGAAATAGGTGCAATGTGGAAAATTGGTGTGAGACGCTAATCATGAGGGAACAGAGAAACGTAAGCGGTAAAGCCACTTCGGGCACTCGTCGTACGCGACATAAGGCTGAGGTTTAGATTCCAGGAGGCCTGCACGGATTGTGCCTCCACGCGGCGCAGGCTGAGAACCTGATCAATTCTCTTGATCAGAGCCAAACAATCCATCGACATATTTTCCTATTATGCGCATCTATCCCTACGAGAAATCTGCAACGAGATGTGCCTCTTATCGCTATTTCGATCGGATTGAAGCTTGACGAGTTAGAGAATAAGGAGGAGGATAACAGAGATAATAGTTACAGCAAAGCGCATAAAGAAGATAAGGTCTTGTAGAGCATAGTTCTTAACTACAGACTCCCCTTCAACGACCTTATACCGAGAGATAAAAGAACAATAAGACGGTTTTTCTTGCTTTTTCTTTACCTGTTGTCCTTGTATAGTTGCAATTTCGGATTGGCTAGAGGCAGTATCTAAATGGGATTGTTCTTTGGTACTATCTTGATGAAGCAGCTATATATGTCTGTTGTTGCAGAGTCTATGACTCGAGTGTGTACATAGATCAATGGTCTGTGAAGCACACTATAATAAAGAGAAGTCATCAGCTTAGATTCCAGGACAAACACTGGGGTCCATTGAGAGGGAGGAGGCGGGAAAGTTACTCAACCGTCTTGTGTGTCTTGGGCACTATTAGCAGTTCTGTGGGAAGGCGAGGCCCCAGGACAAAGTTGCGTCTGTCACAGACCATTATGTGATAGTACCCTAGGATCGAACGAGTACAATCAATGGTACGTACCAATCCTATGCCTCATCTTACACAAGGTATGGGTACCACGTTGCAGGACTCTGTCATTTCAGGGAAGTTGTGCTGAGTAGGAATCTACTACTACCTGAGAAGCTCTGAAAGGAATGAGCGGTCTGCAGTGCCAAGCCCCCCCAGCGTAAATAATAAGTAGCGGCCGAATCTGCAAATGGTCTTGACGGTACGCAGTAAACACACAACAAACGGACCCAGCCATTACACAAAATATGCACGTTGCTTCCACTCTATCAAGAAGATGAGCAAATACCCATCTCATTTATGCTGTACGGTATAGCAGAATTAGCTTCAAAATCATGCTCAAACGCCCTCAACCAACTCGTAGATTAGACAACCAGGATATCACAGCCAAATCGACTGACGGTAGGTCGCTGCGATTTGATGCCCGTCCTCCCGGATAGAACAGACTTCTTGGGTTACATTTGGTTCTCCGTCCCCTCTGCTTTCACTTCCTAAACGACCTGTAGGACCACTCCCAAACCCCAACACGCAGTGACACAGACATGACTGCGGATCTAGAAGATCAACGCCAACGATGTGATGTCAACTAGGGTGCCAATTCGACTCATACAAGCACTGTTCGGACCATCGGCTTTAACAAGGTTCAGAGTCCTTGGGTGTGCTTCGAGGATCATCCTCTTGCTATGATCTCGGTCAGCAGACGCAGTCCTTCGCACCTCAGCATTGTATGAGACCTGTTCTGACCTCTAACGAGACTCCTAGCATACCGCTTTCGTTCAAGACACGAGATTCGTCGCATCCCGGCTCATGGCGAAGAATGGAAGCCGGTTCTTTACATATTTTAGCGGCATCTCTCTGAGCCCTCGTGCAGGAAAACACAGTGTGCGTATAAACATTCATGAGGCCTTGGTGCTTGAGCGACAGTTAGTTCTGATCTTCGATTAGCCATGGAAGCGGACCTGGTCGTTTCTAGGTCTGTCGATGCTCGACAACACCGTCAACAATCATCGCAGCCGCTGTTGTTGTCCAGAACGTTCAGACATCTCATACCCGACACCTCTAGCAGTGTACCAACACTGCCATACTAACCACAACATGATTGTGACTACCGTGAGAGGGGCGGAGAACGCCCAGTAGATCCAGAAATGGCTCGAAACCACCCAAGAATCTTGACCCGACGGGCTTTCTGGGGTGAAATTGAAGAATTGGGTGCTAAAGATGGCCTACGCTGTGGTCAGCGAATAAACTTTCACTAAAATCAACTACCGTTGTCGCCAACTGACTGAAACAAACGTTGCTGGTAGGAAGGTTAGCGTGAGCACGGCTACCGTCTTCATCGCTGCACTGTCCCTGCGCGCTGCTTTGCCGATGCGGACTGTTGCCTGACTATCTTTTTGGGTCACCATATTGAAAGCCTGTTCATTGTGAGTGCATGATCCACCTATCATCACCATCTCCACCCACCAATGTGATCTCGTTCTGCAACCTTGATAGGTTCGAATCCGACCGAGCCTTGAGGCTTTTCAATGTCTGCAATTGAAATTGGAATAATTGACGAGTCTGCTGAAATCTAGATAGTTCAAGTGGTGTCGACGTTGCTTTGTCGCTGAGTGGCCACTTATGGTGACGGATCATCTCCGAGACGGTTTCGACCGCGATACCGAGGGTCTCCGAGGAGTGAATCGCGTGTCTGGCAAGGTCGTGAAGAGCAGGAAAGTCCGGCTCAAGCTGTTTATTTCGGTCCCTGTTCTACGTGGAACTCAGATATGGTCCTAAAGCTTCTTCAGATCTCAGTGATCGTAGCACTTACTCTCTCAACATCGCGAACAACGTCACGTATGGTCCAAACTGATATATCATACAGATTGATGACTTCACTGGTCAGAAAAGCATGAAGGGTATAGCGGTTGTAATCATGCCCTTTCCCCGAGGAAAGCCTCAGAGATTCCCGAAGACGATGGCGGAAGCTATCTGGCACGTCAAAACAGAGCACAGTGGTCCTATTTGGCGCAGTGCATTGCGTGAAGAAACCCATTTCGTGCCAAACATATACCGAATTGGCAAAGCTGACGTTCTTTTTTAGTTGCTTGACCAAGAACCGAAACCAGGTCTCTGCAGCCTTGTCAGCGGATATCTACGCAACTGAAGTGGAGGTCAAATGCAGCAGTACGTTGACAATCGACAATAGTGCCACCTTCACAGATGGTCTGACCGCCAAAGCTGCCGTTTGATCGCTGGTAAGATTCATCCCAAAACCATAATGGTATCTGAAAACGGGCGGAAATTTCTCGGCGATGACGCTCCGACTTCAAGTAAGTGCTTGAAAACGTAAAGCTAGATACCCGGTCAGATTCGTAGTCTCTAACGAGACGGCGACGTACATAAAGCAATTACCCGGAAAGCCTGTTCTTGTTAGGGTTCCATGTAGATGAGATGGGTAAAATGTAGCCTACTTGAACATAGTAAATCCTCCACATTGGGTAGAGTGATGTCTTGCCACTTGAGTCTAACTGCTTTCTCATCGATCCTGCTCATTTGCGAGTCGTCCCTCTGTCTTGTCTGTTGAAGAACATGAATTACCGGCATTGTTGGGCTGGACATGCTCTGTTACACGGACGTGGACAAGGATAATCATCAAGAAGAAGGGTAGAAAAAGGCCAGATGGATGAAGGATGAAGGATGTCTATAAGAGGCTCCAATCTAACCTGTTTACCATGCGAGAGAGAGCGGATCCTGCCTTGTTCTACTGAAGCTGTTACCAAGAACAGCAATTGGACCAGTAGAAGCTAGCCGGAGTTGCCCGCCCGAACCGGTGCCCATCCGAAGCTAGATTAGTGTCTCATAATAAGGCTGTACGTACTACGTAGTAAGCCTCGTCGTCTTGGTTTCACAGACCTGCGAGGCCGAGGCCGCGAGGCTACGAGCAGGAAACAAAGCCATACTTCAAGCTCGGTGAGATTGAAGATTTGGGGCGGCCATCGTGGGGTATCTTTCCTCCCTTCACGTCAAAGTGTTAACGGACTCTTGAGCTAGTAAGCTCTGTGCTACAGCTGAATTGCGGTACTTCGCAAAGCTGGGACTCTGACCATTACGATTATCCTTGCCTTGATTACCATTCCGAAGCATTAGAAACCCTCGCAACCATTTTACTCGAGCCATGAGCGCGGCAAGCAAACGTCCTCGTCGACCTCGGAGTCGGAATGATTTCGAGATCGCTGTAATCTGTGCCATACGCATCGAGTGCGACGCTGTCGAGGCTTTGTTCGACGAATTTTGGGAGGATTATGATTCGTACGGAAAGGCTCTGGGCGATCCCAATGCCTACTCAACGGGTAGGATCGGTAGCCACAACGTCGTGTTAGCCTTTATGCCGGGCATGGGCAAGGGAACTTCTGCCAGCGTTGCGGCTAGTTTCCGCTCCAGTTTCCCCAACATCAAGCTGGGTTTGGTGGTGGGGATTTGTGGAGCAGTGCCGACTGGATGGGACGACGAAACAGAAATTCTGCTTGGAGATGTCATTATCAGCACTGGACTGGTCCAGTACGACTTTGGGCGCCTGTACCCAAACAAGGTCATAAGGAAAGATACGTTACAAGATAATCTGGGTCGGCCAAACCATGAGTTACGAGCATTCTTGGCTCAGATGGCAGGATTGCGCACGAACACGATTGATGAATCACACTTCAGCTTATCTGAGAGAGATATGTTCCAAAGAAAGCTTTGAGAAATCAAAGTACCCTGGACCAGAAGAAGACAAACTCTATCCATCGACTTACCGTCACAAACATCATGACCCGACCACTTGCCCTACTTGCCTCCAGTGTCTCAGCAAGGATGATGAGGTCTGCGATGTTGCGCTTGAGTCAGCTTGTGTTGATTTGAAGGGTGATGAGAAGCAACTACTTCATCGCGACCGGCTGCAAAAGGCCAGAAAGTCTGCTATGCAGTCTGCTGAGGACGGTGCTGTAATTGAGCCACCCACGGGTGTACAGACCCTACTGATCCATTTCGGTCTCATTGCATCTGGAAATCTGGTGATAAAGTCGGGCTACCATCGGGACGATATTGCTGCCAGAGAGAAGGTGATCGCCTTTGAGATGGAAGGTGCTGGAGTTTGGGACAATTTCCCAACGATAGTTATTAAAGGGGTTTGCGATTATGCTGACAGCCATAAAAACAAGAAATGGCAGAGATATGCTGCCGCCACCGCAGCGGCCTGCATGAAGGCGATTTTGAAGGGATGGAGGACTTCAGACAAGCCAGCTGATAGAGACACATATCGTCAAGGCGACACCCTGCTCCCGGTCACTATGCTGCATGAGCAGCTCCCAGCGGGCAATAGTCTGAACACGGGGAGTAGAGAGATCAGCTTCGGTACGCTCAACACTATCCACCACCAGGAGTCTGCGCCCTTTGCTGACAACAAGCGATGAAAGGATCCCAGGCTGCGGCACAAATCAAACATGTTGGCCATTATTCACACTCATCGCTACGACCAGTGGCAAACTATATACAACGGCCCGCACTCCACAAGAAGATCCAGGAACAGTTGCACGATAGACTTGAACATCGCCCCCCAACAGCTAAAGTGCTGGTTGTTCGTGGGCTTGGGGGTGCCGGGAAGTCGCAACTAGTGCTACATTACGTCCAAGAGTGTCGCCCGGATTACAGAGCTGTCTTCTGGATCGAGTCAGGTCGGAAACAGACCATCGAACGTGACTATCTGCAGCTATACCGCCAGCTATTTCGTGGTGGTGCTGGGACGGGTCAAGATATGGTCAAGCTTGAAGACGCAGTGCTTGCTGTCAAGAACTATTTCCGCAGTCAGACAGGCCGATATCTCGTTGTGTTAGACAGTGCCGACTCAATTGATAACGAACAAGACGAGTCGTATGTTGATCTCACTTTCTTCATTCCTGATGCGCCTAACGTCGATGTTATCATTACGACCCGAAGTGCAAGAGCCGAAGATATGAGTCCGCTGGAGGTGGTCCACGTGGCGGAAATGAAGCATGAGGAGGCGAGAAAGCTGTTCATAGCGTCCGCGAAGCTCAAAAACGTGACGGAGGAGGTCGAAGCCCAGGTAGATTTGATAACGAACGAGCTAGGATGTCTGGCACGTGCTATCACACTAGCGGGCTCACACGTGGCCGCCACACCTCGCCTATCATCCGACTTACGGCGGTATCTTCCTGAGTATCAAACGAAACGAAAGAGGCTGCTAGGTCGTAAACCGATACAATATATCCATCACTACCGCGACAGCGTGCTTAGCACTTGGGAAACGTCGTTCGAAGCCGTCGCGGCTGTATCCACAGTAGCATCCCAACTGCTTACCTTTATGGCATTTCTGAATTTTGATGATATATTTCTTGGACTGTTCGGCCTGAATAACGATGATTTCGAACAACCAGCGGAGTTGGGTAGTAGTGATAGCCAGAGTGGCGACGCATTCGATAATCTGATACATAGATTGAGCAAGGTTGACAACGAAACCGGCGCCGCTCCGGACGAGCTAGCAGAGGAATTCAGCAGCGTTGAAAGCCTGCGCAATGACGAACCTGACGAGTCCGCAGACGACCTCAGCACAATGGGTAGCCAGACCGACGATGATCTCGACAAGCTAGGCCATGAGCTAAACACATCTAACAGCCCGGACAGGGATTATCCTGCTAACTCAGTGCAGGACAGCAGCACAGGTGATGGCCAGAGCAGTGATAATCTGAACCAGGCAATACAGCGCCTAAGTATAGACGACACCCAATGGCAGAGCCTAATCTCCCTAAATGATCCATTGGATCTAGACACCATAGAATCCGCATTTGAAGTTCTACGAACACACTCCTTCATCCAATGGGAAGACGACCGAAACAGCTATTCGATGCACAAATTGGTGCATGCCTGGGCTCATGACCGACTGGACGTACAGGAACAATATCGCCTGAGCCTGGGCGCGCTGCATCTTCTGGCGGAGGTAGTCTCCACGGTTGCGATGGGTCCCACCTCGAAAATGCGTCTAAGGTCACACTTGCTCGCAACTTTCAACACATTTCGATCTTTATACATTACGTTAGATCCGCCAGACGTTGAAGGGCTGAAATTGCTTCAAGGCATTACAAGATTTCTAGACCAGGCAGGCTGGTGGTCTGACGTGGTAGATATTCAACGATTCTGTTCTTACCACTTCAAGCACATTCTTGGGAAATGGCATTGCAACACGATAACCAACACGGTTGAACTCGGAGTCGCGCTAGGGAAGCAAGGACGTTTTGAGGAGTCCGAGAAGATACTACGAAAGACATTACAGACCTGTAGAATTGCTTGGGGAAAGCAGCATCCTGGTACAATGGCAACTATGAACAATCTGGCAATCGTGCTACTCGATCAGGGAAAACTTGAGGAAGCTAGAAAGATGTATCATAGGACATTAAGAACCAGAAAGATGATATTAGGAAAGCAGCATCCTGATACATTGATTAGTATGGAAGAGGTGGCCACAACATTAATGGTGCAGGGCAAGTTGAAGGAGGCTGAGGAAATGTTCAGAGAGATTCTAGCATGGAGAGGAAAAGTACTAGGGATGTGGCATTATAATACACTACAAGGTGTGGAAAATCTAGCAGCAACGTTAGGAAGGCAGGGTAGACATAAAGAGGCCGAGGAAATATTTCGGATGATTTTAGAACGGAGGGAGCAGATTTTAGGAAAGTGGCATCCTGATACCTTACACGCTGCGGCCCATCTAGCATTTTCACAAGGAAAACAGAACCGAGATGAAGAGGCTGAGGAGCTATTTCAGCAGACAATCCTTCGAAGGGAGATGGTTCTTGGAAAGGAACATCCTGATACACTGATAAATACAGGTAGTCTAGCAGCAACTATAGCAGACCAAGGTAGATATAAAGAGGCTGAGGAGCTACAACGACAAACAGCCCTTTCGATGGAGATGGTTCTCGGCAAAGAGCATTCTGATACACTGAGAACCACAAGCAGTCTAGCAGCAACTATAGCAAACCAAGGAAGATATGAAGAGGCTGAGGGGATGTTTCGGCAAACAGCCCTTTCGATGGAGATGGTTCTCGGCAAAGAGCATTCTGATACACTGAGAACCACAAGCAGTCTAGCAGCAACTATAGCAAACCAAGGAAGATATGAAGAGGCTGAGGGGATGTTTCGGCAAACAGCCCTTTCGATGGAGATGGTTCTCGGCAAAGAGCATTCTGATACACTGAGAACCACAAGCAGTCTAGCAGCAACTATAGCAAACCAAGGAAGATATGAAGAGGCTGAGGGGATGTTTCGGCAAACAGCCCTTTCGATGGAGATGGTTCTCGGAAGGGAGCATTCTGACACTCAATGGTGTGTGAGACTCCTGATAAGGTGCCTCAAAGACCAGGGCAAGAATGAGGAGGCCGCGAAGTACGAGGGTGAGAAGGCTGTGGAGTACGAGGATGAGGATTTTGAGGAGAAGGAGAAGGAGGAGGATGAGAATGAGGAGGATGAGAATGAGGAGGATGAGAATGAGGAGGATGAGAATGAGGAGGATGAGAATGAGGAGGATGAGAATGAGGAGGATGAGAATGAGGAGGATGAGAATGAGGAGGATGAGAATGAGGAGGATGAGAATGAGGAGGATGAGAATGAGGAGGATGAGAATGAGGAGGATGAGAATGAGGAGGATGAGAATGAGGAGGATGAGAATGAGGAGGATGAGAATGAGGAGGATGAGAATGAGGAGGATGAGAATGAGGAGGATGAGAATGAGGAGGATGAGAATGAGGAGGATGAGAATGAGGAGGATGAGAATGAGGAGGATGAGAATGAGGAGGATGAGAATGAGGAGGATGAGAATGAGGAGGATGAGAATGAGGAGGATGAGAATGAGGAGGATGAGAATGAGGAGGATGAGAATGAGGAGGATGAGAATGAGGAGGATGAGAATGAGGAGGATGAGAATGAGGAGGATGAGAATGAGGAGGATGAGAATGAGGAGGATGAGGATCAGGATAAGGAGGATGACCCTGGGCGTGGAGAGAAGACTTGATTTGGTCGAGTCCAATTAGTGGATTGACTAAAAGGAAACCTCCAAGTCATCCCAGGCGGATATACGTGAATCGAAGACCAAAATCCGATTGTATGCGAAGAGTCCACTCGACTTTCCTCGGCCTCGCAAGCTGCGAACTTGTCGTCTGCCAACGCCCATTGAGCTGTGGCTAACACTTTCAAGTATTTGAGATCTGCTCAAACGAAGGCCACTACGTTGACCAACCTCAAGGCCAAGGCCCAGATCCTGCCACTTGCGCAGCGAGTCACATATGCCGTCGGCGACGCTGCGCACCCCCAAGACAAGGTACTAAATCGGCCGAGACAGAATCTTCGGGACTTTTGAACAGAAATCGCTTCGAAAACAAATTGTTAGAGCATGATCTGGTCTTTGTTCTACACACCAAGTGCCACACCTGCTAAGATACTGGGTTCGCTGTTCGCAGGGTCTGTCCTGGGATAGAACTCGTTGTTCACTCGATTTACTCGGAGTTCTGCACGAAAGGCCCATACCGCACAGCAGTCATGGCAATCTCTATCAGCCAGTGACTGATTCGACAACGACCCGAGTACCGATCTTGGCTAGTACCCCAATGGATCATGGGAAGTCGGGGGATTGGATATTGCTGAGCAAGGTTCGAGAGGGAGGGCAAGAGAGAACACGGCCAAAAGGGGACGGTGAATTCCCTATATAGGACATAGATCTTGATCTGGCGTCTGCCACTGACCACGAACATTGCTCGGAACTTTTTTTGTCTGTGAGCAGGGCTGTCAAATTGAGCCAGAAGCAGAGGAGTTTGGGGTTTAGAATGACGTGGATAGCAACTGAACGTCACTAAGACAGAGCAGAAAAGCACGTTCTTCTATGTACTAAGGAGTTGAGGGCGTAGATATGTACAAATTGGCTGTACGGTACGGCAGAATTTGCTCCAAAGTTGCACTCGACATCGTTCATCAAACGCAGCCAAATAGCAGTGATTAAATGTGGAAGAAATTGGCCAAAAGGCGCTTTCACAACTTGACAGTATAACATCGAGCCGTTAATCATGACGAACCATCAAGCCGAACATGTCAGCAAAAGGTTGTCAGTAGAGATTCGAATAGAAAGCTGAAAAGGGGTAAGCAAATGGGTCAAGCGGCGAGGCAGTGCATTACTACATAGTTGTTGAGCGAACAGCCTATGTAATAGTCACCGGGCAGACACTCCTGGTTCACATCGAAACCCTGGTTGAACATGCAAGGCTACAAAAGCCTCTAGGACATGGCGTAAATACTACCATGTATGTTTTGCACACAATGGATCCAGAGAGAAACATCTTCCGAGTTGAACTTCAAATAGTACTAATTATGATTATTGTTGCCAAGATTTCTCACGTGCAGCGGTCACCCTGACCCGTGATTGGCGAGGGCTGTCGAAGCCTGGCATGGTCGATGACTTGTAATGGCCAGTTTGAGATGTGTCGCAAAATCCACGGCATGGCATCAGCTGTCCAAACATTAAACATCGGGTTTACGATCTAAGCCAAACGTATCTCAAACACAAAACACTAGTATACTACCTAGTCCTCTGCAAAACAACCCAGCACTCTTTATAAAAGGAACCCTGGAGCCGACACAAGGTAGGGTTGAAATGTGTCACCTTTCTTTCAAGTCAATACTTTCTCTTTTGGTATAACTAGGCATCAATTACGAGATCCAATCGTGTCCGTTTTTCTCCTCTACGCTAATTACCACTGGTCGTGATGTCAGACCCGGGTCGCCTGGACACAGGAAAAGAAGCCAGGAGCTCTGCTTCGGCAGCCTCAGGTCAACCAAGAACCCATCCGCAGAGAAATTTGACTGCGCGGAGGCCTGAACCACCTTCTGCAAGCCCCGGTACACCTCCGTTTGCACGTCAAGCAGCCGCACCGTCAGAGGCCTCTCAGGTGTCTGGTCTGACTAACATAGCAAGCCAGCAGAGTAGGCGCATAGCGGGGACAGCGGGTTTGGTGAAGCAGCAACATAGTATCTCAACTAACCCAGCTAGCTCCCAGAGCTGCCATACAACAGGGACACCGCGCTCAGGATCCCGTCGATATAATGACTCAACTGGTGTAATCCAACCGCAAAATGTCGCTCATGCTACAAGTGAGGTGACACCGACATTACGAGGAGGGGAGCACCATCAAAGGCCAGGTCTGTTAGCAGTAAGCGAGAGTCGAGGGCTTCGTTCCAACGAAGTAGGCAGGCAGAGCCCAGCATCTAGAAGAAGGCGGCAAGATTGGACGAAGTCTGCCGCTGGCCTGCCTTCGGTAGCCAAGACAGGAGAGCAATTCCGGCCGGATCCAAGACAAACCACTCGGAAAGTGCCAGGCGCCAACCAATCCGATAGAGCGCGGGCACACAACAGCAAGATCGGTATTGGTATTGAGACAGAATTTTTGCTTGCAGCCCGTCAACTCAAGCATAAGGCGAATACTATCGAGGAGTTTGGGAAGATCGCTGCAATCAATCACAATGACTGCGTAGCCAGTCAGCATCCCAGAATGGGTAAGAATGTCCTATCGTATCCTCCGGAAAGGGCTGTCTTCGACCAATGGGTTTTGTCAGAAGATCCAACTATCTCAAGGGGATACGAACCATGTAAGCTATTTCCTCGCCAAGGATTCGTAACAGAGTGCTTGTATCGTCACAGCTGACCAGAACCTGCAGGGGGAGTGGAGATGGTTTCGCCGATTTTTGTGGCCTATTGCGGTTCACCATGGCGAACACATGTCGAATCTACCTGGAACTACCTTCAGCAGTATTATAAGATAACAGAAGACGACAGCTGCGCCACTCATATCCACGTCTCGGTCGAGGGCGGTTATTCTTTCGAAGAGATAAAGCGCGTCGCTCGTTCCGCCATACATTTCGAAGCAGCCCTTGACGCACTAGTGCCTTCGGTACGTAGAGGAGGAAACTGTGAATGGGCTAAAAGCAGTTGGCTTGATTCCGAACATCTTGCCCTCAAGGATAGATCTCGAGAACGGTCCATGATATTTCTTGACACTGTCAACGATTTCTTCAGTTTCTTGAGCGTGATGAATCCGGACGGAGAAAGAGGCTACACTTGGAACTTTCATAGTATCGAGAAATTCTACACGATAGAATTTCGCAAGCCTCCAGCTAGCATTACGGCCAACCAGGTCCTCAGCTGGGCTGAACTCGCAATGTCCTTTGTTCAGGCATCGATTAGGTATGGATCGCTGGAGAAATTGCGGAGAATTCCATCAACCACTGGAGGTTTGTGTTGGTTTTTAGAGCAGTGCAATGTTCCTGGATTGAACGAGCATCATCGATTGCACGGATTTTGGGAAGGCAGGGATGCGCGTGCATTCGAACAGCCTACGCCTATGAGACTCTATCTGCTTCCAGAAGAGGAGAAGGTGCTTGACAAGAGGAGAAAGCTGGACCAAGGTCAGACATTAATGAACGCGATGAAAAGAGCGCCATACTGGCAAAAAGACGAATAGATAGTTGTTGGTGTTGTGCTGTGTAGTGTAGTATAGGTGCCGTTTTTTCTTCTTCTGAGCAATAAGTTTTCTCCATACAATGTCAAATTGAGTATGTCAGTCCGTTGGCGAGAATACTGAGCATTACATGAGCCTCTTTCAAGACTACCCAGGTTTGCAGGCAATTGATGAAGAATGCCACTGGTCGGGGACAGGCGACATTGTTACATCTAGTTATTGGAGTAGACTGCAAGTACCAGATAGAATCGAACGGATGTACGGGACCGTGCGCCAAGCAAGTTCTGACAATCAACCTCAATTGGTGGTTTCCTGGCGCAGCTGGAAGAGGCATTATGCCTCCAGCATTTTCCTCCGGCAGCTCATCACAACTTTGCAGAATTATCCCTACTCACCTCTATTGCCCAGCTTGTTCAACATGGCGATCGCGACTGGCACGATCAGGGATCGCTCTGCATCGCGCGAAGAATCGATTCGCGTCCACCCTCGCTTCTGCCACTGCAGTCAATGCTACAAAATCAATACCTCCTAAAAATAGAGACCTCCATCAAGCTTTGAATGAGCTGAGAAAGAAGGCACCTGGACAAGTCAGCCTCAGCAGGCTTCAATTGGCGATACAAGGACTCGAAAGCGAACATCCGACGGCTCGAATCGCTCTGCTTGGAGCAAACGTGCCGGTGACAGCTCGTCGCCTGATTCGCCTCTTTTTGGCAGATGCATCAAAACCACAGCATGACTGGGAAGCACGAATCTTGGGAGAGGATTCATTGCAAAATCAGGATCTGATCGTGAGATTCGGCACTCCCCAGAACGAAGGTTTACAGCCTGCTAGTTCTATACTACCAGTACTTTTCGTCCCCGCTCCGGTACTTCAGCATCAAGGTATTGAGATATTGATATCGTCTGTCAAAGTTCGAGACGCAAGCACCGGACTGAACGGAGATACCCTTTCTGATGTACTGCTTTCGCCTATTATCGGCACCCCCAACTCCGCTGCTGGACGGCAATCCCTGATCAGCCAACCAGTTCACCGGGCAGCAATTGTGGCTAATGGTCTCGATGAGCTAGTAAGCGTCGCTGAGTTGTTGGCGAAGACAAAATTTCAGTCTGGATCTGAAAGAAGGCTGGTCGATATTGTCCTGAATCTGGAAGGAAATGTCCAGAGTTTAACCTCGGGAACTATCACAGTGGATGCAGCGAAAGCTGAGGAGGGCTTACAAGTTGTCCGGACAGACTTAGCCAAAGCGTCAGAATTTGAAAAGGTATGGACAGAAAGTGGTATGCCAGCTTTATCAAGGTGGCTTGCTAGCTCGTCTGCGGAGAGTAGTGTAGGTCTATCGCCACTCCTACGCGACCTGATAGCGTCTCTGTTGGAAGCAATTAACGCCAACATTGCGATTCAAGCCCAAGAAGCCAGAATCGTAGCTCGATCAAAGGCAATGACGACTGAAACACGGTTGTCACTTGAGAATGCGATCAATACATTTTCGCAACTGGGTCACGCGGAGCTACAAAGTGGACTGGCAGCAGCATGGTCGTCCCGTAATTGGCGCAAGTTGGCTTTCTGGAAATTATTTTGGAGAGTGGACGATGTGCCATTGATTGTCACGGACCTGGTCACAACTGCCTGGCTGCCACGTACAGAACGGGCAGTATACGAGCTCACCGGCCGATTGAAGCAGGCAGGCGTCTCAATGCCATCGGATTCGTCAACCATGTTCTCACCACCACAACCTCGTGCCATTCCAATGCAAGCAGATGTCAAAGAAAAGGCGTCTAGCCCTGTCAACGAGTCACTCATTCTAGCCTCAACCGCTTCAACCGAATCTGTTTCAACTCCCTTGCTTCCTCCTTCTAGGACTGTAATCAAGACAGGCTCAGTTCCGTACAGAGCACAGTCTCTAGCGTCAACTATCTCCACTTCCCGACAGGCCTTCATATTCACGGCTATCACCTCCCTTAGTTCCTCCGCCCAGCAAATCGTTCTGAAAGCCCTGACCATCACAGGTGTTTCCGCATCCCTAAGCGCTCTCTCCTTCCTCTCGGTTACCAATGGCAGCATCTATGAAAGCGCCACCGTTCTCGCATTGGGCACAGCCTACGCCTTGCGCCGGATGCAAAGAGAATGGGAGGTTCAATGTAAGGACCTCGAGCATGGATTGATGGAAAAGGGCAGATCGGTTCTGAAGCAAACTGAGGAGCATATGAGGCGGCTTGTGAATGATGCATCGCAAGTTGTCGAGGACGAGGCAGAGGTTCGTGCGAGGAGAGAGGCAATTGAGGCGGTGGAGAAAGCGAAACTGGCGCTCGCGAAGCACACATAACGAACGCATAAGCCTGTACCTGTAATGTAGCCCGCTGTAAGATATTCTGTGATACCCCTATGCATATCTAATCAATTCAAATGGATCTTTCGTCCTGGTTATCCAATCTCCACACTCCCTTCCGGCACCCCCTTTCTACTCCTCAACCTCCTCCCAAAAAATCGCATCAAAGGCAACACCTCCTCCCCACTAGCCGGCATCCCATCCTCCCTCCACTTCCACTGCACATACTCCACATTCCCAAACGTGGCCTTCGTCCACTCCACCCCACCATTCCTAGCAATCAAACCCTTCGCCCCACCAAGAAGCAACACCGGCGACCTGATCTTCGGCCCATTAAGTCGCATGCATGAACTCGGAAGCGGGGGCCCAAATCGTCATCACACAACCTAACTCCATCTCCTCCCTGGGCAGTCTAGCCGTAGCGAGCCCAATCATCCTGCCGTGTCCGCACCCCAAAATCAGGATCTCGCGGGGTTGGAATCCGCATTTCGCGATCAGCACTTTCTTGATCGCGTCCTCGGTGAGGAGAGTAGCGGTGTTGGAGTCGAAGTGTATGTTGTCGCCCTAGTGGTAGTGGCCGGATGGTATGAGGAGTCAGATGGGCAACGGTGCTTGAAGGGTTATACGAAGGGTTCCGGGGAGGTTTGCCAGAGCGGAAGAGGAGAAATTGGAGCTGGTGTCGCCAAGGCGGTGGAAGGGAATCAGGACTCGATGTTGGATATGGTTATGCCAAACGGTATGATGGCCTATTGGCCAGTTTTGCTGCGTTTATCCCTGTTGTTTGTAGCTTTTCTGCTTCTGCGAACATCGTCCCCCATTGTAGCAGTCACTTATCGAGCGCATGGTACTCCCGTGCGAGTTCTAAGCGTCGAGCTCTATCGGGTAGGGGCCAGCCGCCTCTTGAGCGCTTTGAGGATATCGAATGGAGTACTGAGACAATAAAAATACGGCCTCAAGTTACGGGCTACGCTGGCCTGTATGAGATCGGATATTTCGATCAACGCCTTCTGCTGCATCTCATACGTATACATCCGCACCTGGTACTCTGATATCAAGACCTTATAATGGTCCTTTTCACTCGATGTGAGGTCTGCATAGGAGGTGATGTTAGCGATGACTGGGCTGTATTTCGGTTCAGTAGGAGCAGTGAGCTGGCCTGACGCGTAGCAGCGTTGACATCAACTAGGGAGAGAATGCCCCTGACATGGGCAGAGCTCCGAACAATATTGTATCAGGCCTCCCAATCCCTAGGGCTCTCCAGTAGCACAGGCATCTGCTGAATATGCGTCCTTCGTGCCGTTGAGCGCGTATATACTGTAGATCTTCGAATTCTGAAGCGAATACGCGGCAATTTGGGGTCCAATGGGAGTCAAGAGCAGGGACAGGAGCTCTAGGTTCGGCAAACTAGGTCTGTTTCAGAGGGTTTCAACGCTATCCCCTCCGTACCCGAACAGGGGTGTAGAATGTGCCAATTAGCGCTGTCGATCACTGCGGGGAGGCTCAAAATGTCAATAAACACCCTATTTGAGCTATTTGAGGCCGTTCTATCTAGCAATTGACTCCAATTGAGTGGTGATATTGTGCCCAGCACTCTCCTTCGATACAGAGCCAAATCTGGCATTTTGAGCACTCATAATGAGTGTGTGAGCCTCCTAAAATAGCTGTAGAAATGCCATTATTGGTTGAGCGTGTAGTATCTGTTCCAAATGCGCGTTTTGATGCCCTTTTGCGTGTACAGCCTGGCAGATGAAGCTTTCCCCATTAGCACCGTCCGCCGGACTTCTTTTGTATGGGTTTATGGTGTCTTTGAAGTACTATAGTTAGTAGAGATTGTAAACCTTCCTTTTCCTTGGTTTTATCATTCGAATGTAGTAATTAAATACAGAGGGCCTCCATAAACTCTCTATAAGTGCTATATATATGTTTCGCAGTTGCTATGTACGTAGTAAAGCTCTATAGCCATAGCAAATACGCGTTAACGCGGGCAACATTAATAAGGAAGTAGATTAAGGGCATTTGCGTACAATAACTTTGCTTGCGATAGCAAGTAAATGCTGCGTGTAACTGATCCGCTTGATCTACGCCCTTTATATAGTGGTTATAATCATCAATAGCTCTTAGTATGAAGAGATCCTTAAAGGGTAAGCCCTTGAATACAAGGTCAAGAATACGTCGATTTTCAGAGGAGATTTTAGGGCATCTGCACGTTCGTTGAATTCGATCTTCTGTACAGTAGAGGCTATAAGCAATCGTAAGAGCATAAACAGCCTTATTATCTTGCCAAATAAAGGCTAGAGTATTGTTATTAATGACTTATGCTATTATAGAATCCCAGAGAGAAGCTCACTATTATTGTTAAGATAATGCTAAAGTTATACAGGCACGCCTACAGCCTTTTTTCGTGTAATTCTTATACAGTAAATACCCATCGCCAGGAGGCACTAAGCTACTAATATGTTCAAAAATAGATTATCTAGATAGATACAGAATTTCAGCTTTGGCAGTTATGTAGCAAGGCGTAAAACGAGTGCGTACGTAGGCGCAAGGAGAGCGCTCTTTTTAGTATCTGAATCTGCGTCTGCGCCCTGTTGCTGTGGCCACCGTGTTTGTTGACCTTTTGTGAATGTTTCAATGCCATCAACTCTTGAATGAAATAGCCAGCTCTAGATATATCCATGGTCGCCAATACACTATAGCTTGTAACCGTCAGTGATTGGCTTATTCTTAAGCTTAACCGTATAATTCAAACGCCCCTTAAAAGCCACTATTGCTTCGTCAATTATAATATAAGAGGAGGGTATGTAAGTAGCTTGTAACCGTCAGTAATTAGCTTATTCTTGAGCTTAACTGTATGATTCGAACGCCTCTCAAAAGCCACTATTGCTTCATTAATTATAATATAAGAGGAGGGTATATAAGCATTTCGGCAGGCTATTCGAATAAGGTCTGCAACACGTTGAATTCAATAGAACTAAGGCGCATTTAGCTATGCAGGAGCAGAATTCATACTAAAATAACGATGGATTTGCTAAAATCAATTTCGACCTATAAATTGACCTAGTTTGTGCATCTTCTAATAATTACTGCGTACGGCTAATTAATATAAGCCAAAATGAAGATGTATGCCTAGATATACACGTATTTCGGCGGGTGTAGTAGGTATCTAACGCCCTTCAGGATAAATATAGATTTTGGCGTACAAATTGGTTTCTTCAGAGAGGATTTCCACCATAATTGGGCTAAAGAAGAGCTTAAAAAAGCCTAATTCTGATAGATTAGAGTATGAGGATTTCCACCACAATTAGGCTAAAGAAGAGCTCAAAAAAGCCTAATTCCGATAGATTAGAGTATTGAGGAGCTCCTGTTCGATTTGGAACGTAATTAGCCTCAAATTGAGGCAGTTCTGTTGGTATGAATGTAGGCAGTTCATCTGTACACATTCTGGCGCTGGAGCGATCACTGCCAAGGTCTGATCGACATCATTTCGATCAATTGCAGACGGGTTAATTCTGCTTCGTTTTGACCGTTTAGTAACTTGTTCGAATCGCGGAGGTGAGCTCGATCTATATCTCAGAGGGATCTGGGTATTTCGCTGTGGTCGTAGCATATTTCGTGGTTGAAATCTCAAGAGCAAAGTCAGCTGCGGAGCGTTGTGTAGATCGAATGCGGCTTAAAAACCTTAATTTGAAAATTTTACGCTAATTGGCACATTGGGTACGGAGGGGATAGATGAGTCAGTCCGGCTCACAACCGACGAATTGCCTCCTGGAGTGTGTAGAAAGCAAGCTGTATTATATGTTAAGGAGCTGTGCGCGTAGATATACCTACAAAATAGGCTGTACGGTACAGTGAAACTTGCTCCAGGCCAATAACAGGGATGAACGTAATTGTCACGTGCGTTCCGTTAGCTCCGCTTGGTGTTACCTGCATTAGCTCTTGCTGCTGCTCGGTAGATTCTTCTTTTGCCATCCATGCTAGAATCAATTGTCAACCTGCTGTGCAGAGTGCGTAGAGAAGCAAGTTGATTGATAGCTACGGGGGTAGAGAGCGTAGATCTATGTACAATTGGCTGTACCGTAGAGCGAAATTAGAAGCGAAATTGCGTCGGAAATTGACCAATTAGAAGCAGCAGAAACGCAGGGATTACGCACATTAAAAGCGGCCAATTAGCCCTCTCAGAAGGTCAACATCAATCAATTCATTCAGAACCACTGCCGTGATAAAACTGGCTAGCAGGCGCTTATACGGTTCGACAGGTTAGGTGGGTTGGGGGGAGGTAGGACAAGTGGATTATGAGATTGAGAGAGCAAGGGAAGTCTGAGGGGATGGGAGATGGGTCAGCATTACTCCTGTAACTGATGGAGCGTCAAAGAGAGTAGAGTGTTCTTGAAATTCGAAACAATGTAACTCCGTACTCTGTATTCTGCCAGAAAACCACCATTACTAAGCTTCCCAGTTCACCCTTGCTGACTCAGATTTCAAATGACGTTTCATCGCAATCATATTTGACAAATTGTCAACAATACCCTTCCATAGTTTCACCTATAGCGCTCGTCCATCCATCTCAAACTCCCGGAAACGCACTCCACCCACTCTGCGCAGTCCCAAACCAAACCCGCAGCAATCCTTCTCCGTGTCTTAGACCCTCTGGTATCCTGCATCGAATCTTGACCGCGCCTTGGCACCCAGTCGGGTTGGCGGGTTTTGCGGCCTGACTCAGCAATTAGTCACCTGGCTCAAGTTCGGCTCACAGGGCGCACCGCCACTGCTTACTTGCTCACCTTCTGTCCTAGTGCTGCTTAGGGGACTTAAGTCTCGCTTTACCTTTGAGCTCTTGCTATCATTAGCGAACTATGCCTTACCTGCAACTGCTGTCTCTTTGAATTTGGGTTAACTTTACGCAAAGATCTAATAGCTTTGTTTTAGAATCTTTAAAGGGGATATTGTATTAACTAGATCTTTATATATAGTGTATTTGGGCGCTAAAGTCGGACTTTAAACCTTGTAGGAGCGCCCAGAAACTTCTATTGTTATGTGAAGGGCTAACACAGAGACGTAGTCGAACTGCAGGCGGGCTGTGTGTTTGACATGGCATAAGCGGAGTTGAAATGGGGAAGGGAAGAACATAAATCAGGGGGAAATGTGACAAGCCAGTCAGTAGACAAGGAATGTATCAACGAAACAATTGGATACGAACGCGCCAAGTCCAGCGTCAATGACACTATCGATTGTGGGAATGGGTCTTTCGTTAAAATGGAGTATGAAAGGAGAGACCTTATCCGGTGCCGATGCATTAGTCTATAGCATGAGGCAATATTTAAAGCAGAGTCTGACCTACACCGGGGTCCTTTAAACGCAACCACTTACTGCACCCTTTCATTCCCGTCTAGTTGGGCAACGCCGGCACTCGAAGCGGAACAGCAAGCTAATCAGTCAGAGATTGAGTTGGATATCTTTAGAAGCTTGCTCGACCAGTAATAAAAACCTCCTGGACGCCTTTTCCTTGAGCTGCAAGCTGAATAAACACATGAAAATCACCGGAACTCCTTTGGGATTTCTTTCCGCGAAAGAAGCCATGGGCACTGAGCTCTCAACACCGCCCTTTCTTCCATGGCTCCATGCCAAGTGAGGAATTTGTCGAACGTGGATCCAAAAATTCGGGTCTCCACGCCCTCTGGACCGAATACAACAAAACCAAATTCAATGACACGCCACAACATGGCCATTGCCTCGTCGATCCTGTCCGTATGTTCTAGTGTTTCCGCCAGATGAAATAGACCGTTGTGAATTTCACCACACCAACCTAACGAGTCTGAGTCCGAACCTTCTGCCAAAATGTCAAATTCGTCCTCCTCTAGGAGCTCCAAGCATTCTCTCAACTGGATTTCCGCTTCCAGATACTTATGCTGTATTGCTAAAAAGCATGCTTTTCTCCCCATATACCTGGGTTTCTGCTCTTGTATCGTCCCGTTCGGGCCGCAAATAACGTCCAGATAGACTTGTGCTTCAGTAATCAATCCTGCAGCCCGTATACCGGAACCGTACCACCATTGCGTGATTCGTACTGGTTCATCGTCCTTCAGACACCTAAATGAGTGTCCCAAAACATCAGTCGCAGCACGCCATACAGAGCACTTCTCAACCAAGCCTGAGAGCATGTATAGGTGGTTGATCACTTCCATCAACGGATGCGTTTTGCCAAGCACATTTGAAGCCATATCCACTAGGAATTGAGAGACGTTCTGTTCAAATTGTGAGGTATTGTTCGCCCTGTACGATGTAAAAAAAGCGAAAAAGTAAGAGATTAATGTTGGTGTTTGCTGCTCCAGAATGGTCTTGACGAGATCTAACGCTTTGTGGGATTCTTGAAATGCTGTTTCTATGAAGCCGTTTCGAAAAGCGTAGAGGGCGTTGTCTAGCTGTCTGATCACGGTTTCAGGCCTCACGATGTCGCGCCAAGCCTCCTCGTTCTTGATCAGGACTTGAGGTTGCAAGGTAAGCTCGTTTCGTGCTGGCACTGTCGGGTCAACTTTGTAATACCAAGTGCCGAGTCCACTCGTGAAGTAAAAGTTCATGTAAATATCGACGTTCCTTACAATTTCCTCTGCGAACCTGATATCACCATATAGTGCGATCGGTGGGGCCGGTTGGGAAGGGGATCGGAAGACGGAGTGCAGGTCGAAGGTCGCTGATTCTATTCGGCTGCTGACAGCAATTGGGGCTCTCCGCCGTCGGTCTCGATAGTGGCGAGTAATTTCTCGTAAGGGTCCTGCTGGGACCCTATTTTCTTTGCAGAATCGTCTAAGCCGATGTTCAACAGGTCGGCCGTTGTAAATGAGCTGGCCCCCGGCTCCTGTGTGTCTGATTTTCTGAACCCATACGGCTTTTTCCGCCTTCTTTAGGTTTTTGTGAAGCTTCCAGGCGCTTATTCGCGCCTTATACATGCGCTCACTAACATCAAGTCAGTAGCGAGAACTGGAGCCATTTAGTGCTGGGGTTATACCTTGCTACGAATCCGCGGTCTCGTTCAAGGATGATCCTGACATCTTTCAGGGTTCTATTCTCCGTGCTGTAAAGTCTTTCAAAAACTGGCTTAATGTCCCGCCACTCCTGATCGTTTGGATTTTTGGGTGCTTGAGAAGCTAAGAAGCTTGGTTCGCATAACCGATACACCAAACCACTGGCCTCCCATGGGACATGATCTGCATATCCAATGGTTCTGTTAATGTCGCCGTGGGAAATGTCAAAGGTATGATCATGCTGGGATTCACGCTGTATAAGGTCGCTAATGCTCCCGTCGAGCATTTCGAAAACCTCGCCTTGCTTGGGTTCATGCCGTACCAAACTGTTAGGATCGCCGTGAAGCGAGTCGAAGACTTGATCTCGCGGAAACCCATTCTGCAGCACTTCGCCGAAGTCACCGTCAAAGATCTCGAAGACCTGGCCCTGCCGAAGCCCAGGCTGAAGTGCAAATCGGGTCTGCTTTACGTGAGATTCCATAATGACAAGTAAGAGGATTGCTATACCATCAGAGGAGACAATACTGAATGAGCTGCGGCTGCGAGCACAGTCCACACCAACTGAATATATAGGCTTTTCGTCTGCCATCCTGCACAGGAAATTCAAGATGGTTAATAAGGCTAGGATCGCTGGATCGGCGGTGGGTAGATGGGTATCATGCCAGTGGCATAGGACGAAGAGACCAGTCACTCTAAAGTGTGAAGGAAGTCTGATTGTCTCTGACCGTTGCCTCAGTCATCTCAGACGGGCTTTGTCATGCGCCTGCCGTATGCCTGCCGTGCGCCTGCCATACCCCCGCCCGCCGTGCGCCCGTTGTACGCCAAATAGAGGCCTTATAGCGGTCTGCTGGGCATAGATAGAATCAACACACTCATTACACCTCTTGTATTAGTCTTTTGCTTCTCTTTTTGCGTTAGGCCGTGGTCGTCTGCCAGGCTTAGCATCTGACAGGCTTAGCGGGCTACGCCACGCACGCCATGCTCGAAGGGGCTAGTCGATGACTACGCGACTACTGTCTCACACGTCTGAGGACAGGATCCTGGCCTGGTTGTCATTCGTTTTGTTGCAAAATAGGCTAAAGTTATATTACTATGTGTCAAAAGTGTTGTGAATCCTTAGCGCGACCCAAAAATTGCTATGCTGGCGGGGCAAAAAAGCGGTCAAAAGGCGGAACGTTTTGTTGCAAAATAGGCTAAAGTATTGTGAAATTCTTAGCGCGACCCAAAAATTGTGGTGCTGGCGGGGCCAAAAAGTGGTCAAAAGGCGGAATCGCCAACTGCGTAGTAAATAAGTTTTTAGGGCAGTCTGCCTATAGTAGCTTATGCGTCGCGAATAAGGCCCGTTTGACGTGGAATATGAATAATTGTTTAGGGTCGCATCACTCAGGCTACAGTCACGTGTGCTTAGGTCTTGAAGCGGAAATGGAATTAGGTATGATATGATGTTCTGGATTATAAGTTTAGTGAACTGCCAACTAGTTGATATGTATGTAGACTAACTATATTCTGAGAACATTGGGGACTGAAAAACCCCATATATGAGGAGAGGCCTTCATACAGGGAAAAAGTTACTATCTCTTTTTGTGCCACATGTTATTATGTCACATGCAGAAATTACTGACTCTTTCTGTGTTTCTGATTCTGATTGCCCATTTGGCATATGTTGATCTTGGTATTCTCTGTCGGCTTATATCCTGCGTATCTTCTTTGTGTTCTGTTCAGTTTATATGAGGATCTAACATATGAGATTCTTTCTCTTTCCTTCTCTCTTCTGTTAACTTATGTAACGTAGGTGTTCGCATGTACGAGCCCTCGACCGCTTACTGTTGATCTTTCTTCGCATTTCGTAGAAGAAGTAATAGGGTGAATTGAGGTATCGTACGCCAGCTGCGGCTGGGAGAGGACGGACTTATGAGGTGGTCGTAAGGTACGCTCAAAGCTGCAATAATATGAGGAGGAGAGCACACTGCTGGTACATTGACGCGTCAAAACTAGCGCGCCTTCAACTCGGGATTGCGGGTCGAACCGCTATCGCGCGCTTTGCGTGAATACGAGTTCGGTTCGCGAGGTTGGAGATGAGAGAGCAGGATAACGAAGCGGTTGAACAGCATCCAAATCGCTCGTACGAAGAGCGTGAGAAGATGAGAGTTTGTAACCTTCGGTGGATTATTCAGCACTAACCAAAAGGATCAGGCTCCCGGCCTACGCCGCGTGGAGGCACAATCCATGCAGGCCACTTACTCAGCCTATGATGCAGGACTATGTGTATTACAGGCAAAATCCAAACCTTTGTTTTACTGTACTTTTGAGAGGCTCCTCCTATCAACCTGCTGCGAAGAGCGTTTCTCGGCGTCGATAGAAATGGTCCTCCCCTGGTGCCTATCCTGGCCTCATCAGAGCTACTGGGGCGAGTTTTCTCTCAAAGGGATCAAGATCGAGGTCAAAGTGCCGAAGAAAGACACTTTCCCAGGCAGCCCAGCTGCGATTCCCCCATATTTCTGGCGCAGTGGTCTCCGAAATCGTTTTGGGAAGCTCGTAGGCAGGAAGCCAAGACAGGCTCCTCTCCCCATTCATGCCGGTTATTCGGAAGCGAGAAGTCTGATCGGTAATGGCACTGTGGCGGATTTGAAAACGCTTTCCATCCAGGCCCGAGATTTCATCGCTGAATTATTCAGAGACATCGAGGACGTGTCAGAAACCTCGTCCCAGGGCGAAGTAAAATCCCTGTCCGCCCTAGAATCGGGACCCAGGTTAGTCCAGCTGCGACTATCCTCTGACCTAGAGCGCTGGAAAGAAGCTCAACACGCAGTCGACAACACCCTTCCACCAAAAGGCGCCGGGTTGGCCCGGGCCTCAGACAAAGTCCTCAGACTTTTCGGGGCAGCGGGCTGGCCTGAAGCCTTGAAGACGAACAATGCATTGTTTGGCTGCGGCATCGCTAGCTTGCTCATGGGCGCCGCTGACACGCCAACCATGTTCTCCAACTACGTGACCGACATGGCCTTTTACTACGAGCACGGTTACAACTACGTCTTCCCATCGCTAGAACCGCTATTGCAGAAAGGCCTGGCAGACCCGCAAGCGCTGCGCACTCTGGGGGGCCGCGAACGGCGAAACGGCGTCCTCGTCGGCAAGCAGTACATCCAAGACAAGATCGCGCTGGAGCAACAGCACAAAAAGCACTTGACGAACCGGTCAGCGCGACTAAACCGTCTTACTGCACAGATCATCTCCCTATCGGAGAGCAGCCTACTAGGGATGGCGGCCGAGGCGATGGCGCGGGGTTTCGACCCTGGTGCCGTTATGAGTGACTTGGTCTTCAGCTCGCCGTGCACCGATGTCGTCGACGTGGGATGTGACCTGGTGAACTCGGAAGTCATGAACTCATTCTTAAACGTGACGGACATCACAGACACAGGCATTGTGAGCGAAGACGTACTACGCAGGGTTTACGATGCCTACGCCGCAACGGGGGCCAGAATGCTGACTCAAAGATGGCATGAGCCGGTGGCCAGAATGTGTGCCTCACTATATACGTGGCACATTAACAACGACCGGCACATGTTTTTCCGGCGCGCGGTTTTGGGCTGGCCCAAAGCCCGGAAGATGCCGGCTCGGCCTCAGTGCGAATCGGATTTCGACGAGGTATTTGACAAACAGTACTGCACGACAAGCGTCTGCAGGCCTCTTGATCCCAAATATGCATGCAACGGCGAAGACCCTTGTGATCACGTTCGCCATTTTCTCGATTGCAGCCAAGAGGAGCCATTGCTCTGGGAGCTCTGGTGGTTCCTTGTCACAGGTCCGCTGGAGTATGTCAGGGGAGGCCAGGTCGATGAGCGGCGCGAGCACGACCTCGTCGAGGGCTCGCGGCTACGGATAGCCGAGCTTTACTCTCGGGGTCTGGTGCTCGAAATGGCCTGGCTTACTGCTCATGCAAACCATCATGCCTGGCAAGTCAACTATCTGTTTGAGGCCGCTATGTTCGGCAGCATTCTCGATGGAGGCACACTGGCTGGCAAGCTCGACAGGCAGGAAGAGAGCTAGCTGTGGCACGTGGAGTTGATGTCCTCACCACCGAAACTGGTCATTGATGTTGTTTGCCCCGAGTTAAGGTCCAGCAGGCCACATAGGTGCCCCAATATGACCCAGTTTCTGTTAGCAATAGAGAGAAAGCCATCTTTTGGCACATCCAGTGGTAGATTGTACCTTTCTCATGCATTACTTATCCACTGCTCACACACCTAACTACATTATCTCAGACGATGTCAGCCTACCGTAGCTTTAGAACAATATTATTCTAGGCCGACATAGAAGCTATAATAGCCTGACTATCTATCCCAAATAAAAACAGGCTGATTTCATCTTGGGAGACTTTCCTCGCGTTCCTAGCATCTCCGTCTTAAGAGCCACCTGATGCTGGGAAATCTCTGGCGTATTACTCCTGGGTGCCACCGGAAGGCCTTGCTTCCACGTTTGGAGGGCTCTCATGAGAAGTCTGCTTCCAGGAATCTTGAATACCCCAGGAGCAAACCCCTCCCAAGAGCTTGCCATATTTGGGGTCAAACACCACACGAAATGTGCTCACCATAAGGTTCCTGGAAGCAGACCTTTCCTGGGAGTCCTCCAAATGTGGAAGCATACCCTTCTTGTGGCACCCGGAGTTGATCAACCTTAGCCACTAGGCCAAAAGTGCGACCGCACTGCCAATCGGCAGTACACAGTAGATACTCATTGAATTCATCAACTTTTGGTAACAAGAAAACAGAAGCAACTTAGTATCAGTGAGACTTATTTTCCTGTTCACTATTCTCTTTCCCAGCTGCTTCGGATCTATTAACGCCATTTGCGCATAGTACCCCTACAATTCTTATCGACTACTCTATGAATATGGGAGAAATATGATTTGTCCCTGTGATGAAGGCCGGAAACCTGCAAAGGGCCGAATGGCGGTTGAAATGCCGACAGATGTTAGCAGATCATTTGAGTAAGGTCGAGTGCAGACAGAGTGAGGGGATAAAAATGAATTAGGCTCAATTCCTAATAGCGCTTTGATGGTTCAGTCGTTTTGTCTCCTTTTTCTGACAGGGGAAAAGGTTTTGATTCTAATTATTTAGAATGCACCCTAGGAATCGTTACTCTGCCGGCTCAAGTTCGGTTAAGTAAAGCCAGATTTTCAAGATGGATACATTTGGAATGCACTACCAGAGAGCCGGCATCTTTTCACAAAGCAACTAAGCAAACATTCGGTTGGAGCGTACATAGAGCTGTGTCGAGAAATAGGTAAATCATTCGAAGCGGTGGCAGAGACAAGTTCAGATGTCAGTATGTCTTGCGACGAAATTGAGGTTGGATAGGCATTTCCCATGTCTGATTGCGTATTCAACCTAACTAATGGTCTTTTAGTCATCGAACAACTCCGATAATAGCTTCTCTATAACAATCTGCCGTTTACAGGAGGACAACGTTAAGTTCATGAACGAACCTAAATGTGCGAAAGAAAAAGCGCGCAATGACTGCGTGACACTACGACAGAAATGAGTCAGCGTCATGCTACAAGAACTTCGCCTTTGAAGCACTCATCCAAGCACTACCAGTCCCATTCGCTCTCTAACGCCAACACACTACGGCTACTCACTCCTTAGAATTCGCTGAGGACTACAAGATCAAGAATCTGAGCTTAAGAACCCCCTCTCAATAATGCTTAGACTGCAATTTCGCCGGCGGCACTGACCTCAGAGATCCGGCGTTGCAAAAAGGTGTACATCAGGAGGTCGTCTGCAAGCTGAAGGGCATAAAGGACAACCTCTGAGAGCTTCAGATCCCTACTTAGGCTAATATTTCACATATGCAGCCGAGGTTCAGTATCATAACAAGTAAGCAGCGACAATATACTCGCTGTCTTCTACCAAAAAAACCTAGCCATATGTAATTTCCCCAGTTCATCCTGCATCCGCATCATAGCGGAGACAGTTGTCTACAGGTTACATAAGAAAAGCAAAAGTCCATCATAAGTATTCAGGTTCAACGGATGAAGTCACCACAGGGAAAAACATCCGTATAGTAAGTCAGCGTGAAGACCCATTTCTCGCTGTCAGGGGGAACTCTAGTATGTCAATCACGAAACTTGGATGTTGACTGAGTTCAAATTGGTAAATCATAGATTTTACGTTTCTTACACAGCTCAAATTCTGTATCAAGTCACCACCAAAAAAAAGTCTGGGTGTACCCAGCATGAAAATTCCAAATACAAGCAAGATGACCGTATGATAGACTTCAGTATATTAAAACTGATGAAAATTTTTGATAAAGATAAATCTTTGATCAACTTTTTTAAAATTCTGTCTCAACTTACTACCTGACATAGAGGGCTTCAGTAAACCAGCACACAATTTCTGAAATCATGTAAAATTATTCCGAGGAGAACTCCAGTATATTAACACTGATGAAATCTTGATAACAATAGACCTCTAGTCAAATTCTTCATATTATTAAAGTTTTGTCTTAAGATACTACTAAGAGGACTTCAGTAAACCAGCTACAAAAAGTTTATAATTATGCAAAACCACTTCAAGGAGGACTCTAGTATGTTAACACTAATAAAAAGATTTTGATGATAGATCTCTAACCTAGTCAAATCTTTACATTCTTGAAGTTCTATCTCAAGGTACTCCTTAGAGGGTTTCAGTAAACTAGCATAAAACTTTTGAAATCACATAAATTATTCTGAGGAGGACTCTAGTATACAAACATTAATGAAATCTTGGTGACAATAGATCTCTGGTTAAATCTTCACATTATTGAAGTTCTGTCTTAAGGTACTACTTGAAGGACCTCAGTAAACCAGCTACAAAAATTTCACAATTGTGTAAAATCATCACAAGGAGGACTCCAGTGTATCACCAGATGGAAACTTCTCAGCCAGAACCCAATTTTCATTGTGTACGTAAGCACTACATCTGAAAACTTCCCCTTTCTCCACCGGCCCCAAAGCACAGACCACTTCCTCAACCAGGAAACTTCCCTACTTCTCCTCCTCCCTGATCACCTCCAAAATCCTCACACAAGCCTCCCAGATCCGCTTTCGGTTCCTCATCCCCCTGATGGCCCCGAAGCCCGTCCCCGCCGTCCTCCGCACAAGCCGATACATCTCCTTGTAGTCGATCTTCTTCCCGGGCAGAGGCGACGGTATCAACGCGCCGTTGATGTTGTTGCCGTCTTGGAACACCTCGAATGCCCAGGACATGTCGTGGGCGATGCGGTAGCGGAAGTGGGTCATGGGGATTTCGGCGTATTTGCGGGCCATGAGCCGTAGGTTGGCGAGGTCGAGGGCGGGCAGGTATTGGATGATGTGGAGGAGGGTTTCGGGGGGGACGGTGGAGAAGAAGTCGCGATTTCGCGGACTGGATGAGGGTGGGGCGGCAGCGAGGGCTGGAGCTGGGTTGGTGTTGCTAGGAGGGGCATTCGAATGTCCTGCAAGGACCTTATGATTGTTGGATGATCTAGGAAGAGCAGATGGTTCGGTCTTTGTCCTCTTTACGACAACATCCACACTTCTCTTGGCCGCAATTGAGCGTGGCCGAGCTTGCAAATTCAAATCATGTCTCCAAGTGGCGACTCTGGGGCCCCAATAGCTCCATGAGCCTTGGCCGATACTGCCAACAGCGACACGGTAAGTACCGGAAAAGACTTGATCTCGAGCATCTTGACCAGTTGCGGAAGGATCATAACAAGCTGATTGAATCGCATATTGTGCGAGGTATGGGTCTGCCACCACCCACTCTGTGCCACGTAAATGTAACCACATATTCTCGCGGGTTGTCTCGTTGTAACGATGATTGGTTTCTGTAGCAGCACACCTGCCGATCTTCTTGAAGCCTGCGTGATTCTTTTGTATGCCTAGCCGGTAAAGCCCAGCCCAGACGATCCTGTCATTCTTGTAGAGGCTGACATTACGAAATATCTCCAAGCAGTTCCTATGAAAGGGGACACCAACGACATGTGTGGGATCTTCTGGATCGAACTCATCAACACATGTTCCTTCTTTGTGACTACACATCTTGATCTTACGAATCCCGTAGTCTGAGCCAGCCGGAAGCCTCACTAGGCAGTAAAACCCCCAGTGGCGACGGCCAATAGGAAAAACATCTGTCAGGAAGTGTTCTTCATCCTCCTGACGTGCTTTGGAGAGTGGATATCCATCCGTCATGGGCTTGACCTGGTCTGCGGGCTTCTTAACCAGTACCTGCACTTGATTGCAGTTTTTGATCTCATCCTGACTGATATCTGCTGCGTCATATGCCATGCCACAATACTTGTTACCAGGGTTGGTGTTTTGTACTTTGCGGTCTCTATCCCGAAATCTGTGACAGATGAAGAAGTTGACATCGCAAATGCCACACACAGTGTGATCTCGATGTACAGCGGTCATGATTGTGGCTTAGAAGTGAGCAACAAGAGACACTTGTAGTGGTTGTTCTCGGAATTGTTTGCGGGCTGACTAGGAAGAATGAAATCAGTAAACCCCAAATGCGGCGGGTGCCAGATCAGGGAGAATCTACTGACCTTGTGGTAATGTCCCAAGATGGCGGGTGCCAGATCGGGAAGATCGGTTGATGTTAAGCAAGCAGATCAAGGAAGTGTGGGTATGCAACACGATAGTCTTCTAGTCGATCACACAGACTGGAGAGTATTGAAAAGGCTGAATTTGATATAGGATATGCTGTGGCTTCGTCTGACTGCGGCTCACTTTGACTCGCTATGGGGCTCACTGCTGGATGGAAGCGGGATGTTGAGTGCACGAGTGGTAAGGCGGATCTTCCTGTCGTAAAGGGTAGGACAGTTGTGTGATAAAGATCGAAGTTTGCTTTGTTGTAGTCGTGCTCTTGATCACAGGGATGGGAGATGGCGATGTTGACCCAAGTAATACTTCAGAGGGCCACACAAGGAATTCCACAATTTCCCAGGTAGCCATCATTGCATTATTGCAACGTTGGACAACACCGCATACTACTCAAAACACATATATAACCAACTAATTTTGGCTGCTCAGGCAAAGCAGGTCAGCCCTGTGCCCTGTCAATAATTTCTCTCGCCTGCAGCATATCTTCTGCATTAACATCCTCGTCTCTAGGATTGTCATTTTCGTCGTCATCATCGTCTGAGCTATCTTGCTTGTTGGCAGGTGCATTTTCAGAATTCTCCCCAACGATACCTGAACGATTTTTCCTCTCAAAATCTTGTTTATGAGCTTGGTTGATTATTGTGCCTACACGATGGATACTTCTTGATACCGGCGTGCTTGCTGATGAAGGTCTCGTCTTCCTGAAGCGGAGTGATGAAGACGAAGTAGAGGTTGCTTGTTCTAGGTCTGCTCCCGTAGCCGACTGTCCCTCCACTGGCCCTCCTGCTTCTCCGCTCCGTCTAGGAGAACATTCGATAGAATATGGCAAGGGTACATCACGTGAAGCTCTGAAGCGACCCACGTTGCTGCAGTGTTCATTTTCGACCCTAAAGCTCGCCCATATGCCCCTCCTGGCCACTTCCGAAAGTGCAATGAGGAAACTGACAAGCGTTGAATGTTGATATTCGTGCCCGAAAATGGCGTAGAATATCCAGGTAAATCGAAGAATGGGGTCTAGAAAAATGGCTACGTAGTATACCCATACTCGTCGGTAGCCAAGGGTGTCGCGCAAGAAGGGATGAATTGAGTATGGGTTTCCCAAGCTCCAATCCATCGCAACATCCCATACCGAGCAGTACAGCGCATTGATTGTGGCGAAGAAGATAAAGAGGGCACGCAGTGGATCGGTCCGATCGATCCGATACAGACTCAAGCTCATGTAGTAAAGGATACTGAATGTGTATTTGCCACAATTGGCAAGGTGTGGAAACCAGTTGCGGGAGTCGTAATATCGACGAATGCACTGAAAAGCACGCCAGATGGCAGGAAGAGTAGCAAAGAACCCCAGCAGTCGGGAGTGAGTCGAGTTGCACCTCGGTGGATCTGTCCACTTCTGAGCGTAGAGGCAGAAGAAGAGTGCAATGTTGCCCATCGAATATGTCAATGAACAATACATATCGCCCAGAAAGAAGTCGCGGAACTCAACAGGGTATAGACCGGCCAGCAGAAGACGCCAGTTGGAGTATCCCCACCATTTCCGACTGCGGTGATATAGTATTCGCAGAGGAATGCACATGGTAATCAGTGTCAAACCAATGAGGATGACAGGCCAGTAGATATACATGGCATTTTCACCGCTCTGCCGAAAGTTGAGCCAGACGATTAATCCCTCGAGGAACAAGAAGAGGGTGGGCAGCTCAGCAAGCTCTCTCCAATCCAGCACATGCCGGCTGTCGTATTCAAAGACAAAAATGTAGTTAATCTTGGAGCGGGTCCAGATGCGGCAGTCCATGGCGAAGAGGAGGAAAAGAAGGACTCCGAGAAAATAACCACCATACAGCTGTAGCAGATAGCTAGTTTGTAAGCGTACTGCCTTGTTGTCATGGTGGTTTAGGTGTTGAAAAGCATAGATCAGTCCTTGGCTGGCGAGGGGGACGCTGGCCGCCAGCCACACTCCATTGCGAAACGAAGTCTGAGAATAGTCCCCTGACTTGGACATTTTGCTGCGCAGTTTGCCCACAGCGACCTTTCGGTTGCCACGCTCAAAGTATCGGGCGTAAAGGTCTTCCACAGCCACGATAATGTTCTCCACGGCGTCACTTTTGACAAAGTGAGCTCTATTGACTTTTTCCATCATGTAACGTCCAGTTGGGCGAGCATTTACAGCCTTATCATATTTCTTATTGATTTTGCGAAATGCTGTTCTGTTCACGAGCGCATAGGATTTCAAGAGTTCTAGCCCGCGGTAGAACTCTTGCAAAGCCAATTTCAACTTTCTTTTCGCTGATCGGTAAGGCACTCGCTGATTTGGATCCACCCGCGTGACATAATCCCGACGAGCCTCATGATCTGCCTCTTCTCTAGCAGAAGGGGTGCCAAGCTGTGTCATGGCCTCGGTAGTCTTTCCGATCTTGGTTGGTCGAGAGACAATGCCTCCGAATGGTTTGAAGATTCCTGGACCTTGTTCTTGGCCATGGCCGTTCGGCAGCGAATCCGGATTCCCCAAGGCTTTGTTGTCCAGCTCTCCCTTTCTCTGAGCAGCCAGAACTTGCTCCATTCGACGATCCCTCATTTCATGCAGCTGTGCCCTCAGCACTTGGAGCCGACGGGATGCTTCTTCTTCTTTCAAGCTGTAAAAGTTTTCGATCTTATCCAGCTCTTTGTCCAAGAATTCAAAGAATTCTTCTTGCTTGTTATCGAGCTCCTGATAAGCCTCAAGAGGCACATCCAGACTTGGCGGAGTGCCTATACCAGTACCTGAGAGCATGCGTCTCAGAAATGGGCTGGTAGACACTGTGTTTGCTTGAGGGGACGAAGCTGTCCGGTGGGAATGAAAGAGGTGTCTGGGCAAGCTGAGAGCTTTCCTCTGTGGAGTTTGAGTTGCTCCCACGTGGTAGGCATCGGAATCAGAAGGAGGTGTCTTCATCCTCACCTGCTTCTTCGACTGTGCATCATTGGGGGTTGGTTGATCTTGGGCACGTACCACACCCGGGCCGATTGCCGGATCGGGCAACTTGAGAGGTATCAGGTCCTGGCCTGGGGATTGTACAAGTCGAGATGGCGAAGTGACGAAGCTGCCATAGTTTCTAGATGCTTGACCCGGTTCTATGGGTCCATTTTGTCTGCTTCTTAAAGGTTGTGTCTCCGAAACCGGCAGAGGTGGAGTGTGCATCAGAATCGTCGTGCTTTCTCGACGCGCCGGCCGTGGTCTCGGGGTGTGTGCTGATGGAGCAGCATCTTGTATGATTGTTCCCGTGAAATCTCTTGTATGTATATCAGTGCGACTTCCAGGGAAATCGTAGTGGGTGTAGGGTAAGCGAGAGGCGAAGGAACTAGAATCGGCGGCATTGCGCCAACGTCCAGCAAGTTTAGGAGTTTGCTGAACACTTCGCAAGGCTCGTGCAACAGCTTTGATTTTCTTTTTGCCTTTCTAAGAGGAACATCAGCCTATTCAACAAAAGTGCAGGATAAGAGATTGCATGGTACCTTGTAGTCCAGATACTTGACCCTCCACTCCGGAACCTGCAAGCTGTCAGAGCCATTCTCCGTGCAGAACAATGTCAGTCAGTGATGCTCACCAGCTGCTCCTCGAGCTCCTTCGCAAACTTCATTTTGTGTGGGAGGGCTGGACGTCAGAGGGCAGACTGTCCAATTGACGGGCGTGCTTGGCACTGATGCGCCCCTGACGCCGCTGTTGTGTCACCATCCAATTCAACGTCTCCTAACCACCACTGCACTGGCACACGACGACAGACCGCGCTCTCTCTTGAGCAGTGCACTATTAGGGCAGCAGAGAAGCCTGTCATGCGTGGCATTCACATACTACATAAGACCTCGTGGCAGGATTCGCAATTCCAAAACATTCAAGTTGCTTTGTGCTATTTCCGTTCGGATACGGGGTTGGTGTAGCGATGAATCCGACTGGGAAGAAAACGGTTTCCGAAGACACCAGGCTTGGCGATCTCTTTCCCTTCCATGTTCCAATCGTTTGTTCTTCAATTTGCATTCCAAGGCAACTGCTCCCAATTTTCTTCCTTCACCATGTGTCAGCTGGCCCACCACAAGTTCTGCTGTTAATTCGCCACTCAGGAAGGTATCTCCAAACGGTAAAGCGACATATGAGATGATTTTCGTGCCATCATCTTCTATGCGACAGGGAGCGAGGGCAGTAAACACTGCAAAAGTAGGCCTCTGGATCATTTTAATCGCCCATTTGGCGTGATCGACGGTCACCCAGGGAGTGAACTTAACTAACGTTAGGGCAAACGTCTAAATGGTGCAGGCCAACGAAGCCTTGGCTGGTGGTACCGGTATTCCAGACATAGGTAATTTCAAAAGCAGCAGCCTTCCTAGGATAATCCGTGCGAGACTGTACGCCTCAAAGCTCCATGTTTGTTCTTTTGGAGGCGCCAATTGGCTTCCCAGATACATCCTACGGCGGGATGCCAGCTTTCGCAATCAATATGAGAAGTATGCTCGGGTCTTAGAACGGGCAGGAATTCACTATCATACGGATACTTCGACGCGCCTGACACGTTCGCAGCCAGAAATACAAGGATGTGGAGTCCAGGTAGGTGGTGTGGCGAAGGACTGGATGACCACTGATCAAGTATGCCAGTTCTGCTGGGCAGTAGCAACAACACGATAAAGACTTTATCACCCGTGACACGTCTCAGTATAGTGAGCTCAAAAACGACTAAGCTGAGCTGTTATATTCGCCAACGGTAGCACGCACTTCCACCGAGGCATGCTTTTCGAGTCATAGAAGATAGCAGTCTTCAGAATTGACTATGCGGTCATCAGGATGGCATTTACGGGCGGATCAGGGCCATCTCCCATGCAGGACCATTTGCTGGTGTCATGTTCGGGCGAAGTCGTGACTTTGATAATGGCTATTAGGTAGAGAGATTACCATTCTTTGGTCATCCTCGCTCTCTGGTTGAAGGCCCCGGCTTTCTGTGCTCAGCCTTCATAAATACTTTCTTAGCCCTTCTATGGCCGCTCCACCCTGCTCGACCATACCCAGGTTTTGTGCCCGTCATGCGCCCTCTCCGCAAATCGTTTGACGAGTTCGTGTACCAGATGATCATCCGGAACATGTCAGCTTTTACTCTCAACAAGCGGATCAAAAGTTCAACGAAACCAGCAAGTGTGCTTCTTCTGCAATGTGTGCTAGAAGGAACACCAACACGTTACAAAGTCAGCGCACCTGTTTACACAACGCGGCAAGAAGATTATGCCTGACTTCGGAAGCTCTCTGTTCTTGGAAAAGACGAGCGTGAAGCCTCCGACTGAGCAACATCGACAAACAGCTTCATACCATGACTTGGTCCTAGCTCACGTAACCCCTATCGCCGGTGACCAGTTGGCTAGCATTTCCAGATTCATCTAAACAGTGGCGAAGCAGGTTCCAGCTCTTTGGGACACTCTTAGGGAGACCAGCAATGCTCGCCATAGCCAAGTGACAGTGTGAGACCCAACGAGGGGAATTGATGGATGGCTGGTCTACCTTACAGCTGTGTACAACTCACGGCGGTTACTGCAGATGAACCGTGCCAAGAGAGATGGAGAGAGAAGAGTGGACACAAACTCAACGACCGATCGAGCCCAACTCTAAAGATGATGCCTTCTCCAGCTGTGTTTTCCTACCCAGCAGTGACAGCTGACTGCTCTCAATGACGCGAAATGAGAGACAAAGTGGCAAGATCGCTTGATGATCACCCTGTGGTAGACAGTCCCGTCTCCCCAACTCAGACCCTCTGGAGCAAGCAGGTCGTCACTGCTAAGCAATGAGTTTTCAGCCTCGCATGCAGCCGTCCCACTACCTCAAGACTTTGAGTCGAGGTCCATACTCGGATAAGCTCCCATATACTCACACTCGACATAGAGGAGCTATTGTCCTTCCCACTCACTATAGTACCTAATCCCTCCTCTTCCCAATCTGTATCTGCATCCACATGATAATCACCCTCTGAACTCCTCCACTCAAGAGCAAGACATTCCGCCCTCACTTCGTTCCCCATTCCCAAAAGCATACCAGCTCCCATCCCCCCAGCTACCCAAACCAGCTCCACCAATACTACCCCCCAACCAAACCCCGAACTACCCAAACCCACGGCTCTACCAAAGGCTCTAAAACATCACGCATAAGGACCTTAGTCCCACCCAGAGAAAAAAAAACCTAAAAACTACTCCTCAACGTAGCCAAAGTAGCAACAATCACAACTATAGCATTGTCTACACTCCTTTGTGAGGGGACAAGGAGGTCAAGAAACACAATGCCCAGGATAAAATCGTATTATGTTGGGATTATCAATTCATGTGCGGTGTTCACTAACACTACCACCACATCAAGCCTGAGGACCATCAACAACCTAATGCTGTAGGTATTTAACCCGTCACAGCTCCAGGTCCTCACTCTGATGCACTTGCACTTGCACATGGACAGTCAGACTGTCTTTTCTGCTCTCCGCTTCTAGCCTATCCTATCTACAACATAACACAACACACTACACAATCTCACCGTCCATCCAGCCTTGCTTGAGAACCTACACCTCTAGATCTTCACGGTGGAGTAGCCATCAAAACGTGTTAGACACCTCTCCCACAACCTCACCGTGAGATCAGATCCCCCCATCAAAGAAAGCGCTCACACACCAACGACAAGAAAGTGAAAGTGATGAAGAAGAAGAAGAAGAGGTGACTCAACCGCGCATCTAACCGAGAGTGAAAGGCCGAGCGAAGCTCCAAAAACACACTCATATCACCCGCCTACCACCCACAAGTATGTAAACCTTCACCCCTCTCCCACCCACAGAAACAAAAATACAAGCCGCATACTTCGGTAAACTGAAAAGCACCACCCAGCAAGACTGATCCGATCTAATCAGAACATCACACAAAAGCTGACTCCCACGCAAACAGAGATACAACAACAACAACAACGACAACGACACGGAACGCTGAAATTCCCCACCAGAGATAAAGACACGCCTAAGTGACAGATAAATCAGAGATATCCAAACTTTTTTTCACGCAAGGAAAAAGCAAGAGGCAGTCCGACCAACAAACCAACAAACCAACCAGCCAATCGATCCTCCTCTTTCCCTTTCTTCTTCTTCTTCATCTTCATCTTCACTTGACTTCACACAGCACAGTCGTGATTCGTGCTCCGTGATCCGTGATCCGTGATCCGTGAATTGCGCCCCGCAGGTGCCGTCCTCCAGGTGAAGCATAGCACCTTCCTATCAACCACAGGCCTTTCCCCAAGGCACGGGCCGCCACCCATAAGAACGAGAACGGGCAAGCCAGCAAGCAAGCAGGTAAGAATTCAGAAATCAACACTCTGATACCCTGCAGGCTTACTCCCAGAGCTTTGAGAAGCTTATTGGCCATCTGCGAAGCAAAGCGAGTATGAATATCCGTTTGCGCAGACACAGAGACACGAGATCGGCACCAGCAACATCAACATCAATACCAATATCGACCAACCTCGATTTTCCAGGTGCGCAACCTCGCCGCACCACCCTTAGGGAACGACTCTGGAGTCCCACAACCGCAGGCGCAGCTGTACCCCAGCCGACTTATATTGAAGCAACATTGGACGCAACCCACACAACTTCACGCAAGGATGAGAACAGATCAAGATCAAGATCACGATCACGATCACGATCTTGCATCACCAAGAAGAACCGTCGCCGCCACATGCGGCCTCACACCCGACGCAATCGCAGCACCACCTCCAAACAACCCTACGTCTACACCGCCACACCCTTCACAAACCACCTTCCCTCGTTCCAGCAGCAAGCTCAGCATACCCAACCACCTCACGGCATCCCAGATCGATGTAAAACATTCCTCAAAGCGCTCCGTCGAAAACTCCACCTCCTGAAATTCAGCTTCCTCATGCAATTCGACCGTTTCCGTATCTGGCTCTCCCAAAAGTCCAAAGAAAACTTCTCCAAACTCAGCGAATGGCTGGAAACCCACATCCCGCGCAGCAAGCCCGAGCCGGCAAGACGTCCCCTCTTTCCCTATTGCCCTGATAGCTGTAATGCAGCGACGATAGCTGCTAGCAGAAACGGCAGCAATGGAAGCGGTGGCGCTGGTGATGGCGAAGGCAAGAGAGGAGGCAGACTACGACGCTTATCCGAGTCGACGGTGAAGAGTCTCAAGAAAGCGTGTAGCTTAAATTCGGAGAGGGACGAATTGAGGGAGGAGGACCGGAGGGCGATGAGGAGGCTGGACGAGTTGTGGAGGAGTGGGGATGATGATTATTGATTGATTGGTTGGTTGAGGACTCAGGTTGGTAAGGGTAATTTGAAGACCATTGATGGCGAGTCGATACCGGTGAGCTGAGGCTAGGACACAGGAAACCTTGATGAACCGGTGGGAAGTGCAAGTGATAGGGTTGTGCTCATGCAGGTCCTTTAGCATTACTGTTCAGGATGGCTTCTGCCACAAGCGAGCCTAGTCAGCTTGGATAGCGCAAAAACAGCTTCCATGCTCTTTTCGTCTGTTATGCAGTCAAGTCGAGCTCGTCAGATGTACGACTCCCTCGCCACCTCAGATCAGCGTGGGAAAGTCGAGAACATCTCAAGTCAAAGTGAGCAATTATCCCTCCATCTTAACATCCACATCCACTTGTTCGCTGCTAAGGCCGGAGGCACTCGAAGACCGAGATGGATTTTCCTGATACTGAGACTGTTCGTCCATCTTCATGTCTTCAACCTGCAACGCCGACTCTTGTTGCTGATGCTGACCCTGCCGCCGACCTAGTTTCTCGCACCAGCTCTCTGCGCTGACGAGAGTGTCATTGACGACTCCACTGACTTGGCCCATCATGTTCAGGCCTTCTTGAGCCAGCATCATCACTTTATGAGCGCTTTCATTTCCGCCATTCTCGTCCAGGGACATTGACGACGCCATTCGAAATCTAGCAGGTAGAGAAGTGATATGGCGATGGACGAGGTGTCTGGCATTCTCGGGGAGAGCACCTCCAGCATAATTGCTGACGACCTCAACTACCTGCTTCAGAGTCTGAAGAACGACTCCTTTGAGCTCCTGAATCTTGGCTGCCATGGCCGCCTTGCTCGGCTTCTCATTCTCTGCTTGCTCACACTCGGACATAATCGCTTGTCGCTGACCTTGCTCCCTTTTCTTCAAAACGTCGTGAAGAGAGAGTATGACTCCGCCTAGTCGTTCATTCGCCCACCTTAGCCAGGAGAGGCAATACCTCAAACTTCGAAGGCTTTCCTCGCTCATGGCAATGCCAAGACCGCTGGTGGAGATCATCAATTGTGCTCGCCAGCCAGGTGGAGTTTGACCATCTCTGGTCTGAGGCACCAGTTGTTGCTCTTGGTACGGAGGTGATCTTCCCGAATCGTCATATGCTGGTAGCTGTTCACTCATTCCTGAGCTTCGCCTCGTGTGTCTTCCATTCCTCCGAGGACGTTCTATACCGGCTTCGATATCGGCCTTCTGAGGCTTGGAGGTTGACGCGTCGTTGCTGTCTCTTCTTCTGGGCTGCAATGCCCATCGGATGCCACCTTCGACACCGGTGACACGGCCGAGCATACTTGCAAGCGGCAGCCCAACGTTCTGTTCCACCGTATAGGCTCCGGGTATTAAGGATTGGGTTCCTCGGTACACGGATAGCGATCGGTTGATCATTGACGCTGTAAGAGGGTACTGTGAAGTGAGGAGGGAGAAAAGAGGCTCAGGCTGGTCGTCTGGGGAGTATGTGGTCTGAGACTGGATCAAGTTTGGAGGACGTTGCTGCGAAGGGGCATGAAAATCTGAAGATGTCAACCGAGAGGATTTTGTTGGACGTAAGTTTGGGGTCTTACGAGCTTGTATACTGTTCAAGGTCTCCGCAGCTTCCATGTCTTCCTGCGACATGCCTGACAGAACACTAGCTGCACGATTCCTTCTATCGTCCTCATAGTCGAGGTCCATTGCAAGCTTCTGCGACGTCATCTGCGCAGCTGAGAAGGGTGGAGGGCCATGCTGATATGCTGCGGGCTGTTGAGACTCCATTGAGATGTGTTGTGTAATGGTGGGCGCTGCAGAGGTTGCTCTGCTTCACTGTTCGGTGGATGAGATATGAGATATGAGATATTGGCCGTCTCTTCACATGCCTCTCTCCTGACTGTTCATGGGCAGCTGTACTGGTTCTCCAGTCCTCGGTCACATAGTCACAGGTAGACAATCTCTCAGAGCGCCGACAGAAGAAAGCTCGAGAGGACTTTTGTGTAGTAGCAAGAGTAAGGAGTGGTTGAGCAGTCCGGATCCATGGTTCCGTGGTCGTGGGATTTAGCATGAGGAAAGTCATTTTCATTTCAGGGACATGTGACGGTGGACCACGCCAAGAGGAAGCCAAGATTGCATACTAATTGAGCCGTGAGCCGCAAGCCGCCGATTGGCATTGTGCCGAGGCCTGCAGGTCCGGCAGCTGCAGACGAAGGTGGTAGAATTGCATGGCACGCAGTGTAAGTTAGGAGTATAGGGTTGAAAGAGGAAATGGTAAGCAATATGCAGAGGATACAACTGACATTCTTACAGCAGAGCGCTCGTTTCCCGCGCTCTGACCTGACATGTTTTATCCTCTATGCTTGACACATGGCCGAAGATAAAGAGGAAGAACGTTGTACTCATTGCCAAATGGGGTATCTCAAAACTGAAAATATGACATAAAAACTCCCAAAGAACCCCTCCCAAAAACTGCTCAAAATCAAGACAACATTCCCCGGTTGTGAAGGTCCTCTTGCACAAGGAAATCCATCATTCGTTTTGTAGTACCTTATCCATATCTTCCCAACCAAAAGTCTCCTCCTCAATTTCCACCTCGTCCAGCCTTTGCCGTACCCTTTTGGCGATCTTTGTGTCGCACTTCAGGACAGAATAGACATCCTTGAGCACATTTCGGAAGCCAGCAGGACATGAATGTGCTTTGATGCAGCACAGCTCTTCGCCAGCCAAGTACCAGACCGATCTTCTCTTTGAAAATTCGTTGTAAAGACATGATGCGCGAAGCAGTGACCAATGACCGAGTCTTCTGTTGTCTTCATACGTCCATAGATGGGAATATTCGTGATGCGCTCCTGAAGGTTTGATTGAACGAAAGTGATGGTGGAAGCTCTCGACCAACTGCCGGAACTGCCCAGTAGCCCAATTGCCTTCTTTCGGTTGCTGGCGAAGATAGTCTTCAGCCATCTGCTGGATATCTTTTTTCAACTGTTCCAGAGTCTTAGCTAGCTCGGCTGATGACTCCTTGCTGTTCCCAAAATTCCGCATTGAGCTCCATGGTTGACAGAGCGCCGAATCCTTCGCATGCTCCTGGCGCCAGTGGTTGTTGAATTGTGTTAGGATTCTCTCCTTCTCAGGAACCGCTTGCCAGAATTTCAGATAGTCGACAATGTTCGACTCGCGCTTGTGACCTTCACAGTTATCATTTTTGTAGGCAGGCGCATCACGAATGCGCGGGCTCACTTGTTTCCGAAGCTTTTGCCAAGCGACTTGTGAAAGCATATCCCCCTGCTTCGCGCTGTCCACAAGGTAGCCGGACAGAGTGGCTAACTTGATAGCATTCGGGGCGGTCAAGCTGCCGTCGAAGTACACCACCTTTTCGTGTTCGTGTGTGCACTGACCAAGGTAGGATGGGTTCAGGTTAAATGCAAAACAGCCGGCGAAGAAGCTCTCCGTCTGTGATGCGAGCTGTCTCCTAGATGTGTCTCCTGTGAAAATATCTTTGACTTTACGATTCTGCTGCACAAGTCCGCAATCTTCCTTGCTGGGCATGTCTGGCAGACCAGCATTTTCAAAGCACTTGACGACATCAGGATCCCAACATATCCAGGGAGTGTCGCCATCGTAGTCTCCACCACTTAGCATATGAGCTAGTGGTATATCTCCTTTTGTCGAGAAGACGATGACATCCTTGAAATGGTGAAGCTCCCTCTTCCATACGGCTTGTCTTCGCTGGATATCAGAGGGAAGCAATGCCGGCAGTCTGGCAACAAGGATATCTCGTCCATCCACGAAGCTCTCTTTGAACCCTGAAACGGAGTCTTTCCATACTTCAGAAAAGCTGAGGTGGACCTCATTTGGCTCGAGTACCCCGTACGGATCAGCGATACAAAACAGAAATGTGCTACAGGAAATGCGAATCTGAAGTCGCTCGACATATCGGTTCAGATACTTCACGAGAATGGAACGGAGACACTCTCGAAGGGTAGGGGAGGTGTCCGGAGTGAATCCACTTTCTATCAGCATGATCGTCTGCTCTTCGGATTCGTCTGGCCAAGAACCAGTCATTCTGATTTCCTCTTCGCCTCTTGAATACAGCCCACTCGATTGCACCCACGAACGCAATCGCAGAGGCGAGCGCATAGAAAGCTCGAGATCATTATGAAACGTGCCGATGTCTTGCAAAAGAAGGTCGGCCAGAATTTTGCGGTCGACTCCACGGTCATGTAAAATCGTTAACAATTGAGTATTCAAGGCAGCCGCCTTTCCAGGTACAGAATATTTTATAACCTCGAAGGTGCGTCGCGCCTCATCAGCAATTGAATGATCCTTTGGATGTGGTTTGATTTTAAGCTGACTGTCAGCAATCTCGATGCAGTAGTTCCTTCTGCCCATTTCATCAAATTCATCATCAGGGACAACCATCCACAGCCCTTTGGCGCCGGCTATTCTCGCTTGAAATACGCTCGGGACCTCGCTTAAGCCAATGTGTTTGGCTACCTCTTTCGCAAGAGACATTGACATCCTTGCACAACCATCGTTCATGACTGCATGGTTGGTCGGGTCGGCCAGCCGAATAAATTCGGAGGCCTCCAGAACAATTGTCGGGATCGTCTTGGACAATCCTAAAGAGAACCGCTGGAAAAGTTTCAGATTAGTGGATTGGAGATTATAGTCTATGGGAATATGCCAATTGAGAAAGTGCTCCACTGCAATTACACTTTCTGTGGGTAGGTCTTCACCACAGACCGCAAAAAGATGGACTTTATAGCCTGGTACTTGGCCCATGATTTTTGTCTTCTTCTTATCTGCCTCTAAAAAGAATGCGCGCCACTTTCGGCCTAAGAATTCGTGGGCTGTTGCCAGCCATCTTGCAACGCTCTCCGTAAGTACACCTGATCTAGCGTCTTCTTTGTATTTCGTTGGAAGATTAGTGGCTAAGGAAGGCAGGGAGAGCACCATGAACCGTGAAGGACCGTATTGGCGATGAAATCGACAGCTGGTGTCGAGATTAAGCGGTTTTAACTTAAGCTCATAGAGCCCATCATCCGCTTTTGATCTGTAGCTTAATGCGCCTGCCAGATAGACGGATTTCTTCCTTGACTCGGTTTCAAAGAAAGAATCAGAGGCGCTGTTCCAGGCGGAGGATGACGATCTCCCGGGTAAGCGATGGCCTCGTTCTTTTGCAACCGTCCGACAGGCCCCCAAAAAGGCATCGTAATCGTTGGTCGAGCTGATTCCTTTCCGGCCAAGGTCCTTCAAAAGCTCCTTCGGAGTTGTGTGTAAAGCATCGGCCACACGCTCTAACTCATAACGATGTCGGAAAGACAGCTTGTGAGAGAGTGCCAAATCAGCGTTCTTGAAAGGAGTCTTCTCACAGAGCTCGTCAAATATCTTGTCTGCTTTGGTCGGCTCGCAAAGCATGTTGAACGATGTCGTGAAATCCTCATCTGCATCAAGCGCCATCACGTCTTGGGTTGGAAAGAGATCTGGACTCGAATTCTTGGCCTCTTCCTGCAAAGACGTTGCTGCTGAAGCTGAAGGAGCAGTTAAGCCAGTCGCTGCAGGCGTAAAAATCTCTGACGGAACGTTAGATGTCGTCGTAGAGTAAAAGCTCTGGGCGTTTGAAACAGTCTGAGGGCCAAGGGGTGGTTTAATCGGTGGCATAAGATCTGCAGCATTTTCGATATCCTTCCGAAGGTGGCGAAAGGTTTTCATCTGAGACAACGTCATCTGCTTCTTTGAACGCTTTTCTGACTTGAAAGCACAGCATCGTCAGCTTGGATTGTGATTAAGAGATATCTTAATCACTGTTGGTTTCGTACCTTTTCGGACCCTGAGGACTTTCGCTTTGTCGCTTCCCGGGAACGTCTATTCTGCGGCCTCCCGCTCTCAGTGTCGCCGATCGCTGTCCCAGCAACTTGCCTCCTTGCAACTTCTGGAGCTGCAATACGAGACGTACTGGTTGTGTTGTCCTGGCCCACAATACCCTGAACGCTGCGGGCAGCATCGCATGTTGCAGTGAACGATGTGCGCCTATAGACTTCAGAGTCCCTAGCCAGTGTAACCTCCTCGTTCAGCAGCTCCCAAAGGCGCTGGAGAAGCTCTTGACGGTGTTTTCGTGGCAGAGCCGGTCTCGTGGATATGAAGCTCTTGGTGACGGGCATTGCCGGCAGAGTGCCTTCCTCTTGTGACGGTTTCCACACCCATTGTGAGCAAATTGGGGCAACACTAGCCTCAAAATCATGAATGACTTTATCAAGTTGGCAGTCACGGAAACAGAGGTATCGTATTTGCCCGGAGCATCGTTTCGCTAGGGAGTGCTGAACATCTGCTTGCTGTAGCGCACTCTCTTGAGTTCCATGAATGCTGGGAAGCTCAAGATTCCATCGTGTATTGAGCCGTCCGACAATCTTGTCGAAGGAATGTCGCACCCGTTTTGGAGTGTCTGTTGGCGCAATAATAGCATGAGATGACATTGGGAACGGCTGTCCGCTGGATCTATTCGTCAACTACGCTTTCAGGGTCATTCAATGGAGAGCGCACCAGTCAGAGAAGGCACCTGTCAACTGCTTGGTTCGGGGTAAGATTAGAGCTTCTAGAGCTTCTAGAGCTTGGTGATGAGGTCAGTTAATGTAAGCGATTATTATCCTGGGGTATGGGCCAATTGAAGATGAACGCCAGCCAAATACAATGAAAATGATCAAAAAACGCCGAGGCTCAATTGACCCAAGATCCTCAGTGGGAGCCGTTTGAACCAACGCCTCGTCAGCTCATTGATTGTTGACAATCTCCGCATCGCACGACAGATTAAAAGCAGCGAAGGATAGAGCGTGCATTAGGGGCTGCGCTAGGCCGACGGGCCGAGACCTCCAGACCTCCGGACCTCCAGACCTCCGGACCTCCAGACCTCCGGACTCTGGACCTTGTTCGCTCGGTTAGTTAATCATCCAGGAGACCATCTTCCATTCCAATCATCAGAAGCGAACATTCCGTCAGTCTAGATACCAGGGCAAAACTATCAGAGTCAGCCTGTTGATTGTAAAGGCGTGCAGTCGCAATTGCAGTGAGCGTTGCTTCGAGAGGCACACACAGTTCCCTCCAGCCGCGTGGGGTCTGAAGGTAGGTACCCATGTTTAGCGACCAGCTTGCCGCTCGCCCCACAGCTCTCGAACCGCTGGCGAAGGCGGGACCGACAGATATTCTGTTCCTCAGATGGTACGGAGTACGTTGGACTGATTTGGACGAGCCAAAGACTCGATTTACCCTCGGCCCTGGCCAAAAAACACCGATCCCAGGTTGATATTGAAATCAACGGTCGGTGGGAACAGATGGTCAGCGGGAACGAAGGGCGTAACTTACGGCAGATACCAGGCGGGACGAGGCGTTGCGCTACTGCATAGCGGCCTAAGGCATTTTACTACTATAAAGCGGCGGCACGAAATATGAAGCACTTTTAGTGGTTGAACCTCGTAAGTCAGTGTCAATGGGATGACTTCGCCTTCTGTCAAACCTGCACTTCTGTTGTGATCAATTAGCTGACCTTGTCAGGAGGTATGCTGTTCTATCAACATCATGCACATTCTCCTCCAACATGTCAGCGCTCCACCCTGTGTGCATTTGGCATACCGCTCAATGTCATCGCACAGCCACTTCCTGGTACTTCGAATCCAGAGCCTCCATCTATACATAAGGGATTCGACATAGAGACGAAAATGTGAGATTAACTTGCAGAACTCAAAAAGAAACCTGCGGCTTAATCTCTTCGACGGTGACGACCAGAAGCGCCACTGTGATTGTGTAAGCAGCACGACAACTGCAGGAATGGAGAGGACAACTTACACGCTGATTCTGCGGGCTACACCCTGTAAAGTGGTATCATTGTCTGCCTCATTCTTCGCTCGTTCCAAAGCTTGCTTTCTGTCTTCAGCACTTCGCCTCTCAATCTCATCGTGAGATGGAGGGAGGTGCTCATTCTGCAGATCGACCTTCCTAGCATCTTCGAAATTGTGGATCGCTTGTTTGATCCCTTCAGCTCCCAACATGAGTGTGCCTGCTGGTAAGCGCCCTCCTGAGGCAGTTTTGAGTTCTGTCACTCTCTCGGACTCTTCCCGCAAGACCTGGAACACCCTTGACAGCCGACCAATTGCCAAAATTTTGTTTTTGATCGCGCGACGCTTGTACTCGGTTGACTCGGGGTCCATGTTGAGCGCAGGCGACGCTGGACCGCTCGATAATGGGGTAGTGTCATCTTCAAGCTCTTCCTTGGAGCAAGTGTTGAGGATGGCAATCAACATGTCGGTGATCTTCTCTCCAACGAAAGGCAATGACCAGGTGAAGACGTCCATGAAATTTGGTAACCAGTAGGGATGGGGCGTGCAATTAAACTGTCGGATGTTCATCACGTTGTTCTCGTACTTGAGAACTGCGGCCTTGTTGTTATAAACGTCAAGGTAGTTGGGAGCGCTGAAGATGGTCATGACACTGGGAAATCCTGTCGTTCTCGTCTTGCGATACATACGATAACCTGCATCTTGAGCCTCGTGTGCTCGAATGATCGAGAGCAGATTATTCTTCTCAAGGAAGGCACATGCTGCAGGATAGGAGAAGAAATAGGAACAACCACGAACATGATTGTGGACGAAATACTCTCCCGTCTTCTCCTGACCAAATTCTTCCAGTGGGTCGGCCCAGAGGATATCACACATTAACCCGTGCGTCGGAGGCTCTTTGAAACGATCGATCTGGGAAATTTAGTATTGACGTAATAGTGATGGAGGCTTTCATACATTCTTGAGATCTTCCAGCGTGTGTAATTCGGGGCTAAGACCACCGTGGATACAGAGGAATTGCTTGTTCATGATCGCAGCCAGTGGCAAGGCGCAGAACGACTCCATACACGCATCATAGATCTTTTCCGAATATTTGTGCTTGCATTCGAGCTTGAAGGTGAAATAGTCTGTCAGATGGCGACATTCGTGATTGCCGCGTAGCAGCCAAAGGGTATTTGGATACCAGATCTTGAGTGACCAGAGGTACAGAACGCACTATCTGAAGTTAACATCGTTATAAACCCAACCGATCGCATTGGACATACCTCTATGCTGAAATATCCCCTGTCGACATAGTCACCAAGGAAAAGATATCTCGTCTCTGATGGATCTCCGCCAACCTCGAAAAGCTTCATCAAGTCAAAATATTGACCATGAACGTCACCACACACAGTGATTGGAGCATCCATTTCAAGCAAATTCGGCTCTGCTCTCAGAACTTCTGTGCCGTTCTTGATGATCCACATCGCCTGATCTTCAGTGAGACGGCCTTCTCGGCAGAAATGCTGCTTCAGAAACTGGAGATTCGGCTTGGAATGGTCCTGAGGCGACCAGAACTGTTGGTCGGTGGGTGGTTGCACCGCAGGTGCTTGGACGTCTAATGTAGATCAGCAAAAGCGTTGCTCATCGCTCGGCACGCACTTCCTTACCTTTGCAGACTCTTTCCTGCGTGCTGACTGTGGTATTATCCTCCATCGTATGCAGGGTAAAATCGATCTCAGGGACAGGTTTCTTCTCCATCACGGCACGCTCTAGGGGAATCTCCATGGTGGAAGTCGCTCGAGGGAAATATGAATTTCCTTGATCAGTGAAGGTCGCTCGCCTGTCGCCGAGTTCTCAAGGAGTGGGAGTAGGAGGATGAAGATCTTTTGTTTCGGGAGGAGGGAACGTAATTAAGGCGGCGGAGAAGCCTTTTAGGCAAGTCCTGAGGTGTGTTCAATAACCATACGCATAAACAGATGAGCTGCACGTTCTGGCCGATTCGGTGGTTGATATTGCCACTCTTTGCTACACGCGACTCGGTGTGATTTGCCTCCTGAGCCGCACCAATCGTGGGTGTTATTGCCCCGCAGACAGATGTAGAGTTATCCAACACAAGCTGTACAGAGTGAAAAAGGGGATTAGATTCTCACGAAGGAGAGGTTTAACTCCAAGCAGATGCTGCGTAATGATAATGTTGCTTGGATATCTGTACTGGGAGGATGAATTGGATTTTTTGAAACTCTCAGCTAACTTAGGCAAATCCACATGCGGGGGCCTGGGGGCGGCTCTACGTAGTACTGCTTCGTGCCCAAGATAGACTTTCTTTATCGATTGCATCCCCCTCCACAAGGGAGTGAGCTCTACGGAGTACAGAGCTTCTGATCTTATGTACAAGATCATAACCAGAAGGTTCTGACAGCTAGTGACCTTCCATAGCTTGCTAAGCCTTGTATACTTGCTCTTCTCTCTTGAAGAGATGTACAAAAGCCATGGTAAAAGCTCAGCACCAACCGAAGCATTCCGGTGTACACTGACTCGGAGTAGGATCGCACAATCTGCTGGCGCAGGTACCATTAACAGTATCGCCATTTATATCGTTGCCAACAGCTGTAACTCTTCCGTACACATACAAAAACGTTCCATCATCCCTACCACCATCTGCCACGGTGGACTCAAATAGTACTGAAAAGCCAAAATACGTGGTGTCATCCAGTGGCCACGCAGCCCACCCTGATGAGATCATCGCCTCTTGTAAGGGTCTGCAAGAGCACCTACAGAGAGCAAAGGATGAAGCGGCAACGACCCTCAAGGAATGGGAGAAGAAGATCAAGGAAAAGGAGTTGGCTGAAAAGCGCAGAGTAGCACCTGGATGGCTTGACAGGGAGGAAAAAATCCTGGAGCCTACTAAAGCAAGGAGGTCGCAGAACCAGCCAGACCTCCTGGATAGCCAAAGTTTAGAGGGCGACGCCGCGACGATGCTTCCTACAATAGCTCCGTCTCGAGAAGGTGAAGAATTGGATCGGGCTTTTGGTGGGTTGGATGTGAAGTGACTCGTCCAAAGCAAGAAGATTAGCCACAGCATCGGTTGAACGGTCATTGATACTTGTCCACGATATCCACAGAAAGAGTGATTGGGGTACTCTCTGAAAGAGGAGATAGTGTTTATCACATCTGGAAGGTGCCGTTTCTGGGCGAGTGTTTGTTGACACCGCGGAACTTGAAGGCATACACTCTTCTCTGATGCACAAGACAACTAATGTACACATGCTCAAGAATTGGTTACAGTGGGCTAGTCATCAACAGCAAATCACTGCACATTACTTTCGGGTGATTTGAGGCGTTCAAAGATCCGAGACACCCACCGTAAATCTTCAACACCTCCGCGTTGTCCGTAAGCCAATTCCTTAACCAGAGAACTACAACCTACAACTCCAACCAAGAGTCGAAGATCAACAAACAGCACGTCCATACCACCGACCCCAAGCGCCTCAACATGACTTTCGTATCCCTCGCCTACCAGCAGCATCTCACGACCTCTCCACAAGACCGAGCGTCAACCTCTCCGCTCGCCTTCCTCGACGATCCCTTCCACAGCTATACCTCGACATTTCTCTTCTTCAGCACCATCATCCTCGCTTCCTTACTCGTCTTCCACCTCATGCGTTACCATTACCGCCGCGCGAAGAAGTACTCCAGCGCCTGTCCAGCCTGTGCGCAAATCCAGGCGGCGTCAGACGCTACTACTAGCCAGAACCCCCAAGCAAGAGACATTGCCCATCCCCGTCTTGACAGCGCACTCAACCGATGGCCATGGAGGAACGAAGCTGCACCACCTTCTTCAGGATCACTGACAGGAAATCTATTCGACCAAGGAGACGGTACCTACCACTACGGCCCCCCAACCATAACCCCATCATCTACCTTCTACACTCCCCTCTCACGCGGCATAACAGTACCCTCCAATGTATATCAGGGCCTGTACTGCGATCTCCACAGCGCTAGCGGCAGTATCACGGATTTGCAGGACTCGGGATTCACGCACACAGGTTTGGATGGGGTCGGAGGGGAGCAGAGCGAGCGGAACAGGGTGTCTAGATGGTGGCCGGCGGCGTTGCAGCAGGTAGTGGTGGGGGATGTGAAGGAGAGCTCGATTGCGAAGAGGAGGTCGACCTTAAAACGGGAAGATTGAGCTGCTCACCATTTAAAGGAGTGACCATGAGGAAGTGACCAGGAGGAAATGACCAGCGTGTGGGTACTGTGCAGGCTAGAGCTGTGGTGGTCTTAATGCAGGTGCGTGCACATTCATGTTAGATTATGTTTGATTTGGAAATCAAGAACCTGCTGTGAGTGTCGCAGACGACGATACATAAGTGCCAAAATTTCAAACTTTTTTCTCTGGGAATGGCTCCCCTGGCTTGACTGCTACTGCATGACTAAGCAAACTGTACAAGCTCACTCGGAGGCTGTACAATCACTCTCTGTTCAGCATCGCGTTCAGAAGCAAGTCACCAAAGCAACCCTTCGAACTTCTTACATGCCGCGCCCACCGGGTCTACCATTCAAGGACAATGATATCCACCGTCCACAATCATATCGGCCCCGGTCATGTAGCTCGACGCATCACTGGCCAAATAGAGATACGCACCCTTCAGCTCGTGCGCCTCGCCCTCTCTGCCCATGGGGATCTTATCTTTCCAGATATCCTTTGTCTCTTTGGGTATGAAATCACTAATCTCCGTCGCCATGTACCCGGGAGATACGCTGTTCGCGCGCGCAAACTGTACCCACTCAACCGCCAAACTGCGACAGAGGTGGATCACCCCCGCTTTAGCCGCGTTGTATGCCGCCTGCAGCTGCGGGATATTGACCACGTGGCCGGACATCGAGGCTGTGGCGATGAAGGAGCCGGACTTGAAGTTGTCCAGTTTGTTTTTCTTTTGTTCGCGCCATATGGCTCCACAGGCGCGCGCGCAGTAGAAGGTGCCGTCCAGATCGGTGGTGACTACCTTGCGGTAGTGGTCGATCTCACCGTCGATCATGGCGCCTTGGGTCCAGGGGATGCCGGAGTTGGCGACGAAGATGTCGAGGCGGTGGTTGAACTCGGCGACCTGGGATCTGATTGCTTCTTCGACTTTGGCGGGGTCTTGCACGTTGACTTGGTAGGCTTTGCCTGCAGGAGTGGTTGCATGGGTTAGCCGGATGTTCACGGATAGATTGAGGTGGGTAGGGATTTGTCACATTTGACACCATATTCCTTCTCGATGTCGGCAGCACGGTCGATGGCCTTTTTGTTGCTGTTGTACCAGATTGCGACGTTGGCACCTGCCTCGGCGAAGCCCTGTGCAACTGCGAGACCAATACCGGCTCCGGCACCCGAAACGATGGCGGTTTTGCCTTTGAGGGAGAAGAGGGGTAGGACCTTGATCTCCTGGGGAGGCTCGGTGTTGTTGTGGGCAAAATTGCCTCCGTTCATTGCTGCGTCGGCCATGGTTATACTGTGATGGGACTTGATGTGAACTGGTTTAAAAGGTGGAAGAGAGGTATTTGGAGACAGAAGGCAAAACGGGTGAGGAGAAGGAGAAGGAGGAAGAGGAGAGGGGGCTTGCACGGGTCTTTGTAGTGTGAAGTGGTAGTGGTAGTGGTAGTGGTAGTGGGTATGAAAAAAGCTCAAGCTAGTAGTAGCACGAGTATGGAGACGTGTTGATATGGAGCGGAAAGAGGCCCCGCCTCGTAAGGATGGACGGAGGGGAAGGAGGGGCATCAATCATAATCCTGGTGAGCAGATGTGGGTACGGCACAAGGTCCTCACTTCTCACTTCTCACCTCTCACCTCTCACCTCTCAATTCACTCGACCTAGCTACCCCCGACTTCCTTCGCTTCTGCTGCCTTGAGCAGTCAGCATACAAGCTCGGGTTGAAGATTGATGCATTGCGGCATGGCACCAGGCGCTAAGATACGAGGTGCTGTACGTAGGACGTAGTACTACCCACGTAGTGCTAGCTTTCACTGGTTCCTGGCCTGTAGGCTGTTTGCTGATTGAATCCCTCGCCGCTCCTTGTAACGTGCTGCATCCTGGCCCCTCAAGCGGTTATTGCGTAGTACGTCGAGTAGCGAGGTGTTGTCTTAACGTCATCTACTAGTACGGAGTACGGAGTATATGGAGGACATTCATCGCTGCTTATGCATTGAGTTCTGCGATAACTAACTAGTGCATGCACTAACAACTTCCGTGATTACTTTACTGGCTAGATTAATGTCAAAGGAAGTGAGATTGTTCGTTGCCGAGCTAGCACTGAGGGAATTGCACCCCGGATGATTACTGAACGCTTATGTATTCTTAATAAGCACTCTTAACACGGTAACATGCGGAGGTGTAATCTGTTCGCTGTGACAGGAACTTTCGGCATTTTGTGGAATAGTATCCCATGACCTGTACGAGTCTAACTAGATGTGAGACCCAAGTCCAGCCCAAAGGGAGTTCCAATCTATTGGCTGGATTTGGATCTCACATCCAGAATCACACCTGAGGAACCCGGCCATATGCCCAGTGACACCTCTGATTCTAACAGCACCTGGAGTGCACATTTGGAGCTGATTCAACGCATGCTCACCGGTTGCGAGCTTCACCACGAGATACCCCAAAGAGACTGATCATCCTTGCTCTGACACCCTTCACTTGGTAATCAAGTGGCATAAGCACGCTGTTGCTGACGCATAGCTTAGTCCTCCTCGAGGCAACGTCATTCTCCTGGCCAATTCTACGTGCCATCATGGTTGTGAGTGGTGTAGCTGTGCTGGAGCGAAAAATGAACCTGTGGCCATCTTGCTACTTGCAGCGACCCTGCTTCGTGCGCTGTTGCAATTCACATTCATTGCCACATTCCTAACATCTCTGCTCTTCCTTTGGCTAGATTTCCTCAATTTCCTTCATACATTCCTTACCCTCAAAAGGCCACTCTTGGCATCAAACCATAACATATCTCCTTTGCAGTTTCGTTATGCTTTGCCTTCGCGGTATCGGTGTTGCTGCGCTCCAATGGCCACTAGAGCATTGGAAGGAGGGCCGTTTGCGTGAGCACGATGCTTCAGGGCAGCTTCCTCCTGGGTTTGGTATATTTCCTCCGAGACGACAACACAGCATTCACTTAGACTTATAGTATCCACTTGCATCGCTTGTCCATCTTATATTCTTTCTTTTCAACATGATCAGCACTCTAGGGGTGATCATTATTGCAGTCGGGGTATCAGTTTGCGTCTTCGTTGGCGGTGCTGTGTCGATCATCTTAATCCTGCGCGCAAACGACAGACGACGTCGAAGCAAGGAAGAGGTTGCGCGACAGTTCAGTGCTGGTCAAAGAGGTCGACTTAGCGTTGGTAGCACCAATTACTCGCATGTGACGGAGCCCAGAACGAATCTAAGGAGAAGTACGCATCTCCCATATGGCGTTGTGTCAGAGGGCTGGGCTGCAATTCCCTCCCAGGAGAGTATCCCCCAATATCAGAAGAACAGGACCAATCACCAAGCAGAAGGAGAAGGAGAGGCATCATCCCAACAGAAGCGTCGACGCAGCTTGCGCGCTTCCTTTTCAGCGCGCTCTTTTTCCATACCTAAGACGAGGAGGCAAAAGAAAATTCAGAGCGCAGTCCCACTTCGTGCAATCCCACGTTCACCCCTGTCCGCAATCACTGAACGGTCTGGTACCAACACGACTGAGGCTTCACCATCAGGTGAGATTGCAGAGCTCCCTAGCGAAGTTACGCCCAAGACTACGCCGGAGAAGGATGAAAATTCTTTGCCGACTGGAAGGCCAGTCTCACTGCAATGGCCCCTGATTACTACCAATAGAGGTTCCCACACTGGAATAACCACAGTCATTGCAGTACCAACCAGTCGGAAAAGCAGTCTTGTAAGAATGAACAGCACGAATCACAGCGTCTCGCCCATCCGACCCTCTCTCGGTGAGCGTTCAGTCAGCATGGCTAGCACTTTGTCAATAGCACCTGAGGGTCCACTTCCTCCCTTACCGTCGATCGCACCAAATCAGTGGCCTGCCGGACGCAGGTCACGGCTCAGATTTTCAGCAGCCAGTGTCGACACAATTGGAAGCTCTGTACTTGGAGGGTGGACGTCACCATCTCAAACAGACACCGATCTGACGTCCACGGGACTTGCGACACCTATCGATCTCAATCCTACAAGACATCAGGCGGTTGAACGAGAAGGCCCTGGTTGTGAACCTGCTACAGTCATCACCACAGGATCACCCAGAGCAAGGCATGCGACGAAGTATGGCAACGGCAGGGCTGGACATGGCTCTTTCCAAGCCAACAGGGGTCAGCATGCAAGCTCACATATTACAATGGACGAGCTAGCAGCAGAATTAGGCGATCGGGACAGTTCCATTCCACCTGCTACCGGGCCCAGCCTTAGCACCAAATATGCCAGAAATTGGGAATCCTATTTGCTGTCTCGTGCCAGTTCAGTACGGTCACATGCCAGCCCATCTCTTCCGGTACCCATTGCTCGTACAGGATCAGGCTACAGGAAGGGGACGGTGGCCGCAAGGCATTCCATGTACGAACAGGATACTGGTGACAGGAGTTTGACTATAGACCCTGCTGTCCTTCGTGACACATCAGGTAACCCGGCCAGTCCAATCCGGCGCCTAATCACCTCGAGGCCTGCCTCCATCGCTAGCGAGAATCCATTTCATTGGGACCGAAATAGTCTTCAGATTGGCCCATCGTCTTCTCTTAGAAGCTCACCCGGATCTCAATCCAAGGGTCATAAACGGCAAAACTGTATACGTATATCAAATATCTCTGCAGGAGACACGTCTTGTAGAGCAAGCAAGCTGCCACAAATGAAAGAGGAGAGCGAAGACTTGTCGGGCATTCAAGCAAGCAAGAAGATGATGATACCCGGTTTGAGTCTGCTTGAACAAGGGAAGTTCAATGACGACGCAGATTCTGGACAAGGACATGTCGACCATTCCGCTTTTCTTAACGGACCGAGATTGGAAAAGAACTCGAAAATGCGTCCGAATTATTCTCGAGCTCAGACTAGTGAGTCCATGATATCCTGCAAGCTGGATTCCGATGTCTTCAGCAATTCTCGCTACGATCCAAACGCGCCAAATATGTTCAGTACGAACTCAACATCGCAGAAACAATGGCCTTTGACCCCAACAGCACCGCGTAACTCCAGACCACAAGCGACGCCGCCTTCTCTAAAGGCTATTCAAGAGCCGTATGACCCAGACTCGCCAACCTTACCAATACCGACCATTTCATCGGCGACGCTATTTGCGCGTGCTCTACCACTAGGCACGCGTGTATCCGGCGTACAAGGGCCTCGAAACATACCTACACCTGGTCGGTCGTCTCGGGCCCATTCTCCAACTCCCACGACGGCCCGTTCTACGGTTAAGCTAGAAGATCTCAGACGCTCAGTCGCGACGTTGAGAAGAATGAATGCTGATGTTCCGGACAAAAGGCGAACATCGCAGATGTATCGAGATAATGGTTTGGAAAGCACAAACAGCCTGCCGAACGTAAACAATCATGCCAGACAGGGCCTTACCGCTGAGTTAGGTGTGAGTATCGTGGATATCAGCACGACGAGTCCAATTTCAGCTGCCCCGAGCACGATTTTGCGGAAAGCCAGCCCGAGCCACCCGCAAGCAACCCTATCCCCTTCATCCAAAAATTCCCTTACGACCACCAACATCCGTCTTGCCAACAAATCCCGCTCCAACATAATCGTCCCCTCCCCTTCAACCCTCTCTGCAGGCACAACCTCAATCTGGGAAGACGCAAGCGTGCACTGTGACTCGCCGGAGCCCGACCTACCCACCTCACTATCCTCGTCCAAAGTCTCTTCTCCTCGAGTCCCACAGCAGCAGCAGCAGCAACAGAAGAATGTGGATATGGAGGCATACGAGAATTTCATCGGACAACAGAAAGACCTAGATTGTGGAAAGCCAGGCAGTCGGAGGGATAGAGATAAAGAGCGGGAGAGTAGATTGACGAGTCCGCAGGGAAAGGGGCTGGGGTTGATGGGTGTGAAGGTTCAGGCGCAGGATCGGGATCGGGATGTGGATCAGGGCCTGGGGCAGGGTCAGAGGAAGGTTTGGGGCACTCCGGGCAGTTTGTACGATGGGGAGGGCTTCTTGAAGGATTAGTTTTATTTAGGTCTATAATGGGAAGGAGAGGGAGTGGTGTGGGCGGTGATCACATGTGAAGGATGTTGTCCGCATTGGCTTGATCGTCTGGGATGTGACTACCGACGAGTTTGCGAACTAGCGACCACTTTAGAAGGAAGGTAATGTATCAAGTTATCAGGTCGTGGAGCTGACCTTGTTCATCAAATATAAATCCAATCGATGCCTTTTCACAGAGAGAAAGGCAGCTTAGTATTTCATAACCAGATTAGGTGGCAGTCCCAACCCAGTACCAGTTCCAATACCAACATCTGTATCTGTATCTCTCTAACACAACCTCTACTGACTAGCCTCTAACCCCCTCGTTCGTTCCCTTGATCGGGATTCCACGCCGAGTCAGACAGTGACATAATCAAACATCGTCGTCCGCTCTGCTTAGCTTCTTAGCTTGCTCATGCAGTAGACATGATGGTGATGGTGAGTTTCAGGATGAGAAACATCATGAAGTCGCATAATCGAATACGGGCATGAATCATAACAGATAAATCCACCAGTTGAATGGGATTGGCTCTTGATCAGCCAAGAAGACTCCTGAGTGGGCCGGCCAGCTGAACCAGTCACGAGGCCGGGCGGGAGAGGTCGGGCGTAAAATTGCTATTGGTGAATTCAACGTGAGCGACGGTAGGTGAGGATGGAATGACTCTTAGCAAGACCGTAAGACCGTAAGAAAGAAAGAAAGAGAGAAAGAAAAAAAGAAAGAAAGAAAGAAAGAAAGAAAGAAAGAAAGAAAAGAAGCGTTCTTGGGCAAGGGAAGGGGGGGGCCCTGATGATTTGCCTGATCTGACTGGGTGACCTGATAAAAAACCACCCCTGTATTGAACGAATTTAGCAAGCCAGTGAGAACCAGAGATGGTGACGGCGATGGATGGTGACGGCGATGGATGGTGGAGGCGCTTAGGATGAGACAAACAGCTGACAGCGAGAACCGAGATATATTACTATACCCTATACCTCCCACACCCATTGTCATGATGATGATGATCATCATCATCATAGGAGAGTTGGGGTGAGAATTATCCGCCAAGAAAAGAGAGCAAGTAAACAAACAACAAACACGCTACTAGTCGCATCAAGACGGGTAACCTCAGAGTCCTGGAAAGGCTTAAACCTCCTTTGATTTGTAGAAATTGGGGTCATCGGCACCGGCATCAGCATCACGAGGATAGAAAAGCTGGGAAGGTGGGAAATGCTAACCAAATGGGCCTGGCTAGAGGAGCATCTCTTCTTCATTAGCGAGAGCTATCAAGTACATGACATTTCTGATCAACAGACGCCCCGGCCTCCTTACACCCTATTATGACAATCACACCACGGACTTTCCCACTGCAAATGCTCTGGCACCCTTTCTGACACCCAACTAAATTGTGCCTGGTTCACACCGTCTTGGCGTTGGGCTGCTGCTGCCGCTGGGCGCAGAGCGGACAGCGGCACGCCGAAACGCAGGGGATGGCCTCACAGGCGCGTTTGGCGTAGTCGGTAAAGGTTTTCGCGTCGGCATTGTAGAGGCGTGGTTGGCAGGCGAAGCAGCGGCAGCTAGTGACGTGGGAGGAGTCGCGGGGTGGTGGGATAGTGCAAGGGTTGGGGGGGGGCGGGTTCGTTGTTGCTGGCTTGATGATGGTGGAGCGAGACTGACCCATGCCTGTGGTTGAGAAGGCTGTGTTTGCCCTTGTCGACGTGGAGGTGGGTGGCTGGATGCTTGGTCGGCGCATTTACGTGGAGTACCTAGGCAGGGGCCCATTTTGGTGTTGTACTTACGTTTGTGGTTGAAGTGAAGCTGTGGAAGTGAACTTGAAATTAAGGAATCAAATGGAGCTTCCTGTTGATTGTCATCATAAGGGATCGAATTGAGGACTCTCTTTATCCATTGAGACTTTGACAAGCTGTCCCAGTGTAACACAGTTTTTGCTGCACTTCCGTTTGAACGACGTCCGCCATGAGGCACGTGTCGTGGTCAAGCTCTCGAAAAGCATGAGTAAACCGAGCTGTGCTATTGGGCAAGAGGGAAGGGCCGACTTCAGAAAAGGGTTGGTCAAGGTTTGGCGGTTCGAGATGTGCAACCGAGTCAGTGAATGATATGACGAATGTGCCAGAAATGCCTGTACCGCAATTAGGTCAAACAGAAACGCTCGTCCGCAAGGTAGCTGAACAAAAAGAATAGAGTAAAGGTTTTGACATTCGTAAGGGCTTAAGGTTCACGGGAAGGTAGTTTGAAACAGTAGCCACACAGTTGAGAGGTATGCTCGGCAGTATGGGCTTGCATATACTCCGTAATAAGCGGGTGCCAGGGGAATGCGTCTCGTAATCGTCGAGGTTTCCAGCGCCAGCTTTATAGGGGTGCAGCCGAGTACAAAGAAGATGGAGATGCCGAGGCAGCTAAGAATATGTCAGATTTGGTAACTGTTACACACTGGAGTGGTGTGTCAGCGCCCGGCCACTGACAAGGTAAACGTAAAGAAGCCTGCCTATAGTGGTCGTTGACTCATCATGCCCGACATATTTGCGTCTCACGATACGTTGTCTTTTGGGCAGGGTGGGTATCTCACCAGAAAGGCAACGATTTTTCGGCGAGGCTCCAGATAGAACATCTGCGCTTCGGACGTCATTGATCATGTAATTGATTCCATTGATCGATGGGACAGGCGGGCTACTCTCTAGATAGGGCACGCCTTGCAGTGGGTGCATCCAATCTTCTGACAACTGTGGTAGCAGAGAAAATGATACAAGTCACGCTGAAGGTGCGCTTATACTTATAGCCATACTCCATACAATGATTGCTCAGTAGCAAGGTCTCTGCATCAAGTACGCTTCCAAGACCCATGTCTCGTTGCTGCTGAGAATTTGTGACCATTCTGGGGTTTATCGAGTGGAAGTGCGTTGATCGCGTGCCTCCATATATCTTCGCCGGTGACAGGCATCACAGCGGCAGCCCGGACGGTGAAGACATGCGGTCAAAACTCCGGTATCAGGTCCCATGTTTGGCTGGCACTCTCTGCAGCAGCATTGAGTCGGATGGGTAAAGCGAACCGCGCCAGCAGTCAGAGAGGAAGGACCGGCTCGTTGTTGTTCCGACGAGGAGGAGGAGGAGGATATGCTTTGTTGTGCAGCAGGTAGACGTGGTTGGATCATTCTCCTTTGGGAACTTACCGTGAGAAGCACCCATCTTTGATGTGTGTGAGACTGAGATCAGATGACAGTCGATTGGTTCAGATGAAGATCCGTAAAGTTGAGGGCCTGGTCTAGCTTCTTATACTGTGTCTCGCATGAACTCAAATTGGGTCGACTGAGGAGCATGCAACCTGCGCAGCAGAAGTGTATGAGGCGCGATCGGAGCATCGATTGCGGAGTACTTACAGGCAATGTAATAGATCTTAAAATAGCATCGAGACAGTCACTGAGTTAGCAACCACTGGGTATAATATGCCTTCGACAACCACCAACACAAAATCTCGTGGCATCGCTGGATGGCGAAATCCATCGCTCTTCCCAATTTCACTTCTCGTACAAAGAACGCAAGGATATTTGGTCCAGGGAGGCATCATCATGAAGCTCACGTAAGTACTTAACAGAGGTCGGCAACATGCGGCATCAGTCGGATCCTGTGTACCATCAAGCTTGCAATGAAACACACATTTCACCATGCAACCATGTTACATGCCCAAGATAGCTTGAAGCTGGTACCGGATATGTCGTGGCCAATCCAGATCATCGTCTTTTTGCCCGGAAAGGTAGCCGTTGTATTTGTTTATAGATTATTTCAAAGTGGAAGTGATGAAGCAAAACTTTCGTGGTGAGCCGCCTCCCATAAGATGAGTATACCAGTTTCACACAATCATCATCTTTTGTGTGCTCTGCATAGATCCTTGACCATCAGTAACCCTCGTTTTGCTTCCCCGTTCTTTTGCCCCTGCCTCGAAGTTTCCATGTCCCGAAAAGACTTGCCTAGGAGCTTTAGACCACTACTTAGTTAGTTAGGAAGCGAGCCCGAAGGCCCCACCCGAGCCTTCTTTAAGAAGAATGAGGATTGGGGAATGGTGAGCTGGCTGCAGTCTACCTATGGCAAGATTATACTGAGTACTGTGTAGACTCCTTACATACTGTACGCCAGGTCAGAGCAAGTGTTGGACAAGCAAGAAAATCAACTTTGCTATAGGCAAAGGTCACTAGGTGGCTGACCTTACCCTTAATTGATCCGAGCTATGCATACTGATGCCTCTAAAATCGTGAGGCATTGCTTGACGCTCTGAGTCGGGAAGTGGCTACTCTTGTTGAAGCCTGAGCACTAAACAGTCAGATAGTACAACGTTTGCTGCGTATGAGCCTTCGGATATCAAATGGTATTATGTTGATTGTTTCTGCATTGAACCTGGTTCATCGACGATCGGTTTTCCATGCGAAGTACAAGCATCATACTCAACCAATGCGATATGAATGATCTGCCTTCTTGACGCAGGGAAAACTGAAAGCTCCCCATCAAGAACGCCACAACGCATATGCACCAAGTCCGGTATATCCCAGTCATAGGACTTTATCCCCACTGCATGACCATTGCCTAAACGTTGCCGCTTTACATCGCCATCTCAGCTTGTAACTTTCGTAACTCCTCTTCCTCATCCTCCTCCTCCTGCTGTACCTTGTTCTTCCCTTTGATCGGCCCATTTGCCACGCCAGGCAGATCTGCCACCGGCACTGTGCCTGTTTTAAGCATCCTTTCGTCGATTGCCTCCTGTTCCATCGCCTCAAGTTCGGCTTCAAGGTCATCCTCATCGATAGGCTCGCCGATTGGTGGACTTGAGATCGCATTGGCGATTTCTTCGCCGAGTGCATGTTGCTCTCGAAGTTCCTCCCTGGAGGGGATGAAGTGTTAGCGGAAGCCTCTCTAAGAAAGCAGATGTTATGAGGATACTCAGGATTGCGTACATTGTGGCGTCCACTTTGTCGATAGTCAGGTTCCCATGAATCTCCTTCATGGCCTTTCCAGCAGTCTTCATAGCATTGAGTGTCTCCTGGTTGATGTTTGCAGACTCAATACTATATATCTGTTGCTCAACTTGGTTGATCTGGTCACTCGTCTGTTGTAGGCTGCGCGCGTGCACTTGTTTCCTTCGAAGTGCGGTTTTGGCGGCTATGTTAGATTCTTGGTCAGTATGTCTACGGACCATGCTATGTGGCTGATGGTAGCTCAATATGATAGTATGAGATCGCCTCCAGTTCATGAAGCTTCAACGTACCGGCCTTATTCGACGAAAGATTCTTCTTAGCAATGGCTTCCTGCTCATTCATTTGATTTTCCAGATGTTTTTCCCTCTTCTGTAACATATCCAACTGCTGCCGCAGCAATAATATGGCATTCTTCGGTCCATCCTTTCGTCTTTGGGCACCCGCTCCACTAAACCAACTCCACATGATGAGTCTCCTTTTGAGTACAGAATGACAGTGATGAGGGAACAGAAAGGTAGATCTGGCGTCCGGCCACACCAAATATCTGGTCAATCCAGGGGTTGTCGTGGTGGAGCAAGACACCGGGCTGAAACCGCGTAAAGATGATCAGGAAAGGCGGATTGTAAAGGCCGTATCCCCACGAGCTCAGTGTCCTGAGCCAGCACAGTTTCAGATCTTTGGTATTAAGTGTAGTATGGTTGATGATCCACTACACGGAGTTGTTGTCCTCTTCGCCGCAAGGTCGGTGCCTGATATCGTCTTATTGTCAGGGAGGGAGTTTATCAGCGCAGGCCAATGACGTCCAGATGTGCTAGCCCCGATGCAGTATACTCAGAAAGGCGGCATCTGCCAAGGCCCAGCACGTGACATCGCTGAGTCACATCCAAACCAGGCAAAATCCATTTTTACTTGTTTCCAGCATCTTATCAGTACCACTCATAACGGTTGAAATGGTTCCAGCACAGCATTCATTCAACACCCTCGTATCTGTCCTTTCCTATCGCAACCGTATCTCCAGCTTCCACTAAGTTTTGGTGAGAACAGTGAAACGGAAGCACTAATCATCTCCTTACTAGGTTTCACGATTCCCGCAAACAAGTGACTCAAACGATCGGAAACGGTTATATTAAAACGATGCAATATCCGATTCCTTCCTCGTTCTCTCCACTCAAAACATCCATTGAACTTTAATGATTATGTTATCCAGAAAAGTGCTCTTTTTTGTGCTTATTCCTTATACCGTTCTGAGAAGCAATGCTTTCGGCTGCTATCTGTATTTCCACTTATGATAGCGAGGATGGCCGTTATGTCACAGCTGGATAATTGGATGCCGATTTTCTTAATTAAATCTTTTATTGTATCGAGATGATTTCCGTCGCTGGCCCATTCTCCACACCCCAAAATCGCTCAGGGCAGGTCCCTTCGGCTGATCTATCGAAATTGCAGGCTAGTAGTCGAGCAGTCGATTCCGCTAGACATTTACGAGCTGTACGCATACAAACTTGCGCAGGATGCATCTCTGTAGGTTTGGAAGGAGCGCACGCTCACCAGTCACCAAGTACAAGCTCAAAAAGCATTCAACACGTTTCAGATGGCTCAGTTCAATCGCAGACTTTCTGTCAACCTGCAAGCATCCAGACCTCAACACGACGGAGAAAGGTTCAACAACCTTCCGCAAGTCTTCGTAGACCAATTACTGGCCCGTCTGGCGAGATGCAGAGTGATGCATGTGCCACAGAAAATTCAACATTGGGAAAAGAAGAACAACAAAAGTGGGTAGCTGGAAGGAATATGCCGCTGCGATCAGCAGACAAAGATGATCAAGAACAACTGCCAAACTCTGAAACCCAAGGTGCGGATGCCAGCATGGCAACATTTACTGCATCAGCCATCGAGCCTGCACGCAATCAGGCCCAATTGCCACGGGAACCCACTATATCCCCATCGACACAGTCTCGTGCAACGCTCACAACTGCTGGGCTGCTGAGAAAACCATCCTTTGATTTGCGTCGCAGGCTGGCTCCGCTGGGTGCTCTTAGACACTCTGGGCTGCTCGAAAGTTCGACAAGTCCATACTCATCTGGACTTCGCTCGATCAAAATTGGTATTGAGACAGAGTTCTACCTTGCTGGACTCCAAGAATGGCTTAACCACACTAGTCTTGATGGATTCACAGCGATTCTCACAAGGCAACACAACCAGCAAGTTCCTGTCCAGCATTCTCGGATGCAGGAGTACCTGCGTCCATACCACTACCAAGGCCCATACACGCAATGGTGCCTGGTGAAAGAAGAGAGCTTGATGTCTTTCGGAATACCATGTAAGTGACTCTCTTTTGAAAGCAGCAAAAACAACTTTTCCCGGCTGACACGAAGATTCAAGGGGGCATTGAGCTTGTCTCACCCCTTTTTCGGGCTTATCCCGGTTCAAGATGGCGAGAAGATGTCGAGGCTACATGGGCATATCTCTCCGCGAATTATGATATTGCAGGAAACACCTTGGCTGGCACTCATATCCATATCGGGCTCGAGCCAGACTATTCTTTGACAGATCTCAAGCGGATTGCTCAAGCAGTAATACACTTTGAAACAGCATTCGAAGCCTTGGTACCTCGTTGCCGTCGGGGAAATATTCATGTTAAGAGCAATTGGCTAGATGCCCCTGGCTTGGCCCAGTCAGGTCGGTCGCGACCTAAGTCTATTGATGCGATCGAAAAGGTGATCTGCTTCCAGGATCTGGTAAATTTACTTCATCCCACCATACTCCCAAGTGGTCAGTACGACCGATCTTTCTCATGGAACTTCTGCAGCTGGTACGGCAAACGGTCAGTAGAGTTTCGTAAACCTCCGGCTAGCCTGACATCCAAAGATGCTTTGAGCTGGACCGAGCTGGCAATGTCTTTCGTTCAAGCATCCAGTCGTGTTGTGTCTTCGGAGGAGCTGCAGAAGATTCCACCTACTGTGGGAGGCTTACGTTGGTTCTTACAGAATTTTGGCAACGAACCCGGAGTGAACCAACCTGGCCGACTGGAGAGATTGTGGCGAAGTACAGAGCCGGGTGCTTTACTGGAACCCAAATCTCAGGTTTCAGGGCTTCCGGAGCAAGAGAGACTGCAGTTAGAGCAAAGGCTCCAAACGATGGTCCTGGCAGATAGAAGGCGGATCGAAGAGATGATAAAGACGGCTCAGGGAGTATACTGTTAAGAATGGAGAGCAAACATCATGACGACTCTCCCTCAGAGCCTTGATACGTGACTACCTACATTTACTTAACAGTACCGTGGCCAGCTTGCCGGTGTGGGACCTCATCCTCAACCTGCATGCCAGGCCGATTAAGGTTCAGGCAGATTATAGCGTCAAGTCATCTCTCCTACGGCAAGAGTACGGTTGAATGGTCACCTTTATCACCATCATGGCCACCCATGCACGCCGTCTTATGTCGTACAGCAGATGTGGTGGCTCGGCCTCGGCTGGGTCTGCGGGGCTTTCGGGCCGAAGGGCTCTCGTTACTAACCAAGTCATGAACACTCACAAGGCAGTGTCCTTGTCAGCTCCTACGTTGATTGTATGACAGTCAAGGCTTTGGATAGCCGGCAACCTGCTGTCACGGCCGCCCGCACTGCCAGGATCGTGTGACCGTGACTATGGCTCCAGTGAGCAGCATTGAGTTACATTATGTCGATTCGGAACAACCGAGGTCGGCCTGCATGCCAAGGTCAAGGCCAAGGTCAAGGCCAAGGCCAAAGCTGCTCGGCCGCCTGGCATTGCATGAGGGAGAATTTCTGCACGCTCTCCGATGCCGGACTCGCTTCTGTTCATTTTCACCATGTGATGTGAGTGTCACTGCACTATTGGTCAGAATCTGTCACTGTCTTAGACAGAGTGGAGATCTAATCTAATCTAATCTTATCAGATGTGAATTATGACGTCCAATCATCCAAATTTTGCTATGCCTCAAAGCAACCGCACAGGTAACCAACTCTCAAGCTGCTCAGCTGGTGTATGCTGCTCTGTGTGGAGTCATAGGCTTTGCAACGCGACAGCTTATGCTTCCTCGTTTTGATTAGGCAACAGAAAGACTTGCGGCGATGGACAGTTCGAACGATGACCCACAAGCTGCGGGACAAGTCTTTCTAGCTTTGTATATCCAAAAGCAGTCTCTCGCGATGCCGAACTCGCGATTACTCTCTGTTCGTTTTAGTAGACAGCCCACTTCCCTTATTTTCGTTTTTGTAAAGCTTATTTCTCTTACATCTCTACTCTCTTTTATGATTCTTTCCCTACTAGTACTGCTATGACAACGGTGGGCACTCCAAATATGGCTGCTCCATCGGTTCCAGCTGTGAATGTCCATGTCGCAAATGCCTCTCACTGCGAAGAGCAGCCCCGGCCCTTTCCAGAGAGGAAAAGCTCAGACCATTCTATGTTCCGCGTTGCCCAATCTGAAGACCCCGAGAAGGGTCTTGAACTTTCACAAAACTTGATAGTCGATGGCCTGGCCCGGACAGACACTGTTGGTGTCGATGTCAAGCGTGCCGAGCAGGAATTTGCCCAACTTGACCGGCAATTTTCAGATTATAGCGAGCGCAGCAGACGCATGCATAGCCAGCAGTCCGGAGAGTATTCCAAGGGGCAGCTTCGGGATGTCGAGAAAGCGCTCAACTCGGATCGGTCGGTGGAACAACCGTGGGACCTGGAGACAGCCTTGAGAGGTGCCAAGGCTGCAGAGCACGAAGCTGGTATCAAGGTAAAGAGGATAGGTGCGTTCCCTACCACGCTCTTCTGCTGGTACCCTCCTGACAGTGGTAGGTGTCATATGGGATAACTTGACCGTCCGTGGAATTGGTGGAGCAAAGAACATCGTTAAAACATTCCCAGATGCGTTCATCGATTTTTTCAACCTGCCAGGCACCATCATGTCCATGTTTGGCTGGGGTAAGAAAGGGCAAGAAATTGACATCATAAAAGATTTTAGGGGCGTTGCAAAGAGCGGAGAAATGATATTGGTACTTGGACGACCCGGTTCTGGTTGTACAACTTTCCTCAAGGTTATATCAAACCAGAGGTTTGGCTACACCGGCGTCAGCGGTACCGTCATGTACGGGCCCTTCGACGCTAAGACATTCGCGAAGGAGTACCGCGGTGAAGCTGTGTACAACCAGGAAGACGATGTGCACCACCCTTCTCTTACTGTTGGTCAGACATTGGGATTTGCATTGGACACCAAGACCCCAGGTAAACGACCGACCGGCATGAGCAAAAATGAGTTCAAAGGGAACGTAGTAGCTCTACTGCTCAAGATGTTCAATATTACCCACACTAAAAATACCGTCGTGGGTGGACCATTCATACGAGGCATCTCTGGTGGAGAAAGGAAGCGAGTTTCCATTGCCGAGATGTTCACCACCGGTGCCACGGTCTTGGCATGGGACAACAGTACGAGAGGCCTTGATTCTTCGACCGCCGTTGACTATAGTAAGTGCTTGAGGATTTTGACGGATCTTTACCAGACAACCACATTTGTGTCCCTCTATCAGGCCAGCGAGAGCATTTATGAGCAATTCGACAAGGTCATGGTCATCGATTCTGGCCGTCAGGTGTACTTCGGTCCCGCGGGCGAAGCACGGGCGTACTTCGAACGTCTAGGCTTTCTCGCAAAGCCGAGACAGACCACCGCGGATTATTTGACAGGCTGCACCGATGAGTATGAACGTGAGTATGAGCCGGGCAGGTCAGCTTTGAACGCACCCTCCTCTCCAGACTCGTTTGTCGAGGCATTCAACAGGTCAGAAAACGCTGAAAAGCTTTCCAAGGAGATGGCTCGCTATAGAGAGCAGATACATGAGGAGAAAGAACTTTACGATGATTTTCGAGCTGCTCACCGTGAAGCAAAAAGGAAACACACTCCGAGATCTTCCGTGTACTCAGTTCCGTTCTACCTCCAGGTATGGGCCTTGATGCAACGACAATTTCTTATCAAGTGGCAGGATAAATTTTCATTCACGGTTTCTTGGATCACAAGTGTTGCTGTGGCGTTTGTGGTGGGCTCGGTCTGGCTCAACACACCTCAAACGTCTCAAGGAGCCTTCACGCGTGGGGGCGTGCTCTTCATAAGTCTGTTATTCAATGCATTTCAAGCCTTCGGCGAACTACCTGCGACAATGCTGGGTCGACCAATCGTGAACAAACACAAGGCCTACACGTTCCACCGGCCAAGTGCGCTCTGGCTGGCTCAAATCATCGTTGATCTAGGTTTTGCTACAATACAGATTCTTGTCTTCAGCATCATCGTCTATTTCATGACTGGTTTAGTTCGAGATGCAGGCGCCTTCTGGATCTTCATCCTGTTCAACATCTCTTGCTACGTGGCCATGGCCCTATTCTTCAGAACCATTGGATGTCTTTGCCCTGACTTTGATTATGCCATGAAATTCGCTGCGTGTGTCATTACCCTGTTCGTACTAACATCTGGCTACCTGCTCCAAGCTCAGAGTCAGCTAGATTGGTTGAGCTGGATCTTCTGGATGAACGTCCTGGGCCTTGGTTTCTCAGCATTGATGATGAATGAATTCGACCGCATCAGTTTAGAATGTAGTCGAGAGTCTCTCATTCCATCGGGACCCGGCTATAACAGCTTGGAGCACCAAGTCTGTACACTGCCCGGTAGTATACCATCGGTGCCGTCCGTGGCAGGTTCAGACTACATCATCACTGCTTTCTCCTATAACCCTTCTGACCTGTGGCGGAATTGGGGCCTTATCATAGTTTGGATCTTTGTCTATATGTTTTTGAATACCGTCTTTGGTGAGCTGCTCCACTATGGCGCAGGAGGGAGAACTGCCACCTTTTTCCAGCAGGAGAACAGTGACCGAAGGAAGTTGAACGAAACCCTTCAGGAGAAGAAGCAGCGTCGACTCCGGAAAGAGGGCACCGATCCCGGCTCTGATCTTGATGTCAAATCGAAATCGATCTTGACGTGGGAGAATCTGACCTATGACGTCCCAACTCCTGCGGGTCAAATACGTCTGCTAAGAGACGTCTTCGGCTATGTCAAGCCAGGCGAGCTCACTGCACTGATGGGTGCCAGCGGAGCTGGGAAGACAACCCTCCTCGACGTGCTCGCGTCAAGAAAGAACATTGGCGTTATTGGTGGTGAAGTGCTGGTAGATGGTGTTAAGCCAGGTATTGCTTTCCAGCGCGGTACCTCCTATGCCGAACAGCTCGATGTGCACGAAACGACGCAAACGATACGCGAAGCCTTGCGCTTCAGTGCAGATCTCCGCCAGCCATACGAAATCCCCCAGTTGCAAAAATACGACTACGTCGAGGAAGTAATCTCGCTTCTGGAGCTTGAAGACCTCGCAGACGCCATTATCGGAGACCCACCATCTGGCTTGTCTGTGGAGGAGCGCAAGCGTGTCACAATCGGCATCGAGCTAGCTGCCAAACCAGAGCTATTGCTCTTTTTGGACGAACCGACATCAGGTCTAGATTCACAATCCGCTTTCAATATTGTCCGCTTCCTCCGTAAGCTCGCTCGGGCCGGCCAAGCCATTCTTTGCACGATCCATCAGCCAAACAGTACCCTGTTTGAGAATTTCGATCGTCTGCTGCTACTACAGCACGGTGGAGAGTGTGTTTACTTTGGAGACATCGGCAAGGACGCCGAGATTCTAATCGACTACTTCCGCCGACACGGTGCTGAGTGCCCACCCAAGGCGAATGTGGCGGAGTGGATGCTTGACGCTATTGGAGCTGGCATTTCTCCACGGATTGGGGAGCGAGACTGGGGCGAGGTATGGCGGGAGAGTGATGAATTTGCCGCCGCGAAGAGAGAAATCAATGAGATGAAGGAGTCGCGCATGCGGGCCGTTGGAGATGTGCCGAAAGTTGAAGAGAAAGAATATGCCACTCCTCTCATGCATCAGATAAAGGTCGTCACCTGGCGCACCAACCTCAGTTTCTGGCGCAGTCCTAATTATGGGTTTACTCGGCTCTTCAATCACGTTGTCATCGCTCTCCTGTCTGGCCTCGCTTTCTTGAACCTCGACAACAGCCGAACATCCTTGCAGTACCGTGTTTTCATCATATTCCAAGTCACCATCATACCCGCTCTAATCCTCGCTCAAGTTGAGCCCAAATACGATCTCAGCAGACTCATCTTCTACCGTGAATCCGCCGCCAAAGCATATAGACAATTTCCTTTTGCGCTGGCAATGGTCATCGCCGAATTGCCGTATTCGATACTCTGCGGTAAGCTACCACTGTCACCCCCTTGAGCGTGTCTGTCCCACAACCATGCTGTACTGACCCTTCACACCTCCAGCCGTTGCATTCTTCCTGCCCCTCTACTACATTCCCGGTCTCCAACCCGACCCCTCCCGCGCCGGCTACCAATTCCTCATGATCCTGGTCGTGGAGCTCTTCTCGGTAGCACTCGGTCAAGCGATTGCCGCCATTACGCCTTCAGCATTGATCGCGGCGCTCCTCAACCCTTTTGTCGTCATCGTCTTCGCCCTCTTCTGCGGCGTCACCATTCCGAAACCCCAAATCCCGTACTTCTGGCGCGTGTGGCTGTACGAGCTCGTCCCTTTCACGCGGCTGATAGGGGGGATGGTGACGACGGAGCTGCATGATAGGGTTGTGGAGTGCACGGAGCTGGAATTCAATCGGTTCGAGGCCCCCCGTGGGCAGAGTTGTGGGGAGTATATGGCTAGGTTCTTTGAAAACGGGGGTCCGGGGTATTTGAGGGATAATCTTACCAGTGCGTGTGAATATTGTGCGTACAGGGTTGGGGATGAGTTCTATGAACCTTTTGGCTTCTCGTTCGATTATCGTTGGAGGGATCTCGGCATCCTGTCAGCCTTTATCGTGAGCAGTTCGATCATCTTGTTCACTGCGAGCAGGTTTTTGAATTTCAATCGCAGGTGAAGCAATAATGCACTGGCCACGACGAGATGGACGGGTTCGTGAAGGAGAAGTGTAAGCCAGCAGGGATTTTGAGCTCTCAGAAATCTAGTGATGACCAACATATGCATGAAAATAGGATGGATGGGGGAAACGGTGCAGACGGGCAAGAATGGTAAAGAGAAGGAAGAAACAAAGATGGAATGATTTGAGGAAAATGAAGTTGTTAAATATGCCGACTATCTAGGGATCTGAAAAATTGTATGCTGTATTTCTGCTTCTTTATTTCTTCCCCCTGAGTTGCGCCCCTTTTATATCATGACAGATCTACACATTTGCCAGCGTTTGTCGCGAGCATTCTAATGCTCTTCAATTCTTGCTATCATTTGCATTTCAGAAGCGAGCTGTCCTCGCCAAGGTATGATCACTTGCTAGGAACTGCGAAAGAGGGGCCCTTGGAGGAGGAGGAGGAGGAGGAGGAGGAGGAGGTTGATCTACCATAGCGAATTTCGCATGCTGATAGGTATACCTATACTTATACGTACGTATCTGCGGCTTCATGCGGGAACGCTATGGCTCTGGAGTATCATCTGCATCTTTGATAGCCTCCCTCTTTCTCCCCTCCGTCGCCTTCGAATCATGATAAGCCGAGGCTCGCACAGGAGGTTATGGGTATGAGATGTTGAGCTGGTAGCATACCACATATGGTACTTGGTGGTGGTGGATTGGCGGAGGGCGGTATGCCTGCTTCCCGGCTTGCGAAATAAGAGATGAGTGAAGGGCGAGATGCAATGCGAACACCATCGCTTGATCTTACAGATGTATGAGCCGAGACCTTTTTCGTCTTTCCGGGTCCCCGCTCCGTGTGAGCCCAGGACTATTCGTTCTCACCACGAGCGCCTGCTCCGTTATTGGTGTGAACTTTCCGTGACTGGCAACCGAAAGCGCTTGTTAATATCGTGGCATATTTGATCTTTTGCTCATTCACCGAAGATATCCCAAATACTCCATCCACTACCACCATCACCACCTCCTCCCCCACCGCCACCCCCAACGTCTCCGCCTTGACCGCTCCATGGATCTTGTCCATCTTGGCCCCAGACATCTTCGCCTTTACCTGCTCCTTCCCCTTGACCACCCCAGCCATCCGGACTACCATCTTGTTGGCCCCACATATCGCCATCTTGTTGGGGTGGTGCCTGTGGTGATGCATCATCCACCGGCGGCGGTTGTTGCGGCGCTTTCCCTCCCATACCTCTCTGTATTGCTTCGTAGCCTGCTATGCTCCCAGCTCCGGCTATCGCACCTTCTTCTGCACCAGCTGCTCCACCAACTGCTCGCCCTGCACCACCAGCCGCTGCACCTGCTGCGCTTCCCTCAGCACCTCCAACAGCAGCACCAGCCGCTGCACCGCCCTCTGCGGCCTCTCCACCACCCATCCAGAGGGGCATCATCCCTATCCCGCTGCCGTGGGAGTGGCGAGAGAAGTAGTCATAATCCACCGTCACTGCTGTTGCCAACATAACCGCTCTTTGGTCTAAGGTCATACCCGTTTCACCTTTCTCACCTGCAACGACGTCTTTGTATGCCTTTTCCCCATGTGCTGTTTTGGATATGATATGTCTCTTGCTTGCCTCCTCCTCTAGCCCTGCAGCATCCATCCTTAAAGCGTAAACACCCGTGTCGGTAAAAATCTCTCGTGCGAAACCGGCGAAGTTCCGATTGACGGAGCCGATGAGCTTATTGGACGAAGAGCGTAGGGAAAAGTCCCAGGAGAGAGGTGGTTCCTCGATGTAGGCGAATTGGACGTATTGGCCTTCACCAGCGCCGCCGGATTGCGCTGCTACTTGGGCTTGTTGTGCTGCTGATAGGTCGAGGCCAGTAGCGGATACCGGTGTGCTAGTTTCGCCCGGAGGCTGGTGAAAGAGGAAGAGATTGTATTTTCGCTTCAGTGGAGCCCATTGTGACTGTACTTCACCGATAATGCGCATGTCTGAGAGAGGTAGAGTGGAGATTTGGGCGGGCTGATCTGTTGCACTGGAGATCATGGCGTGCGAGGTGCGGCCTAGGGATCCGGGGGCGGAAGGAAGCCATGAAGCGGATTCTAGAGGGTCGTAGACACGTATTTGGGAGTTGATCACCGAGAAAGGTCGGTGGAACTGCCAGATGTCAGGGCTGTTGCTCCACAAGATCAGGTCAGTTTCGGTAATCGTACCCTAAGAACCTCTTTTTGCTCCCTGTTAAAGATATGTGTAGTAAAAGCTCGATGCGTTCTCAGCATCTGTCTTCCTATTGATCTCCCAAACCCTCCATCATGCTCCGCCATGTAGCCAACATGGTTTCCATGTGGATCCATGATGACATATCGGTTCGCCTGCTCAAATCCGAGCAAAATATTCATCATCTCAATTTGCCTCTGTACCACCAGCCCCGAATTGGCCAGAATGGAGGTGGCTGGATGCGTTTCCTTGAGAACGGCATTGGGGTCTTCTGGGATGTGGACGGGGGCAAGGAGATTGTTCTCGGAAGGCGAAGCCGAAGCAAGGGCATCGGATATCGAGGGGGTCGACGAGGGAGTTCCTTGCGCTTGAGCAGGAGAAGGCTCAGGCTTTTTGATGTGAAGAGAGGAGGAACGAGAGGGGTAGGATTGCTTAGACGAAGCTACACGCTTCGAATCGCGCTTCGCTGACCGAGGTTGATGAAGACGAGAAGCGCCGCGTTGACGCACTCCTGAGATACGAAAAGCTGGCAAGCATAGAGATCGGCCAGACTTCTTACTGACCGGTAACATGGTGGCACCATGAAGGGCGATGAAGTCATCCCTTGGGTTGCGGAGCAGTTGAGCCTATCTTTTCACGATTGTAAACAGCCAACCAAACGTCATCGCGACCGCTAGTCATACAGTATTATACAATTCTCTACAACTCATTTGACGAGGTTACCATGACTACGAACAGACAAGTACTGTACCATAATAGTTCTTTATAAGGAAACATCACTTTATAGCATGTCTGTCATACAGCAGTCATACCGCTATCATACCGCTATCATACCGCTGTCATACCGCTGTCATACCGCTGTCTCTACCGAGGATTATGGACCGAGGATTATGGACCGATGACCATTCCCAAATGTTGGTACCGACTACTACTAAGTTAGTTAAGTATTAAGTAACAATCTTCTTATGGCAAACCCTTGGGATATTGTTGGGGACACTCGCTTGGGCATTCTCTTAGGGCACCCTGGGGCGTCCCCTGGAAAATCACCTACAACGAGAGGGCATCCTTTGGGGGGCATTTTTAGAGATACCCTCTTCAGCCACTCTCTTGCTGTACGTTGCCCGTTATTGTACACTTGTTGCTTGCGGTACGCTTGTGAGTTGATACTTAAAGCATTCTATTAGATACATCTCGTTATACCCATATTAGGTTGAGTCCGTAGTCTTCTGTGACATCAAAACTGTGATTTATAAGAGGAATATCAGTACATGCTGCAAGAGGAGACCTGTATAACCTTCTATCATGACGGAAACTGATCTGGAAGTTCGAAGTTTTTGGCGCCCAACCTAATAATGGTCCGCCGTAGTAATTTAACTTACCCCTATTTAGACCCAATGCACTTCTTACTACATATGCTCAATCATCTACTCCCTACGTCGTGGAAGTCGTGCCCCAAACTTCCTCCTGATGGCCATCCATCTTTGTAGACAAGCGTGCTTGTTGGCCCCGCTCATCCATCCATACAGAAGCTACTGGTGAGACTGATTCCAAGTCCTTTCGGCGGTTCGACAGAAGTGGCGGATGAGGTTTCTCCTGAACCATTACCAGAATGGTCCTTCACTCCCGCTCCAGGCTGTTGTTTCCAGCTTGTGTTTTGGCCCTCATCCTTGTCGTGTTGTTCTTGCGGTCGAATCGGAACCAAGTATCGATCCGGAGTTCTCTGCCAGATGCGCAACCCGAGAAGGATGACTCCAATTCAACACCAATACAACCTAAAGTGCTGGGTGCATTTCCTCGTCCAAGGTACCAGCCAGGAACTCCTAAACCTGCAAGCCAGAACTATTCCAGGACGCTCGTCATAGCCAGTACATCCAAGGAGGACACTACGTGGCTGGCTGAACTTGCCAACGAGCCAGATTTGTCCACAGCTGTCTATGTGGTGGACGAGCCGCATGCTTCGCTCACCGTTCCGAAGAACAAAGGCCATGAAGTGATGGTCTATCTCACGTACATCATCGATCATTACGACAAGTTGGGTGACATAGCCATCTTCATGCATGCTCACCGAGTTACCTGGCACAACAATGACCTCATGTTCTCGGATGCTGTCGAGATGGTAAGACGGCTGAGTAGTCCCAAGGTTACTCGCGATGGATATATGAATATGCGATGCCACTTGGATCCAGGTTGTCCTGACCATATTCACCCTTCTGTAGCAGACGACAATGATGGCAACATACCTGAGGCAATCGTCATTGGCAGAGCGTGGCTAGAGCTATTTCCCAACGCTGAAGCGCCTCCGACGGTACTCTCACAACCATGTTGTGCACAATTCGCCTTGAGCAGGGAAAGGATCCGGAATTTACCATTAGAGCAATATATCTTCTTCCGGAGATGGCTCCTGGACACAGACCTTGATGACCGATTATCTGGCCGGGTCTGGGAGTATGTTTGGCAGTACATTTTTGCGGGTGTCGACGAGTTCTGCCCTGTTGAAAGTATCTGCTACTGTGATGGTTACGGTATTTGCTTTGGAGGCGAAGAAAAGTATCAGGAATGGTTTGCGATAAGGAGAAAGAGTAGGGAGCTTGCGGACCTCAAAGGGTCGCTCGGTGATGATGAGAAGGCGGTAGAACAAAAAGCCAGCATTCAAGTACGGTTGACCGAATTGGATCTCAAATTGTCCACCATGAAAAAAGATGCATTCCTACGAGGAGAAGACCCAAAGAATCGAGCTCTCGAAGCTGGCAGAGAATGGAAAGATGGAAATGGCTTTTGAAGAGCAGTGAGCGGTTTACTGCTAAGAAGTCCTGACATCCCTGCCAGTTCTTGTTCATCCAGCCTTCTGTGGAAGGTAACCTCGACGACTGGTGCCCTGGGCTCGGCATTGCAGTGACTGATAAAAACAAGTCATGGCAAAGTTCACGCACTCTAGAAGGACCACTTGCATCTGATATGCATCTCCATCCATCGACCTGGCTCTTTTGGTGGAATCATGTTGTGAAACTTCATCAATCTGAGCCTCAATGTGACTGGTCTTGAGAAGATATTGTCTCTGACAAAAATTATGCATTTAGTTCCGCTTGCAGGAACTTCGACATCCCTCGGTCGATCAACTCGGCGATGATCCAGTCTAGTGCTCGGTCTAATCTGTCTTGGTTGCAACCAGCCGTGCCATGATCTGTTGCGGATGAGTTAGAGGTTGCATTGCGGCATGATTACATCTCGAGGAATCTCTGGGTTTGAGTTTCAATGTCCTTTTCAATCTTCAATCATCTGGACTAATCTTCACATGAAGCTGTGTGGTTCGCTCCAAATAGTACTCGTCAAACCAATACTGTCCGCTGTGGCCACCAGTTCCAGTCTCTTCTTCTTGGTACTCAGTGCCCTCAAACTTCTGCATTGCCTGTTGTTGGTAGTCCCCATAATTTTCTTCATCATCCGAGACCTCGCCAATCTCTTCGATTTTGAAGGAATTGCCCTTCGCTGATCCGTAGCCAAAGGGAAACCACTTTGCTGCAGCTGCCTGCTTCGCGGCTTGAAGCCGAACCTTGTCGCCCGGATACAAGATTTGCTTTTCGAGCCTTGGATGCCTCGTGTTTGGTTTTCTGGCCCGAGTCTCTGCCCAGACATTGGAGCTCTGTGGTACATTCTCGAGAGCACGACGAGCTTCCTCTGAACCCCAGTCTAAGTGGACAACATAGCAAGGCAAGATCTGCGAAGCCTTGAACACTATGTATTCAAGCTCATTGTTGCCAACATGAGAATCTGAGTTTGGGTAGGGATAATCATGAAGCCGCCAGTCATCATCACGTCTCAGAGTGACCGCTCTCCCCATTATGGTCGCACAGACAATCAGCCGGACAGATGGGACGTCGCTACTGTTCACGGCCGTTGCGGAGGAGCCGACGTATGATAAGGAGAATTCAGGATTTGGAGATGAATAAATACCACGGCCATAAGTGTTTCCACAACGTACTGCTACCACCTCTGACGTCTTTCCAATATTCTGACCCGGTTTCAAGAAGCCGTACCGCACGATAGATGCCACATATCTTTTCATGGTACCGTGGAATGTCAACCTAGGCCGCACCAGATGCTCCACAAGGTCAGCTTTAGTAGTACCCGAGAAGATGCTTTTTCCTATGTACCTCGGGACGCAGGCCCGGAGCTCGTCGTATGGCCGGCCAAGAAGATGTTTTCGCATGGTTTCTTGACATTCCACGAATCGACCAGCCAGATTTTTCCGTAATATACTTTCAACATGGAGGATGCGGAAATTGCTCGGAATACCGGCACAGATCGTTTTTGGAGTCATGCCGAGGATATGGTGAGCGGTATCGGCAATGCTATCAAGGTTCAGACCGAAAGGGTTGTCCAAGATAGACTTCCAATCCGATACATAATTCGCATCCCACCCGTGCTGCCAGACCTTATTGTTTGGCTTCAGACCCAGCTTAGTTGATCTGACTTCTTCTCTCCAAGCAAGCAAGTGAGCACTGGCGGCCTCCACCAGGCGGAGAAGGAGTGTTGCAAAGTCCAGAACACCACTGATCTTGGCAAATTCTCTATCAAGCATGCACTGAAGATCTCTGCTCATCACTTCCACCACATCCCTCGGTAGACGACGACTGGATACGAAGATTGAGCACGACTCTTGGTCAGAACGGTTCGTGACCCGCAAAACCGTCTCAGCGTAAGAAAAGACCCAGTCATCTTCACGGCAATCCCAGTGCCGCACATCCTTTGGTATGAATGCATCGATCAGGTCATTAAATTCTTGCGCTTCTTTTTCTTTGAAGTTTATAAACCCTCGGGGCCTAGCCAGCCATGCAGGCCGATACAACAAATACGCGTCAGAGTAATGTCTTTCAGGCACCTTGAGACGGTGGCTAGCCATCGTGATTGAGTGCTTTTCCAAGCTCTTAGCACAAAAAATGTATGATCACGAAGATACGGCTTGACAAACCCCGTTCTGTTTCTTTACAGTCAGAGTGCCTCTACAAATTTCGCCACCATGCGCCAATACTGAGGAAGCTCACCACGTGTGCAAAAGAAAAGAAAAAGTAATGGCTAGTTAGGAGTTGAAGGATTTTCCGTCTTCAAGACAGAACCCTGACTCATGAAGCACTAGAAGAATTTGTACTATAGACAAAGTGGTCAAGAACAGTCAGGAAAGGAGCGATGGAAGGTCCTGGAAGTGAGAATTAGGTGAAAGAAATTTGGAAAGGCAAGATATAAATCCGATCAGACTTTCAAACACCGTCAGAGAGCGGCCTAAGCTCTTGTGCCTGCTTCGGTACACGCTTGACCTGATTAGGCAGAATCACTGACTGGTACAGTAGTTCTGCAGAAGCAATGACTCATCCACAAGGTGAGTCAGAGCAAGTCTTCATCGACAGAAGGAATTTCCGCCATCATGAAAGAAGCTAGAACCTCCATTGTTCTATACAGCCCTGTCCCAGCTTCTTATCGTCCCGATAGTATCCACGACTCTGCTTGTTTATTTGGACATCCAGAGCGCTCAAAACCCTAGCTCGCGTTAGATGGGAAAGGTTGGTGCTATCTTTGGGCCAGATGAATTGAATGAGCACCATTTTTAAACCGACTAGAGTGGAGGAGGAGAGACGACACGATCCGGAGGCGTCAGCAATACATGCTCCATTATCGATCAGACCGATGAGCATCATATGATTCCAACCCTGTTTCATGTTGATTGGGATGCTAAGCTATACAAACAATGGAGCAGGACACTATCACTCATCTTGTGTCTACCCAACTAGGATAGTTGCAATAAGTATAGATGTCTGTTTCGAAACCTTCTGAAGAAGCTGTAGGGTATTCAATTCTTTGGTCGCTCTAATTTATGTATTCCAGTTTGGTTTGAGAACTTAGCGGTGGAGAAACTCCATCTGTATCGCAGGACTTGCGTGCCTCGGAACAGCAGGAGCTGATGCCCCAAACATAATGCACCAGTAAACATGGCTAAGAAGACATGAAGAGTTGAACTGCAGTGACCAAGGGCTCCTAGCCAAGACAATGATGAATCAGTAGGGCTTCAGCAATAACTTGAACCTTGTTGGCGATTCAGGTTAATACATGTTGCGATGGTCAGCTCAGCATTGACATACAGCTGTCTAGATCTATCTATGCTGATGGAGCTCCATGAGATCTGCATACGATGGTCATAAAGCCAAGCTCAGTACTCGTATGCACAGCACATTTACAGCAGAGATTGCATGACGTCAGACTCCTCATGCCTCGAAGGGTCTCTGTTAACTTGAATATGTCCTGCTTCTCGAGCCGTCTACCACTTGATGAGTTATCTTCTTGAGAGTGACGGGGAACATCACTTCTCAAGCAGTTGCTTATAAATGCCACAGCTCCATTCGTTCCTCGCGCTTTGCCTGGCCTCTATCCAGCATTGACATCTTTCATGTTGAAATGGCGCGAACCAGAGCTCAGTCGCAAGCAGCCGCGTCTGAGAAAGGAGCAACGTCCAAGCCTAAGGCCGTGAAGGAGGAGAAACCCAAATCTCAACGTCCAGAGAAAAAGCCGGCGAAGTCGCGCACACCTAAAAAGTCCGCCACGGGCAAACGTGCCCATGAAGAAGTGCAAGAGAGCCATGAAGACAAAGCGAAGCAAGGGCCAACCAAAAAGAGTAAATCCTCAGAAGCAACCAGTGACGGGCGAGCTCACATCTCAAACCCAAAGGTGGAATCGATTCTATCAAAATATGGCGTACTGCCGCTGCAAAAATCCAAACTTCCTGCGCCGGATCAACCACTACCTGAGACCATGCTTGCCCTCGTCTTCAATGCCATGCTAACCTCAGCTCGTATCTCGCATGAGATTGCTGCACGAAGTGTATCATGTTTGATTGACGCGGGATACCATGATATTCAAAAGCTGAAGAACAGCAGCTGGCAAGAGAGGACGGAGGTACTAACAGAAGGTGGTTACACGCATTATCGTGAGAAAACTGCTACAATGCTGGGCGACTTGGCTGATTTGGTTCTTGACAAATATGGTACGTGGGATTTCATCATACCAAGGCTCAAACGGATTCGAACGCTCACACACTCTCCGCAGGTGGCGATCTCAACAACGTTCTCAAGTGAACAGATTCCTCCCCGAGCCAGATCCGTGCCGCATTGAAGGAGATCAAAGGTATTGGCGAGGTCGGCCTGGACATCTTTTGCGACACCGCACAAGCTGTCTGGCCTTGTCTTGCTCCTTTTATCGACCCCAGGAGCTTGAAGACCGCACAGCAACTCGGACTGGGGAGTGTTGAGGAGCTTTGGCAGGAGGTGGGCAAAGATGCGCTCATGATGTGCAAGTTGGCGACTGCTTTGACAACAATCCGTCTCGGTAAGAAGACTAGCGAGTTCACCTGACGATGGATGACTTGTACGACGAGTGGATTATGGGGTAAAATACGAGGCTACTACGCGGAGTACGTTCTCTTGAACACATGTTCGGATCTTTAATAGTGGTCCTTGATTGGCAGTTGACCGCAAACCGGAAGGTTCACCTCGTGATACTCAGCAATGTGTCTTGATATTCAGTAAATTTTCTAGGACTCCGAAGAAGCACGATTGATTGAGTACTAGCCTTCGAACTTGACGATAATCATTCAATAACGCGTCTCACGGTCAACTACTTGTTCCCGTATTGTACTCTATGTGGTTCACAGCACTCTCCTTTTCAGAGGCAATCTTTTCGCAGGATTTTCTTGCACAAATCTCGGCAGGTCACCTGATTTTACGTTCATTAGTTTGAAAAGAGTTAAAAACAAAAAGAACAAGCCATCGCTGAATCTGAACTAGCCACCTCTTGAGTACTCCATTACGAAACTCCTTGCGACTACCCAAAGATCGAAAATTCACGGATCTACCATCTCCAGACTCTGACGCTTTTCGAACACTTAGTTGGGGCCCAAGTCTCATGACGGATTCGTTATCGCTTTTGGCGATTCGTAGACTTGATGGATGAATTCAAAACGCCCTCTTACGCAAAGACCAGATAAATAGGAATCGGAAAAGGATATGCGTGATCTGATTTGATTCGAAGCGCGAGTTATAAGGAATGGATAGAGACGTTACTCAGGATTATGAGTGTGCTACGAAATACTTCTACATCGCATAGAGTAAAGCTTGAATTCACCAGGGACTCCTCGCATGACAAAGGAAAGAAAAATGGCGTTAGACGGTGGATGTTAGATAATAAGGACATTGTAAATAAAAGTTTATTCGCCCTCTTCCTTCTGCCTCCTCTGCATATTCCTCCTATCCATCCGCTTATGTCTCCAGATAAGGAACCATGCCACAACCAGCGCCGCTCCCGACACCGACGCCACGGTAACGGCCAAAATCTCATACCACGACAGCGGATCCGCTGTTGAGTTGATGATGATTGCATCCCCCTTGGAGGCATTTGATTCCTCCCTTCCCGTTTGGGTGGGAGTGGCTGTGGCCGTAGTCATCGCCTCTTCCCGCGTCGGCGACCCACTCTGCACAACCCACACCTCTTCTCCCTCCGTGTACTTGCACTGATCCCTTACCCACTCCTGAAGCCTATCCTTTCCACGCTGTGTGCACTGCTGCTCGCAGTCGAAGACGGAAGCGTGTTGGCAGAAGCACGACTGCTCCTCGGTAACGCATCCATAGTTGAACGAACCCTCTCTGATACAGTCCCTTGCGCACCCGGGAGCGAGAGCGAAGTCAATGGTCTTGAGGCTGCCGCAGGTGTTGCGATACCAGTCCTCGACACGCATCCACCCGGCCCAGGGGCAGGCCCAGGCGCAGGCGATGGGCTGCGGAAGAGCGCAGAAGCATTCTTCCTCGTACTGGTAACACCCGTTGACGTGTTGGGCACAGGGCGTGTCGAGACGAGGGCAGGGGAGGGGGGTGGAGCTGCAGGAGGTGAAGAAGGAGGCCATGGAGCAGTCGTCGGGAATGAGACTGGGGTCGACAGCGGCGGAGACGGGCTTGAGGGTGCTCGGAGCGAGAGAGAAGAGGGCCATTACAAGTGGGGCCGCTCTTCTGTTCATGATGGCCATGACTGAGTGAATAGGTTGATGACTCGGTCATGGAAGAAGTTCTGGGAGTTTGTCTGGGACTTTGCAAATTCGGATAACGTGATAGCTGAATGCAGCAGGCGGCGAGCTTTGACAGAGGTGGAACAAACCCAGCTGGCTCATCTCAGTCTGGAGACCGTTTTTCGCAGTCTTGTCTCATCGACCGATGCATTGCAGAGACGAAAGTATCGACCAGATTTATGACTGCATAGGTGGGACAAATAACAATAAGTCTCTACTTTGTTCGGCGCTATAAGATGGTGGCGTGAGCTGAAGAGGGGTTGCGGCTATCAGGTAGCTGTTGAGTTGGGGGCGTTTGTGATTGAAGGCCAATGGAAGTTGAGATAGACTCTAGAAGGCGAACAATGAAAGTTTGGGTACGCATGGTGGGACGGAGTAAAAGGTAAGTAAGGCAAGGGTACCAACAATGCAATAGTACCCACAATGTAATAAGATTTCCTGGCACCTTTTCCATTCCAACTGCATTTCCAAGCTGTTAATTTCAGATCACCGCGAGTTGAGCCTTTTGGCCTATCTGAGACTATATGACAACGTGGTTGTACTGCCAGTGTGAGACGTAAAAATCGAACCTCCAGTGTAAAATGCCAATTATTACGTAGTAGATTATATTACTGCTAGTACTAGTACTAGTACTACTACGTTAGTACTCGATACTGATATAGTACGCAGTACTAGTGGTAAGAATTGAAGTGCCAAGAAATCCTACTGCATTCTGGATGACTACTACTAAGTACTATTGCTTTATTTACTATGTTATTGGTAGCCTTGCGCGTTCGAGCAGACACATCACCACTGCCTGTCAGAATCCCTGCGCATACGATACGTATCTGTTACGTATTAGCAGGATGATACAGGGGTCCCCGCATGCGAAACGCACGAAACGCTCTTGTAACTTTTACGCCCTGTTATTTATGGCAGTGAGCATTGCTATACGAATTGAACGCCAAATGCTGTTTCTGAGCTGTTGCAGTAATGCGCTTCTATAGCTATTAGTGTGAGCCAAATGCTCCTCTTGATAGGAGTAACTCAATCAATTCAATTGGTATCTCCGTACGCTATTTGCTACATCCTCTAACACTGCCTTGGTCCACTGCCTTGGTCCACTGCCTTGGTCCACTGCCTTGGTCCACTGCCTTGGTCCACTGCCTTGGTCCACTGCCTTGGTCCACTGCCTTGGTCCACTGCCTTGGTCCACTGCCTTGGTCCACTGCCTTGGTCCACTGCCTTGGTCCACTGCCTTGGTCCACTGCCTTGGTCCACTGCCTTGGTCCACTGCCTTGGTCCACTGCCTTGGTCCACTGCCTTGGTCCACTGCCTTGGTCCACTGCCTTGGTCCACTGCCTTGGTCCACTGCCTTGGTCCACTGCCTTGGTCCACTGCCTTGGTCCACTGCCTTGGTCCACTGCCTTGGTCCGCTGATGTTGGACCCAAAGGATCGTAAACTAGCTTTTGATTGACAGCGACACTTCCGCTCCTGTCGCACAGTTAGCTACTCGAGTACTATGCTAGTCCGTTCTCGCCAACTGCACCACCTGAAACAGCATGCTGCCGGATGAAGAACTCAAGAAGAGCCAGGTGACGGGTCTACCCCTGGTTCCGCTGCTTTGTTTGGTTGCTGAAAGTGGTCCTGACCTCTGCATTGATGCCCTGTTCAAAACGTCTCCAACAGAACGCCTCGACGAAACCCAGCTCTACCGGCTCTTCGTGCCTCTCATCAAGTCAGATGCGTACGCCGTACAACGCATACCCTGGCAACGATTTTCCCTCCATAAGGCTCCAGAGTAGACATATCACACCTTTCGCCCACAATAACGACAGGGTTGCGCAATAGCGCCTTCTACCTCAGACTTCCTAAACTAATATCAAGAGCTCATTGCTTCGGATAAAAGAGCCTTGTTCTTCAGCTCAGTGATTTGTGTCGGGCTTCTCCCCCTCGTGTACTTTTTGCATCCTTAATGTGAGGAATTCGATTCAGCATTTGGCTATTTCCAAAAAAAAAAAAGGAGAACTACTTCCATTTAGGATATACGCTGATGAGCAACCATTGCCTGCTGGTTCCGCCGTTCTACAGAAGCTCCTTTGGTTCTCGTCAGAATGGCAGACCGAGTCCTCGCTATTGGATTCGGAGGAGCGCACACTCACCTTTCTGCCCTTTCTCTCAAGAGAGGTATATCTCATCTCGTCAAACCCCATGACAAAGACGCATCACTAACCGGATGAATTTCCACTACCGCATTCACAGGCATCAGCTTCTCTTCCTTCAAATTGTCTCTCAGTCCTCTCGATCGAGTCCTGACCGTAGCCCTCCTCCTCCTCCTCCTCCTCCTCTTCGCTACCACCACCGAAGCCGCTCACTACAGCAAATGCTGCGTCCTCGGCGCCCGTGACCAACTCAACATCTTCACCGAAGAGCTTCCTTGGGATGTCTGTCACTACAACAAAACGGTGTCCTACCCAGCCGACCCAGTCTCCCCTTCCGTAAACAGGACTAAGGGGTGGTGTATAAACAACTGCCAGGGAGCCCAATGGAGCAATGCCACTCAGTGGATCCAGCCACTCGCTTCGTGGATCGCACCGTATACCGGACTACTCCTACTGTGTCCCGTCGGCGGAAAGCCAGAGAAGACAGAGAAGAAAAGGCCAGAACGGAGCGAGGAACCGGCGACGTCGATGACTGGGGATGAGGCGCCCCCAGCACACAATCCAGCCCTAAAGTCAGGTTGGATGACCAATAGATTCCACTGGCAGAAACTTCGAACCACGTGCCAGGAAGCTTACACGTGGTGCTGCAATGCCGCTGAATATCTCCGCTTCCCAGCGCAGGAGTATGTCATGCTGATCGGTGACCCGGCAAGTGCGCTCTGGGGCTCTTTCGCGGAGCTGCAGCACGACCGGCTCATGGTGAGGGACTTGTCCCGGCCGTCGCGGCTGGAGCCGAGGCTCCGTCAGACCTTCGTGATCATGGTGGACGACACGGTATATGATCCTGACTTGACGAGGCAGTTAGGCGAGAAGATCGAGCGAGTGGTGTCCCCACCAATACATCCAGGTGAACTGCTTGTCGAGCAGAAAGTAAATGCACCATGGCGGTGAAGGAGTACAAGACGAATTCTAGCTAACGTGGGCTCTTTCTATAGATGACCTATGACCCGGTAAAGACGACAGCAGTCGACACCATCAACGAAAAGGATCCCCAATCCGTCTCCACGATCAACAGAGTAGCCGCTACGAGCAACATCCTTGTGCACGATTACGATTACAAGTCTCTAGTGGACCTCGAGCGCGCCCTCCGCAGCGTCGTGGAAGCGCGGGTCCCCTTCATTACCGCAATCGCGCTTCCCGCGGTGCTGATGCTAGCAGTGGTGGCCTACGATGCATATAACAAGCTCGGTGATAATGACACAGTGCACTCGATCGCCTACGGGGTGTTCTACTCTTGGATCGTCGTGTTGGCCGTCGTTGGCAACTGCGCGGCTACAAGCGTGAACGCAGGGGTGCTAGACAACACCTTGGGCGGGGTGGTGGGGTTCAAGTTCCACCCGCAGGTGCCGCTACGGAAGCGATATTCGAACGCCGTGCGATGGTCCGCATGGAGGTACAATGTCGAGGGTCGATTTTGGGTGGTTCTTCCATCTCCACTTCTTCACTGGCCAGGTGCTGGGGTGGCTGGTCGTGGCGTTGTCATGCGCATGCGCGGCGTCGATCTCGTACACGACGCCGACGGTGGGGATGGGGTGTCGGTCGTTCACCTTCGTCTTGTACGGAGTATTGGCGTTCGCGGTGGCCTTTTTACTGGTACTTCGACACTTCATCATGGTTAAGGTGGAGATGTGCGATGACGCCGACCCCGACTCGAAGAGAACCTGGACCCGTCTGGACGTCGCGGTTAGATACGTCTACGGCTTCCTGGTGCTGTGCAATGCCTGCCTGCTCGTCCTCGGCACTGTGTTCAACCTCGCGGGTCTGTACCGAACATGTCGCTGCAAGCTGCTGTTCGCCAGCATGGACGCGCTCGTCGAGCTGAACACGAACACACAGCAATACTTGGACAACGCGAGGAAGTTCTGGTACCCGGTGGGGTACGTGGTGTTTACGCTTGTATGGATATTATGCGCGATGGCGGTTGCGCTGAGGAAGCATATGACTTTGCACCTCTTGTCGGCCCTTGAGAGACGAAGGTATGTCCGCACTGTCTTCTCTTACTGAGTGTGGATCTAGGAAAGGAAGCTAATGCGAACTGAAACTTAGCGAGGACCCGGAATCTGTGGAATGAGCCCGTAGGTCAAGCCTTAAGGCCAGCATCTCTTCGTACCAAACCACAGAAAGTTCGCCTACTAGGAGGAGCGCTTTCTAGAAGGACTGGAGTCTCTTTTGAAAAGGCAAAACCACTTGAGATGTCATATTGGCTAGGACTGCCAGAGACTTTAGCCCAAGTTCAAACTCTTAGCATCTCTGTGAAGTTCGAACAGAGCTTCCAATAATGCTATTTTCTCTTTTCAAGGTATCTTTCTTTAAGAGATGGATATCATTTGCTTTTCTCTTTTGCCGAAGCCTGAAGGTGTATGCATCAACAATGAACCTGGCGGTGCCTTGTGCTTACATATCTGTTCGATGTATCATGGCAGTGGTTAATGCCTGATCGACGAGGCGTCTAGGTCTGCTGCTGGGACTCGGCCGCATTTGACCACCTTAGTACATCATAGTAGGTAGTAATACTCCATCATCGAGCCAACTTCACGTTAGCTTTATGTCTATATTTTCCAAGAAACCATTCAACACCCGACTCATCCTGTCACCAACAGTGAACAAGATGCCCTTTCTCCGTGTCTCACGCCTCTTTTTCCTGTCAGCATTGTTCACGATCTTAATGAGATAGTGTGACAAATCCCATGCAAGTTAGATTGGCTCTGGGTAGCTTGAACGCTACAGACATACGGTCTCGTGGAAGGGGACAATTCATACGCTCAGGCGATATGCATAGACCGCTCGCTTATTTTGGGCTCAGAGAGAGGCAAGGTAGTCTTATAAGATCTCTTGCTATTAAGAAGTTTGATGTTTGAGGACTGTCTGGTACGGGTACAGGGCTAAGTAAATAATGTCACCCTCCTTGCGTGAGGCTTTATATCAGTACTAGGATAGACGCTGCAATGTCGCTCAACTAGGACTAAGTTAGCCTAGAATCAAGTTTGCATCCTATTGCCATCGATCGCTGCTTGAAATCTCGTTGGTATTGATCTAAGTAGCTCAATAAAGTAGGCCGTAGACACAGCATCCCACATAAGTTAGTGATGAAATGTGCTGAATAATCAACGGATCAGTAGAAATAGCAAGTTGTTCTATCTAAATCAGTGCGTAGAGCAAGCATTTATACGTACAGAGTTGGCTATATCAAGCGAAATAGCGCGAAATGCTGATACCAAAAATACATACGGAACTGATGCGAAACGCGTAGCAAGTCTGTAACAAAACGCCTGTAAAACGCATAGCAGAATAGCGCAAACTGTATTTTTGAATTCAACAGTTAGTTATTGACAGCTGCGGGTAATTTGTCAACTTACTTTATGTAAAAGAATATAGCAGCTTGATTGATTGACCCTTTATCAGCTCTGCATTCTGCAAGCTGCAGGAATGGCCTAGAATGGGAAGCATTATTCGTGGCTACAAGCATCGGCTTCGACCATTTCGGAGATAAATAAATAAGTAGAGTAGACAGCAACAGAGCCAGTTATCGATTCATAAGCATCATTTACCAACACCACCACAGCGTTCATTTAGAGCAGAAAACATAATATGGCCGAGAAAGAAGATATGACCGTGTCCAAAATAAAGCTTCGCGAAATCCTGGCCCCGGTAAACTTCGCTCCACCTGACCTGGGCCGTTTGGGTCAGCGATATCAGAGACCCCCAAGAACTTACGGAGAATCTTCACGATGTGATTAGCCAGATGGACTCTGCCGTACGTGCAAGTCAATCGACCTTCTGGACTTGTTCAGGAACGGTCTGCCTTTTGATCGTAGCGGATCCGTACCTCTTGATAGAGGCGTTCCCCTGGGCTATTCCGATGATATCGAAGCAAATGTTCGATGCCCACTCTGCCGCATTGTTGCCGATGCAGCCGATACGCTTACGCGTGAAGATGACAGAGAGGTGGAATTCTGGTTTCTCAAACCCGTCTTCGGGTACGAGGTATTGACCTTTGGGGAGAGAAGAAGTGACCCGGCGGCCCATGCAAGGCAGAAAGCTACCCCACCCACGTCTTCCGTATACCTGGGAGTCGCTCGCTCTTTTAAGATGCAGGATGAACATGGGTTCGGATACTACACGTCAGTGAGCAGTATTTATATAGGATTGCTCAACCAGGCGGAACTCACTGGGAGAACTGACTGGGCACCTCGCTTGCATGACCTTCAATCCGTGGACTTTGAGATGATTAAGAATTGGCTGAGTCGCTGCCGCAGCCATGAAACATGCAATCAACTATCTCCAGCTTCAGGTCACGGGCTCACTCTTAGGGTGTTAGACACCAAGCTCCTCCAGGTCATTGATTTACCCCACGGGTCGCCCTACATAGCACTCAGCTATGTCCTAGGCGGAATACCGCCTGTAGAACAAAAAGCCATTTACAAATTGTCTGAGCTTCCTCGCTTTTTACAAGACGCTATTGCTGTGGCCAACGCACTCAGCCATCGCTACATCTGGACGGACTATCTCTGCATCAGCAACACGGATTCCCTTCAACGAACTGCCGATATCGAGCGAATGGGCACCATTTATCGCCAGGCATTCGCGACCATCATTAATGCCCCTACTTGGGACAACCCGCAAGGCATCCCCGGTGTAAACGATTCTGATCGATGGGTTAGGCAAAGTTCAGAGCAATTTGATGGCATGACGCTCGTCACCTCCCATCTGTCGCTAGGAATGGTAGTCAAGTCAAGTGCCTGGGGCAGAAGGGGCTGGATATTCCAAGAAGGGCTCATGTCGCCGCGTTGTATTGTCTTTGGGCCAGAGCAAGTATACTATCAATGTGCAGGAGGGATATGGTGTGAATCGATGTTGGAACCTCTTTCCAACATGTCTCAATCCAACTCAAACGCCTCATTCCAAGGCACGCTGCGAGACCCTTTCCTGGACGAAAGCAGCGACTCAACCTCTTTGTATTGGTCTCTCGTTGAGGATTACACCAGTCGCAACCTGACCTTTCCAAACGATTCGCTCCGCGGATTCAAAGGGTTTCTCGAGTACTTTTCCACCTTGCGAAACATGTCGTTCTTCTGGGGTTTGCCCAACACGCCATCTCTCTCGCGCAACCTTTTGTGGTCACACACTCCTGCGCCGCACCAGTCAGTGACACGCCGTCCGGATTTCCCTAGCTGGTCGTGGGCGGGCTGGAGCGGTACCGCGTCCCTCAGTTATCTTGGAGAAGAGGACCCGCAGACTGTCTTTACTATGGGCTTGGAATACGACGGCAATGGTGAGGAGAATGCTGCAGGCGAGGAAAATCGTGCCCGCGAGGGGAATGTTGCAGGCGAGAAAAGTGAGGGTTTCGTGTTGAGGTGTACAGCGGACGTCGCAACTGTGCCCTTATCAGTCAAAAGCGCTTCTTTCGCGAGAGTATCCAACGCATCATATTTTGACCTCAACTGTGGGACTTCCGAGGGGCTCGGCTTCAATAAAACGAGACACGAGTATATGGAAGTTTATAGGGACCCAAATTTTACCTACGGGTTGCTGCTTCGTCCCAGAGCCGATGATCAGGACGTTTTTGAGAGGATGGGTAACGGATGGATGGATATCAGGACCTTGGCTCTTGTTCATCCGTCAAGGAAGACTCTAAAGCTGGGATGATACGCCCTCTGGGTACCTGGTGCAATCCTCCGTTCAACGCTGAAGCCGTCTTCCACCGCTCAATGCATTTTCCAACCGACTCCAAACCAGAAAGGATGCGAGGGCGATCCAGGAATAGGGAAAAGGGTCCAGAATTTCCCCACCAAGAGGTTCGACCGGTCACGAAAAGCGGGTGTTGAAAAGAGTAGGCAACCAGAAAGTCCCGGTCAATGTTTCATCCATTCAGATGTAACCTGGGTCTCCTTTTCCGTTTCTTTATATCTATGTCATCAATGCTTCCCTCCGGGCCTTGAATGCGGCTGTTGCCCAGTGGATCTTGCATTTCATTACAGAATCTTGACGGGAGTGAGCGACAATGCTGCCTAGGATTTTCGTTCATGCAAAGTTAAATCAAAAACATAAGCTGCAGACTGCGTTCAGAGCTTCCCACTTATGAGACGGATGTGAGAACATATCCAATTGGCACCCATGTACTTAGTTGATAGCCGAGAAGGCGTTAACAGCAGTACGCTTTCGTGAGATTTGAACGGCGGACAAGGGTGCAAAAACTACGTTGATGGTGATGATGACCCAGCAATGAATCTACCCAGCAGCGATAGTCAACTGTATCACACCGGCAACGGCGGGGTGTAGGGTGTACGGTCTATCCAGCATCCGTCCCTCTTTCTTCTAGATCGACCGTAATCAGCTGAGTCTGACTGGTTTTCAAGAAGGATTGATCCGACCTGTCCAGAATAGTGCGGTGGTGGTGATTACCTCAGACCGTGCACATATAGACCAATGCCGGTATACTCACACCCCAAATCTTGACCTCTTTAAATTCTGTTTCCACTTCGAGACTTAAACCCACACGACTATACCCTGAGCGATGAATAAGCAGCCCTGAGCTGTGGCTGTGTAAGGCTGTTCCGAGCCTGAGCAGCCCTGAGAATCAACTGAATTCTACCTTAAGCTTACCTATAAGGTTTGGATTTGGAAGCACTCCCCTAAATCAGGGAGCCTGCTTTCGTGCCCTTCAGGTTACTAGGGTCCATATCTGAGTCTTATCACTGGTGTACACTTATCTTCTAATTTATCTTAATCAAAGGTTGCTACTCTCGCCATTTTGTGATCTTTAAAGTTTCGAAAGATAAAGATAAGTTCCTGTTTCTATTTTCTATATTCTTGGAGTTAAGAAATATATCACTATGAATAGGTCCCCTTAGGAACTAATAGCCTGTTGCAGCGTTGCTCTTAAGTACATATCTTCCGCTGCTTGTCCTCTTCTTAATTGGAGCCGTCAGGGTCTCCAGTCCCAAAGTTGCCCTGTGTTCTGAGTGGCATGCGTGCTCTCAACTTTTTCCTTGAACTCTTGTAGTTGTGAAGTGCTATCACGTCTTCCAAGCTCATGTCTATCAGACCACCGTCTAAGGACACCAGCAACATTCCAGTGCTCTCTGTCGACGGCCCAGTCCAGTGGCGCATGACCTCTCCTATCTCGTTGTCTTAAACTTGCGCCATGTTCCAACAATAACATCGCGATATCAAGATGTCCGTTTCTAGCTGCCCAATGTAGTGCAGATCAGCCATCAACCTCGAACTCGTTTGGGTCTGCGCCCGCATCAAGCAGGTTTTTAACGCACGCTGTACTGCCCATTTCTGAAGCCCAGATTAATGGCGTGTCGTTCATATAATTCGTGGCATGCACAGACCTCCTGTTGTCCGAGATGTAGATCTGCAAAAGCCAGGGAATGTTGGAATATGCCGCAATATGGAGAGGAGTTTGGCCATGTGGTCCCAAATGCAACACACTCCCAAATGCGACACACTACGACAGCGCCAGGGATTTGCTTCCGGTCATATTGCAATAGCAACTTCAGATCAGCGCCTTGAATTTAGTATTCATTGGACAGCTGTTAGCTTCTCATGTATCACTTAAAGAGATGATGTCTCTGTTCTATTAAAAATATGACTGTGGAACACCACACAATAGCTAGGGCAGAGGGATAGCTAAAAGATAGCCGTCAGACCTAGAGTTTATCGCAAATTGCTAAGACGCGCTAGACTCCGGACGCCGGCCACAACTTAAACCGCACACACCACACGTGACCGTCAAGCCAATAAGTGGGTCCCGGAGGGATCCACCCATTAGGCCACGGCTACTATTTAGCAGGAAGAGACCCTCTAAAAATAATGCTAGGCGAGTCATCAAAGTGATGAAGTGGATGAATGGATTCTATCTACCTGCAGGATCTATCTCTAGAAGGAGGAGAGGCTAATACTACTACGTAGAGTACGGTCACATGATGCCAAGGATTTGGCTGTACGTATACTGCTAATTCCAACACATAGTGCGCTTAGATTAAGCCTAACCGTAATAGTACTTAGAGGGTATAGGGATTCGTAGCTTAGTCTTCTATGATCATAAAATCTTACTATTTACAACGTATTTTATGGTCAAAATATGCTTCTTTTATCATATTTGTATGATGGTCATTTGACGGGATGACTGTTATTTCTACTAACGGCACTTAGCGCATATCTTTAGCTACCCCCTTCTCCTGGTAAGTAGTAGTACTGTGCAGTCGGCCTGGCAAATCTTGGCACCCCAGTATTACTAACTACTCCTCCGTAATGCGACTTCTCTGCTTCTTCCTCGATAGCAATTTGCCATATTAGTTGCACAGGTAAAATTATCTGCTAATCTTGCCAATTGCTCCCTGACTCTAGAGCATCGTGCACCATTGAGTCGAGGTCACTTTTCTTTCACTCGATACTTCCCATCACTTTGTCCAATGTGTCTTTTCGTTGGATCCCCGTCCCAAAGTCTTCTTTCAGTAAAAATATGCGCACTCATTCCCTTTCCAATTGCCCTACCCATCAAGCTCTCTATCGCTCTGAACTATGTGTCGAGCTTTGCATTATCATCTCGGATATGCACGATGGGAAGCCTTGTGCCATATAAGTCTGGGCTGAGGATCTGGGACTCGGGTCCGCCCTGGATGCTGGTTCCAAGGATGCGGCGACCTAAGAACCAGCACAGCTAGGCCCAACTACTGCAAATAGGCCGTCTTTGTCGCACAATCTCTTAGTTGTCTCCTTCTATCTACTATTGGCATTTGTGAAGATAATGCCAAGAAATGGCACGTGATATTCCGACTTGGCGGTACTTTTGGATTTTACTTCCGGTATTTTCTGCTATGCACAGTTCTTTCTGCTATACCTAGTGCATTCTGCTGTGTACGGTATCTTCTGCTTCTCCTATAGCAGTTATTGTACGGCCGAAAGGACTTGCTCCTGGTAATAGCACTAATAGAGAGGTTGCGGAGGCAGGGTATAGGGATTGGTATAGATAGAGAGTCGAATTCGCTGTTTTGAGGACAGTAGAGCAGCCAAAATACACGTTCCTTTTGCTATATCAATTGCCCCCCTGCTGCTCCGCTCAACAGCATTCAACACCGATTGCTGCTGTCATTTCATTGTGGATTGCCGAGTAAGCAAATGGCTGCAGGCATTGTGCTTTCTAGAGTGTCGACGTTCTCCCAGCGAATGTCGTCTTGATCCCTCTTCTTGACCTCCTTATCTTGTCTCTGTGGTCTTTTCATTCATACATTCTCTTGCGCCAAGTTCCAGGGCCCTTTCTCGCCGCGTTTTCGAATCTTCCTCGCGTGTCATGGGTTTTGTCTAACCAGGCACGTGATATACACATCGCTCTGCACCAAAAGTATGGGAAGCTGGTACGCTTCGGACCGAATATGGTCTCGGTTAGTGACCCGGCCGAGATCCTAAATCTATATAGCTTCACTGGGAAGTTCGTGAAGGTAAGGACTGCCCCAGTTTGTCATCAGGGAAGGCGAAGGAGTCATTGACCATCACTCTTAGTCTGACTTTTACCACGTCCTCCTATTCTACGCCAAAGGCAAGCCAGTACCCACTATCTTCGCAACACAGAACGAAAATCTGCACCGAATGCTCAAGAAGCCGATTGCAGGCATCTACTTGATGAGTAATCTAATGTCTTTTAAGCCCTATGTTGACACGACCATTAGCTACTTCTTTGCCCGACTGGACAAGCTTTTCGTACAGACGGGCGATGTGTGTGACTTAGGCGCCTGGTTGCAAATGTTTGCATTTGACGTTATGGGAGAACTCACTTTCTCCAAGCGCTTGGGTTTTCTGGAGCGAGCAGAAGATGTCGATGGGATCATGGGATCCATTTGGCATTACTTCCATAAGACGTCCCCGGTAATTCTTAGCCTTCTGATTGTTCTGAGACCTGTGTACTGAAAAAACGGTAGATCTCGCAGATCCCCTAGGTCGACTGGCTATGGGCCAAAAATCCCATCCTCCAACGCCTACAGTCCGTTCGCATGAACCCCATCGTTGGATTCGGGCTCGCGCGCATTGCAGAACGCAAAAGTGCGGCCAAAAACCCCTCCGACAAAGAGTCTTCGACCAACTCTCGTGATTTCCTTTCGCGCTTCCTTGAAGCCCAAGCCAAGGACAAGTCCATCCCACCCTGGTAACTTGCCATCCACTCCCCGTGTTAGTCACGGGTTCAGCCCCACAGAACTGATAGCTAATCACTTCACCCAGGGCCCTTATAGCACGGACAACCTCCAACGTAACCGCCGGAAGCGACACGACCGCGATCCTCCTCCGTACCACGATCCATAGACTTCTTTCGCACCCGGCCACCCTTTCCCGCCTCCTGTCCGAATTGGCCTCCCTCCCGCACTCCGCACCCTCCACTCCTGCAAGCGCACTCTCTCCCCTAACTCGACGCGTGCATCAAAGAAGCTGGGCGTCTGCATCCGCCCTTCGGGCTGCCGCTAGAACGGGTCGTGCCGCCCGAGGGAGCGACAGTGTGTGGGCAAAGGTTTGAGGGTGGGACCGTGATCGGGATGAGCCCGTGGGTGGTGCATCGTGATAGGGACGTTTTTGGGGAGAATGCTGGGGTTTGGAGGCCAGAGAGGTGGCTAGATTGTGATAGCGAACATCGTAGGAGGATGGAGGCCGGATTGCTCATTGTGCGTTACGATTCTTTCCATCTCCCAAAAATATCCCTACTTCTGGCAGCTTGGGCGGTGCAGACCTTCCCGCTACTAATCCGCACCATCTCCCTCTTGCTGCTCGGTACGCTTGCTTACCAGTACGCCTTTACAGTTCGGAGCCGGCCACCGTGTCTGCTTCGGCAAACACATCTCCTATCTCGAAGTCTTTACAAATTGATACCATCCCTGCTCAAAACCTACCAGGTATTCCCCCCCCCCTCTTTGGCTTCCTAATTTCCCATGCCTACCCCCGGCTCGCTCACTCATTCCAACAGATCAGCTTCGCCGAACCTGAGTGTCCGGAGTGGCGGGTAGAGAACCGCTAGTTCGTGAATCAAACGGGGTTAAAGGTGATTCTGAAGAGACGGAATTGTGATGAAGAGACAGAATTATGAGTTTGGAGAGGTGAAGTCGTGAGGGGCCTTCTGCTTTATCGGTGTGTGCGTGGCGTGAGTTGGGTAGATGAAGAGTTGTTCAGCTTGATGGATTCGAACCTGCACCTGTAACTTTGGAGTTGGTTTGGTGGTCTCAGCAATTTTGTCTCTGAGTTTACGAGTGGTACCTGAAAGACCGTATGTAGGTTTAAAGCCATCGCTCTCCAACGTTGTGCCAGGAAATCGTAACTAATCTTCAACTAGTATTGTTCATTGAGCTAAGATATCACGCTCTTTCGCGTTGACAACATCGAGGACCTCCTCGACTGCAGGCTTTAATCAGAAGCACATAGGCCAGCCTCCACTCCAGCGCTCTCCCATACATAATCCTCCAACCGTGCTCTTGCCCCAGTTCCAACTACATCAAGCTCATTTCTTCCCTCCATAAGACTCCCTCATCCTCTTCAACATATGCCCCTCCACAGTCAACACCTCCTCCCCCTCCTTCTCCCCCTGCCCATCCAAAGGACTCAACCTGCAATCCAAATTCCCGTCAAAGAAAAACACCACACTATACCTGTCGCCCGGGTTCCGATTGATCACCCTGTGCACACTGCTCTTGTACTCGTTCCGCGTCCATTTGGACAACATGCTCCCGACATTCACTACGTACGCGTCTGGGTTTGGAGCGATGGGCACGAATTCGTTGGAGTTGGTGTCGAGGACTTCGAGGCCCGGGTTCTCATCTTGGAGCAGCAAAGTGATGGCAGGTCAGTTGGGGGAGAGGTACTTCCTTCAAGTCGGGCAGCACATCTGCCTCGTAGGATTGCGAAGCAAGGACGTCGTAGCCTCTGTGACCGATAGTGGTTTTGGCGTCGAGTTTCTTCTTCTCATCATAGGGCAACGCAAAGTATGCGGCGGCTGCATCGAAGACGTCTTTTTGAAGCGAGCGCGGGATCCCATGGCCGGTGATCTGGAAGAAGCCTGTAGAGATGCAGGCGGCACGCACGTCTGCGATGATCTTTCCCGCCTCAGCCGAAGTGGGATCAGCCAGATACGGTGAGATGTCGACTGTGGGGACGTAGAATTGGGTTGGCTCTGGGGGGGTGACAACGATAGGCATGACTGCAATGTTTCGCAGCAGAATGAATTGATGTGCTGGCTATGTGGTTTTATTGCTAACGCCTTAGATGTTCGGGCGGAGGGGGGGAGGCAAAGAGCAACGACAAGCACGAGCCCGAGTATCAGCACGCATCGTACGGATGTACTGTCAACTCTGCGTGGTCCAGGCCCCCCCTCCCTCGTCAGGCTTAGCACTTCTGTGCACTGCAAGGCGAGAAGGCCCATGGGTGATGAGGTAGATCGAGGACCCGAGGGGAGACCCGAGTACAGATGAGATGCAAGGCCTGCCAGATCCATAGCTGGGACTCAGCCGCCGCCACCACTTATTGAGCTTATCATAAGACAAGCATCATTCCAAGCCCACCCTCACAACGGCGTAGGATCACTGTCCCTTAGAATCTCGGTACTGTACCGAGATCGTAAGGGACTTTCTGGGCGTCGAAGTGGTTGAGATTGACTGTTGGTGGCGTACACTTCCTGCCTCAGGATCATCAACGCTCTGTCATCTCCCTTTACGCACATTAGCCTACCATACTGACTAACTTTCCTTCAAGGAACATATTAGCCTTTGAGAAGGTTGAGTGAGGATACTGCTACGTGGTAAGCAATCCTACTTGCTGCGTGTCAGGCTTACCAGGAGATGACGCTCCTTGCCGGTGTTAGACCGGCACCCCAGCAACAGTAGTGTAGCACTAGACACCGGATAACTGGCGGTAGGCCATCGGTAGAAATCCGGAATGCGTTCGGAGCGGTATATTCAGAGCGGTATATTCGGCAACGGTATATTCGGCGTTTGGGTCTTGGCGTGACTGCGCAGTAGTAATTTGTATGTAGCGTTCCTCAGTTTTCCCAACACTTCAATAGTCCAACTCCTGTTGTAAATTTCAGCTTGCTGTTGCTTCCTAAATAGGCATTAAGATAGATATCCTTGGTGTTGTTATTCTTGCTATGGCTATGTCGCTGTGGACTGCCCATCCTGATTGCCCAAAGCACCTCAAACCCGAGCTCGAGAGGCGTGTGCGCTCCCTCCCCTCCTCCTTCTTACTGCCTCCTATCGCCGGTGAGGTCTTCGTCAATCCAGATATATGTCAAGAGCGTCTTCAAGGCTGGGCCTTATCGCAGGGCTTCGCTATCGTTTGAAAGAGCGGAAGCGTGAAGCAAGCACGTCCACGGTTTGATTTTCGTTGTATACACTATAGAGGAGATACTAAGAATACTCGTAAGCTTGAGAACCACGTTATAAGAGATGAGGAGGGTACTGTTATAAGCCGCCGGAAGCAAGAGATAACAAGTATTAATGCTCACAACTGCTCTTATCTTATTTATCTTGCGTATAAGCAAATTGGCAAGTATGAATCTAGCGAATATGGCTTTGTTTTGGGTATCTCTAATAATACTCATAGTCATTTGATAGCTGTAAATCCGTTGAGATATAGAGCTGAGCATGTCAAAATGCTATTAGGGTTTTTGCCTGCAGTAGAGTTAGGTAAGTCTCTTCAAACAGCTAATGTATCATATTCTGTTGCTCTCAGAGTGCTTGAACAGGTTAGATTCCCTCTTGATCGCAGTACCTACTACAACATTTGATCCTATACCGCCTCTGCTAAATGAAACAAGTTTGCTGGCCTTGTTGTTGCTCTTGAAGAGGCTGGCTTTATCTTTGAATGCCAGATAGAAGAGAAATTCAATCCAGATACAGGCGAAGTCGTTGATCAACAGCTTTAGCAGGTTTGGTTCGCTCATCCCAAGCAGATTCAATACGCACAGCGCTTTATAGCAAACTGGACCCTCTTCGTTGATGGCACGTTTCGTACGAATAAGCTGAATCTAGTGCTTATTATTACTACTGATATCACAAATTATAACTCAACCTTTGTGAGCTCTCTATCGTTTGCTCGCTCAGAGAGCAAGCTATCCTTCGATTTCATCTTCGAGAGCCTCAAAAAGCACGTTTTCTATCCTCCTATCCCTGTACCACGCGTTATTGTTAGCGATCAAGCTGCTGGGATGAAGGCCTTAATGCCTATATCTCTCTTGACTACAATTCTGCAATTTTGCGACTAGCATATTATTAAGAACGTTAAAAAGAGGCTTGCTGATAAGGGTTATCCTAAGGAGATTCGGAAGGAGATGAAGGCACTTCTTTAGACCTTTATTAAGAGCAATACGCACGCTAAGTTAGAGGCTAATCGTACAGAGATTTATTCAAAGCTAAGGCTTAATAAAATCAAATATCTTAAGGACTATTAGGGTCTTAAGGAGTCGTAATTTCTACGCATTTATACTCGTAAGTATCCAAATTTGGGCGCTCATTTAAATCAACGCTTAGAGAGTCTTCACCCTGGCACTAAGGATATACTTAATAAGCAGATAGATATAAAAGAAGCTAGCCGTTAACTTGAAGCTACTATACAGTCAAAATTGCGACAGCTATCTAATAAAGAGGCTCGAAATAGTAGTAAACTACCCTGTACGCTTGATTCGCAAGCGTTTCTACTGCTAGCAGATATAATCTCGCTTTTTGCTATATCAAAGATCTCCCCTAAATAAGAGATTACAAAAGAAGAGATGAGCAAAGGCTCTTTACGCCCTACGCTACTCTGTTTTGAGTGCGAATTACTTGTTCGATTTGGTCTCTCTTACAAGCACTATCTTACGTAACTGTTTAAGGATGGTGCTCTTATTCCTCGATCCTTAATACACCCTTGTTGGTGAATTAATAGTAAGCCTATTTGTATCGCTAATTAGGTACCAACATACCGTACTTTTGCCCTACCAATATCCCCCTTACGACAATCTACCTCTTACTTGCAGAATCCTTATATCTCTCCTAATAGGAATCAGATCACAGGGCTTGGTCTACAAGTTCTAAAGGCTAGAGAGGACCTTACAGGTTACGCTCGTACACGATACGATCGAGCAGCTACGAATGCTCAACAGGGTCTTGTTCAATTCGCTCAAGAGCTTAAAGGAGATGATCTTAATACTCGAATGCCAGATACTGTTAAGAAGCCAGGGTGGAATAGGCAGTTTAAGAGTCATGATAAGATCAATAAGCGACTTATGACAGGAGCTAAGGCAGCAGAACGTGACGTCAATAATAGAGAGCAGGTTGCTGCTCGAGAGACACGCCAGGAGGCTAATTTAGCCCAAGCAGCTTCGTTTGTAGCAGGGCCAGTACCCCTCGCAGGGCCTCCTCCTCCTCCTCCTCCTCCTCCTTCTACAGCTCTTGTTGACGTGGAGAGCATCCTTGATACCCCCCCTCGTGGATCCGCCGCCGGCGCCGTTGCTATCGCCACCACCACCACCACAACAATGGTTCATCCGTCCTTCCCGGAGGATGAAGAAAAAGAAGAAGAAGGAGAAGAAGAAGAAGCTACAGATGAGGCTTTTATACCCCCTCCTTCAACGGCGCCAGCAGCGACGACGCAATCAAGAGCTGGCCGCAAGAGAGCCCCCACAATGAAGGCGTTAGAAGCCGAAAAGGCGCCAAAACGGGGTGCAGGGTAGAGCAGGGGCAGGGGCAGAGGCAGGGGCAGAGAGGCCAGAAGATAGAGCGATTTCTGCAACACCACATTTTCTATATCTATTTCCTAATAGGGAAGTCACAACAACGTCAATAGAATGTATCAATTTCTGTGCAAAATCTTCATAGTACTTGAATGGTCAAGGTGGGTGGATTTGCTAGCAATTTGTATGACAAATTACCCGCCAAGACCCAAACGCCGAATATACCGTTGCCGAATATACCGCTCTGAATATACCGCTCCGAGCGCATTCCGCCCAACTTGTACGTAGAACTTGGCTTCTTCATCTACTACCCAACTCACAATCATAATTCATACTCTTGCCATTCAACAAATTGGCTGTACTGTACAACGAAAGTAGAAGCGAAATTGCGTTGGAAATTGACCAATTAGAAGAAGTAGAAACGCAGGGATTACGCATATGAAATGCGGCCAATAGGCCCTCTCAGAAGGTCAACACTAGGGCATGGTTGCTGCCTTAGCCTGTTACTGCTGACGAACCCAGCAAGAACAATGGGAACTACGGAGGGCATACAAGGCTGTACTCCAGCTGACATCACAGCTACTGAGGCATTTACACGCTGGTCCCCCAAAGATAACGCCGTCAACTTTCCTTTTGCACTTGATTTCTTCCTTGCAAGACTTGAAACTTCGAAATATCATATCAAGCCATGTCGTCAACCCCATACGATGTTCGTGCACTTCTCAGTGCCATCGATGAGAACAGAAAGAACCTAGGTAGAGACAAAGGTGAGGCTAGACGGGAATGCCTCGCTGCTGCTCGCAAACTCTGCTACGCCTTGGAGACCCCTGTGGAATCGATTTTGAGGATCAACTGGGCTGAAGTATGATGCCCACCTGCTATTTGCACCCGCTTGTTTACTGATTTAATCGCTGGCCACAGCTCTCGCATCATGCGGCATTGCGAACTGCTGTTGACCTCAAACTTTTTGAGAAGCTGGATTCAGACGACTGCAGTCCCAAGAGCAGCTCTGAGCTTGCCGAAATGACCAACTCAGACCCTGTACTATTGAGTACGTCTATTGCGTCAAGAAAAAGGCACATGGTATGGGAAGAAAGTGGGCTGATGTGAGGATGAAATGTGACAGACCGTCTATTGAAACATTTGGCAGCGATGGGATCCGTGTATGAAGCTGGCCCTGACAGCTACGTATCGACACCCGTCTCGAAGGCGTATATACAGCCAGTCTATCGAGACGCGATTCCGTTCTGGTGGGTCTATTCGAACCAATCTTGCGATCGTACTGACTCAAGATTGCATGGAAAAGCATGGACATGGCCATCCCCGCCTTGTACAACCTCTACCAATTTCTCGCCAAAACTCAGTACAAGAACCCTACAAATCCTGTCGATGGGCCGTTTCAGTATGGCCATGGAATTCAAGATCACTTCTTCGGACACCTCCAGAAACACCCAGAGCGTTTTACGCAATTTAGCAATCACATGGCCGGCTACCGCACTGGGCGTGCAAGTTGGATGGATGAAGACTTCTATCCTGTGATAGAGAATCTTGTCAAGGGTGCCAGCACAGACGAAGACGCTATCTTTCTTGTCGATGTCGGCGGAAGCAAGGGTCATGATTTGAAAGAGCTAAAGAAGAAACATCCTAGTTTGCCAGGCCGATTAGTGCTGCAGGACCTGGCCAGCGTTCTCGCGGAAGCCACAGAGCTTGACCAGAGTATCATGAAGATGGAGCATGACTTCTTCACACCCCAGCCAGTCCAAGGTAAGTGCCCCCTACAGGGAAAGTTAGGCTCCTACTAATAAAGGATGCAGGTGCACGAGCTTACTACTTGCACTCCTGCTTACACGATTGGCCGGATGCTAAAGCCAAAGAGATCCTCGCAAACCTGAAACCGGGCATGACCAAGGGATACAGCAAGCTTTTGATTAACGAGTATGTCATACCAGATATGGACGCGCATTGGGTGAGCACGGGGCTAGACATGCTCATGATGGCGTTCCTCTCCTCTAGCGAGCGAACAGAAGAGCATTGGCGCATGTTGTTAGAGTCCGAAGGGTTTAAGATCGCCAAGATCTGGACGAAAGAGCCTGGTACTGAAAGTTTGATAGAGGCGGAGCTGGTATGAGTATGGTTCCACCACCGTAGTTGGCGCCCACCGCAGCTCCGCCTAGCTGGACGCTGTTGATCGCAGATGATCATTAGGGAAGTTTCATAGCCGATGGAAAAGGGGTATAGAATAGGGGTGGCTTGGCGCACGCTTTTGAATCTATCCCGTAAAGCTGTGCGTAGGAGTACGCCAGTGATATGAGGGAAGCGCAATACAAATACGCTGAGCTGTGATATCGTGATCATAGTGCCCAGAAATGCTGTCGAAACTGTTTGATTGCTGTCAGCTTTTCGTTATCCTTTGAAGCCAATATCATACGTAGGGGTACGCCAGTAGACCAAGAACCAACAACAGCAACCGGTCCAGGATTCAGGATAGGAAGAATACCCTACTGAGGATGTAATGCCCAGGAGGACGCCAATAGATGGAGAAGCTTCTTGTATTTGAGCCAGTGGCTCTGTACTGATTTCTGATCGTACAACTCAATTTGAAAATTCGCAGAAAAGAACAGCTATCCTACCAGCGCCTTTGTATCATGAAGTCCACTCCTGCCGCCCACCCAAGATCTTGCTGTCCTTCAATGGTATCGAGCAACAGGCTTCTTCTCCCTCTTTCCCCTTCCCAAATCCCTCGTCTCGTTGAACGGAGACAATTCCCGTACCCTCCTCCTCCTTCTTGGGCCGTTGATAGCTACAGCTGCAGCTGTAATCGTAATAATTACAGAGGAGGCATGAACGAGGCCAAGGGGGGCGCTGGCGGTACCAACAACATTCACTGGATTCGTGGTGGCTGCTGGATTTGTCTGCACAGAGGGCCCTGCGACGGCACTTGGAGGATTTGATGTGGAAGGGTGATTTGGCTGGCTAGCGAGGAATTCTTGAATCTGGGTTGGATCAAGCACGTGGACGATGAGGCTGCCATTGACAGGTTGAGGATTGGGTAAGGTTGACGTCCCCGGAAGGGTGGTGTTGACTTGTGCTTTGGCATGGGCATCTTTGTATGATCGACAAGCTGGCTGGTGACTTGGACGGGTTTCTGATTGACTGGGCGAATGCGATTGAGAATGATACAAATGAGCTTCGAGACCAAAAGCTTTTGGATCTACAAGATGGTCTCGAAGCTTCGGCGCACGTCAGGCAGGCTCTGACCGGGATGACAGCCAACCGCAGAAGTTTGTTTCACCACCGCTGCTCTATTAGCGATAGCTAACGTGTTTTACAGTTGTACGTCTTATCAAAAGTCCGCAAGAACAAGTGGTCGATACAAAAATTCTCGACGAATCTCATAATGTGCTAGTTCGGCAAATCTGGTGGCATGAAGAAGGTTCCCCATTTGGATACAAATCGCTGTTAGTTCGAAACTATAGCCGACATTGGTCGAATTGTAACGAGTCAGGTGATTATCTGTTGCAGGCTTGATGAACTTGGAGGTATTGAAAGTGCCAGTGAGGAGATAGCAGTGGAACGTTCTAAAAGCCAGGACTCCATTGCGTGATGTTGCCAAGTCACCGAGGATATGGGAAATGTTTTGTAGTGATAGAGCAGGCGTTGTTGATGTCAATGCTGTCGATAGTGCTGAAGGTGTCGCTTTGGCCATCGCAAGAGGCAGTGTGTAAACTCTGGGATGACGCTGATCTCCACAAAACATCACGACCGTTGTTGCCACCTCCCTATACTTGATGTCAGTCATAAGTTGTGACAAGCACACAGAATCCTAGAGATCCGGTCCACAATTCGTAAGGCCTTCAACATCTCTGGCTGTGAACATACCCTAGGTCTATAATCTGATGCTCAAAGTCATATATGCAGAGACGATTGTTGCCGAGTCTGAATTCATTACAACCGCCTCGCTGCACTGGTTTGCTTCTTTCGTATGCTGTCTGGTACGAAGCCATCTCGGAATGTCGTGGACGAAATGATACGGATGTCGATGCGATCTTGAACTGCCGCAGAGGGGTAATTGTAGAATAAGCAGAGTATCACAAGGATCTGTGGTTGATTTGAAGCAGTGCGCAGGCGGAGAGTTTGACATAAAGTGATTACAGCTTGAGGGCACAGGCGAAAGTGTTTAGACATGCTTATAAACAAAGCAGAACACAACACCGCCTACCCTTGCTTATACAAAAGCGGTGTTGCGAAAGTGTTCGCCATCAATGCTACATCACCAACTTCCTGCTTCCAAAAGATTCAGCGGTCCGTGATGATGGGCCATAAGATCCATACATGTAGAAGAGAGTTGATCTAATAAAGATCATGAAGGCTGGTCTGGGAACGTAAGGAAAAATCAAGGGGCCTTAAGAGAAAAGACAGACATTGGTACTTGGACAGTCTATATAATATTTAATTCTGCAAAAATTAAACAATTAGCAA